GGAAAAGTCAAAGAGCTCAAAGAAACAGAAAAAAAAGTTGACTTTTTTGTTGAAAACACTTCAACTTTCAAATCTCAAACAAAAAAACTATATGGCTTAAAAGCTCTTCGAACTTCAGTAGCAAACTTTTCTGGGCACTTTTTGATTAAAATAACCCTATTTGAAAAAACATGATCAATAAGTAAAATTTTTATTTCGCTGGGAAATCTGAAACTCAATTCCACTTTCGAAACTAGAAATCGATCACGCTTTTTGTTACCTTTTAACTTTTACTGTTCGATAGAAGAGTTGGACCTTTCAAACTAAAAATGACCTGAACTTAAAAAAATTCAAATGTGAAAAAGAGAAAAAAACAAATTTTAGCCTGACATATTTTAAAACTTTTCCTGAAAACGCAAAAAAATCACCACCCATATTAGAGTCTGAAACACTTGATCGACTATTAGTATGCTTGAAGTGTTTTGAAAGAAGCTGTTTCAGAGATGAAAACTCTAATCATTTCACTTTGCTTTGGTAGCCTGCAGAAATGGTCCGCAAAAAACAGACTTTTAGCTATCTATTGAAGCGAACAAATTTTTTGAAATAGTTCGATTTAATTTGATACTTTGAAAAGCTGCGCAAAACTTTGAAACTCTTCCTTTTTACTAAAAGACTTTTTTTTCGATTAAACTTCGAATCAATTCAAGTTGCCTTGATAGCTTGAATTCATGCGCAAAAAATCGACGATTTTTGAAGCAGACTCGTCGAAAATTAAACTTAGGCATTTTCAAGTTGTTTTGATAGCTTGAATTGATTTTCATAACACTAAACCCTCAAAACACTTACTACCACTAGGCTATCATACAATACATATTTTTGAGCGATCAGAAACATAAACGATTTAATGTTGCCTTAAAAGCTTGGCAAGAATGACTGATCGTTTTTCAAAGCAAGCAAGTCAATCGATGACACTTTTCAGCAGTTCTTCTTATTATTAAGAGCTCAATTGTTTCAAAAAAAATTTTCTGACAGTTTTTCTAAAATAAACAACCAAAAAATTAAATTTTGGAATATTTCATCTGGTTTTGGTAATTTGATTTGTTTTTAATTAAAGCTAAACTTTTTTGAACCAAGCTATTGAAATCGTCAAATTTTGGTTATTTTCAAGCTGTATTGAAATGCATATTTTACAGAATTATCTTTCAGAATTAATACATGCTTGGGGATGTCATTTTAAAGTGGGGGGGGGGGGGGGGTAATTGTTCTATTGATCCAAGTTAAGGTTGTTTTGAGCTTGCTAAACAATTTTCACCCAACAAAACTCACTGGAACGTGTACGATAGTTAGAAAAACGCTACGATAACAAGAAAATTACACAGAAATCTTGGATCTAGTTAACAATTACCCCCCCCCCCCCTTCAAAAAAAGGGGGCCAATTGTAAATTTAGTCAAATTTTCGACAAATCAGAAAGCAGCCGAATTCAAATTTTACATAGAACGCTCTAGTGCTATTTTACTACCTTTTTGAAAAGGGGTTTCAATTCTTAAGTAGATGACATAGAGAGAACAATTGTCATGTGGATCCGAAATCTTAATTAGGATCAAATTCTTGTGCAGCACGACCAATTTGGAAAAAGCTTCAAGTTTTTCTAAAGCGAGTTTTACAAGTTTTTTCAAATTTTTCAAACTGTTTTTAAAGTGTTTTAAGATCGGTTCGCGAAATTGGTAATTTTTTTAAGCAAGCTAATTGCGCAATAAGACTTTGAAGTACGTCATATTATTTGCATTTCCTGAATCGGCTAACAAAAATTTAGATCTTCAACTCAAGCTCATTGAGCGACTAATTTTTATAGTAATTCAAGTTATTTCAGCGTGATTCAGATCACAGAAATTCAAAAATTTAGCAAGCAGGGATGATATTTCGAAATTTTCCAAACTCTTTCAGAGAGCACATCGGTTGGCAAACAGTTAAGTTTTTACACCTAGGTTTTTCCAAGAAAGTAACTTGAAAATTTTCAAAACACCAAAACGCAAATCAATTATCGAAAAAATTGTTCCCTAAAGAATTTTTTTAACCCATGTATCCTATAAACTTTGTGTCTAGAGAGGATTTGGCGTTAAGTCTAAATAATTGATGCCTACTTTTTATCATGATCGACATTGGTGTCTTCACACTTACTCCGCCCAAAAAAAACTCACGAGCGCTTTACTCCGCCCAAAAAAAAAAACTTTACTCCGCCCAAAAAAAACTCACGACAGTAAAAATTTAATGTCTTGTGCAACTTTGCTTGAGTCGCCAAACGTAGATAATTCCAACCAAATGGATTGGAGAATTTTAATTTCTTCATTCTTCATTTCATAATTTTGAATTGACGAACTCGGGCGGAATAAGTTAAATGCCCAACCATGGTGATCCTAAGTTTTGCAGGTTTTAATTTCAACAACACTTTTAAACACTGCAGATAGGGCTGGTAGACTGTAGAACAGCAGTAAGTCTGGGTGCCAATTTCCACTCTTTTCCACAACCACCCCCCCTTTCAAATTTTTATTTTGTTTCCAACTTTCTATATTTGTTTTACGTGTTATTATGGCTAGCAGCGTGATGCTACGATGCAAGGTACGAAGAAAAAATCTAATCACCAATGTTATTTTGCACCAGTTTTCAGCTCTTTTCAATAACCCCCCATACCCCCTCACCCCGCCGCTTTCAAATGTTCTATTTTCTCAGTAGTCTTAGAAGTTACTATAGTTGAATGCGTGATTTTACGATGCAAGGCATGGGGATAAAGTGTGTCCTCAGTCTCCTGACAAGAGACCGACGCGATTTGAGGACAAACTTCGAACTGTTCAAGTCGATCAAAACAGTAGCTAAAATAAGTATAAATAATTTTCTGAGATAGTTAGAAGAATATTGATACATCACAACGGGTGCTTTAACTATAATTCCGGTATCTTGCGTATTCATAGGTCCCAAAATAAAAAAAATAAGTCCCATAGGTCCCAAAATAAAAAAAGCTGTCGCATAAGTCGCAATTCTTTTCAATTGGTCAAAAGACTAAATTATCCGAGTCTCGGTTTGAGGTCGCCGGTGGGCGCGCTACGCCGCTTCGCAGCGATAACCGGCTCTAAATTTTGTGTTTACCCTCTGTTTACAAGCTAGCAACACGGTTGCTCGGCTGCGGCGGTCACTATTCTGCAGCTTGAGCTTATGCTGCTTGAACTGTAAACAATCAGTCCATAAATTCGATGGCTCAAATTTCAACTAATCAGAATTTAACAAGTTAAATTGGTACTAATATGATAGTGGTCCCTTGAAAATAACCAGGTCCCTTGAGAATAAGACACCAAGAGCTCTCAAATCCTTTAATAATTATGATTTCGTCATACAAAGATGTCGCTGTATATTTCAAACAAATTTTATTTTTGTTATTCGTAAAATCCCCCCCCCCCCCACTCGCCACTTTAAGGAGGAAAATTCAAAAAAACAACGCCAAAATTGAATTTTGATGAAAATTAAGGTAACCCAATTATGTTAGTTAAACTGTAAAATAAACAAGCGTGCAAATTTCTTGATATAAACAATGAATTAATTACAGTTTTCAATCTGAAAAGTTATTGACTGAACATATTTTGCAAGATTTTTGAAATGAAAAATTTATACACAAATTAGTTTTCAAAATTATAACATGCGAAATGCATGCGGGACCTGTCTATCATAGTTGCTTTCTCGGGGGACCACTCTATCATAGTAGTACCAAACCCCTGATTCGGAATAATGGTGAATTCCCATAGGTCCCAAAATAACAAATCAGTCACATAAGTTGTAAAATTTGTCGGTACTACTATGATAGAGTGGTCCCTCGAAAAAGCAACTATGATAGACAGGTCCCGCATGCATTTCGCATGTTATAATTTTGAAAACTAATTTGTGTATAAATTATTCATTTCAAAAATCTTGCAAAATATGCTCAGTCAGAAACTTTTCAGATTGAAAACTGTAATTAATTCATTGTTTATATCAAATTTGCACGCTTGTTTGTTTTACAGTTTAAGAAACATAATTGGTTGACCTTAATTGTCAACAAAACTCAATTCTGGCGTTTTTTTTTGAATTTTTCCTCCTTTCAATGGTGAGGGCGGGGGGGGGGGGATATACAGCGACATCTTTGTATGACGAAATCATAACTATTAAAGGATTTGAGAGCTCCAGGTATCTTATTTTCAAGGCACCACTCTATCATAGTAGTACCAGGGTTTTTTTGGGTCTTTATATCAATAAGTTTTTGAAAGACCCGTCCTAGACCTGACTCTTTTCCACTAACCCCCCCCCCCCCAACGTTAAATAAGCTTTTCAAAATTGAATTTGAAAGGGGGACTTTTTTCCAGTCCCCCCCCTTTCAAATTCAAATTTGAAAAGCTTCTTTAACGTTATCATAATTCAATGAAATTTGGCGTGGTGAACAAATCGACAACTGTGAACAGATTTGTTATTCATACTTTACAGGGTAGCATCAAGCATTTAGCCGTGCTAACACGTAAAACTAAAATAAAACTCGGTATTTTGAAGGGGAGAACTGGAAAAGAGCCGAAAGGGGGAACTGGAAAAGCGTTCGAGATCTTATATCATTTTCCTGGTTAATTTCCTGGCTCTTTTCCAGTCCCCCCTTTCAAATTCAATTTTGAAAAGCTTAATTAACGTTGTCATAATGCAATGAAATTTGGCGTTAGCCATAATAAGACGTAAAACAAACATAAAACTCGGTGTTTTAAAAGGGGGGAACTGGAAAAGAGCCAATTTCCTATTTTGTTTATTATCTGACCAGAAATAACCAAGCTTCATGCACGAGTGCTAGTGACAGATGTTCATTACAGACTATTACTCTCGACCGATCCGAGATGCAAAGATAGAAAATACAGATAAAGAATTTAACAACTATGAATACGTGAATATAAAATTACGTCAAGCTTGGCGAGGCCAATACTAGACGATGCAAAGATAATACAATGACCATTCAGCTTACCATTATGCCGCTGCCATTCTAATCAAATAAAACACGGTAACCTCAATTTTAGGCAGGATGGCGCAGCTGGAAGCGTGCTGGGCTCATAACCCGGAGGTCGGTAGATCGAAACTACCTCTTGTCGAAGTCTTTTTTTATATAACAACTAAAAGTAATTTTATTACTTCAACATTGTAAAAATCATATAGATTTTGATCGCTTTTTTAAAACAAACATTTGATTCAAATCTATTTAAAATGGCTTTTGATACTTTAAACTGGAGTAATAGGTGTCAAGCATGAACAAGTAAACGGATATTTAAAACATTTCTCTGATGCAAACCGCCGTATGAACAACTTAAAAACAATTTCATTTTTAATAAAAACAAATGGCGAGATATCGTTCAAAATTGCAGTCTACACACTGCACTGGAAAGGAGCCGAGGTACAAGTGTGGGGTCTTATGTACTTAACGGCCCAAAATCACTATTTCTTCATCTTTCTTGAATTCATATTAATAAGGTTGAATCTGATTCGCAATTTATACACTCAATTCAAATAACATGGTCCTGCTCCTGCAGTTGAATTGAAATTTCAAGCAGATAAATTTGTTGGCCGGCATGACCAAAACAAGAAAAGGCTCTTTTCCACTTTCCCTCAACCTTTTAAAATATCGATTTTTATGTTTGTTTTACGTGTTATTACAGAGCCCAAGAAAAATTTTAATCTGATGAAGCCATTTTTTGAATTTTTCTCGGCAGAAAAATTTACAATGTGACTTGAAAATAATTTTATTATTAGGCAAAGTTTAACATTTTGGTATTTTCGGCTACAAATTTTTTCTGCTGGAAGTTTTGATTGAATTGCCTGGCCATGTTGGTTCAATTGGATTGGCTAATACTAGCCAATCAGATTCGACTGTATAAATTTCGGCTCAAGATATAAAAATATTGATTTTGGGCCGTTTTGTGCATAAGACCCAAGTGTGATAAGAGGTCCTGGTAAAAACCAAGTGTGTGTGTGTGTGAGAGAGAGAGGGTGCTAGGTAAATAAGACGACAGGCCATTAAGATGACAAGACACAAAGACAAATAAAATAAGAGTAAATTAAATGTAAAATGAGCAGTTCCAATTTAAGCGGTTTAAATTTCTCAAAAATTCTATGTGGAGAATTGCGTGGAGCGTCGTCTGAAGTCTCATCAAAAACGGTTGTCGTCTTAAGAGCTGTCGTCTTATTTGCTGGTCACTGAGAGAGGGGTCAGCCGAAATTACATAAAATTTAGGAAAATACCGCAAATAAATAACTCAATATGCACCGGTTGGTCGTTCTAAAGCTTTTTCTCAAACGTAATTAACCTGCCTCAATCGCGCAAACTTATACGATACTTTAATTGACGTCATCAAAGCATTAATTTGAATAACTTTGATGTACTCTATTTACATTAGGGACCCGGTTAGTTCCTTGAGACCCCTCTATCACAATTTTACCAGGAGCCGTTATTTTTGCGATTTATAATCATTTTTTATTTGGTTTTGAGTAGATTGTCGGAAATTTTTCTAAGCATGAAAACTGAGGGCGAGGCGGACTAGATATACCAGAAGATATCACAAACCGTGTAAAACTATATACTCACTTTCACGCTGCTCTTCAATGCCCAAGTACTCCCCGATCGCCCGAGCACTTTGGTTCTAAAATTCAACAATTTTCGTAAAATTTACAAACTTCTAACAAAAACAGCCGATTGCTGTGGAAGTAGCACAGATGTTTTCGACCATATTCTTTAAAAATTTCCAAAAAAACTTTAACATTAGTTTTTTTGGCTCTTTTCCAGTTCCCCCCTTTCAAAATACCGAGTTTTATATTTGTTTTACGTGTTATTACGGCTAAATGCGTGATGTTAAGCTGTAACGTAAGAAGAACAAATCTGTTCACAGTTGTCTATTTGCTCGCCACTCCAATTTTCATTGCATTATGTCAACTTTAAATAAGCTTTTCAAAATTGAATTTGAAAAAGGGAACTAGAAAAGAGCCATTTTTTTGCGATTTGTATGATGAAAAGATCCGAACGAAAGCCTAGAACTTAGGTACTTCCAATTGTCATAGTTAAATTGGCATATTGGGCAACAGTCTTATTCGGAAAATGACCCAAAAAACGTCAATTTTGTTTTGCAGGAATTTTTCTGATTTTTTTATTCCCAAGATGACGCTAAAAAAACTTCGAAAACTAACTTTACTGGATTTTCCAGGACTCAAAAATATTGCCAGGTTTTGCTTCACTCCTAATACTGCCACCAGCCACTTTCGAATTTCGAAGTAGAAAAAATGGCCTTAAAGATCTTTAAGTTTCTAAAAAAATGTATGAGTGACACATTTTTGATAATTAACCCAAATTGAAAAAAGTGGACCAAAAGGTACATTTTTTTATTTCGCTGCTCAATCTGAAAACCAATTCCATTTTTGAAAGTAGAAGTCTATCGCGTTTTTTTTTGCTGTCCGATAGTGGAGAATGCCTTCGTTTTAACAAAGGAAATGAACAGAACTTAAAAAGAAATCAAGTCATACCGACAAAATTAATTTGAGCCTGAACAAATTTCAAGGCTTTTCCTGAAAAAAGAACAAAAAAAATCATCACGGCCAACATAAGAGTCTGAACTTTGTTCATCGACTTTTAACAACTATATATGGCCCTTTTAACAACTAAATCTGCGAATCGCAGAGAATCTATCAAAAGAGACTTTGGAAACTTTTTCCTGAAAAAATAGGCAAAAAATCACCAAGACCTATAACGGAGTACTCACTACATTCATTACTCTTTAAAAATGATTGACACTCGAAACAAAAAAACTAAGTGCTCTGATTGGTCATGTTTTCTTCATGTTTTGCTCAACTATAAAAATTGACCAATCAGCGTTGATTTGCAAAATTTTTTATTGTTTTCACTAAATAAATGTTCAGTATAGTTAAAAAGAACCACCTTTCATACTTTATCAGTGGTAACTTTGTTACTTCAAAATTTTAGTGATGTTAGTCTACAAACTGAAAAATATACCAAAAAAACAGGCACCCGAAATATATTATGACCCCCACCTACAGTAACCGGCTGTATTTTTGAATTTTGTATGATTCCACTGACTAAACACTAAAATCGACTCGACTTTGGGTTCGAATTTAGGGCGTTCTAAACAAAGGATTTCCTGTCGGACACTGAAATATTTGACCACCTCGGTCAAAACAAAATTCCCAAATCTTGAATTAGTCCCAAATATCTCTCTAGCCCCTCACGATCACACGGGATCTTGAAACATCGGGATCTTGTTAACACAATTCCCACCCCCTTTTTCCAAAAAGGGGGATTCGTTACAAAATTCGTATATGCTTAAACTGTTTATTTCTTTCTTAATAGGGGGGTGGTATTCGTTACAAAGTACATCAAGGGGGGGTGGTATTCGTTACAAAGTACCACAGGGGGGGTAGGGGGGGGGGGATAGTAAACAAGGTCCGAAACATGATCTTGTGTAGAATGTTTTGCGAACTTACCTTGCATACAAAGAGTGGCGGCACACGGATGTTGTTGTTTTCGATGTCCAAATCAGTCATGTTGGCGAAGTTTCCGAAGTCGAAGGGCAGATTTTTCAGCTGGTTGTTGTTCAGGTTCATGCTCTGCATCTGCTGCAACATACACATCTCTTCTGGCAGTTGACCCAGCTTGTTGTCTGGCATCGAGAAGTGGATCAAGTTGCGCAGTTCTAAACAGTGGTAGGCAAACTATATGAAGATCTAGGCAGTGGTTGGTTGGCTGGAGTTCTAATTTGTCGCCCATGAATGTCAGTTCATTGGTCTCCTTTTATTCAATTAATTCGTGCCTTTCTACTATTAGCCCCTGGAAATCACAGCGAGCAACCAAAAACCTGATCAGCAAGTAGTCAGGCTTAGATTACTTTTCTAGCACCTATCGGCTATTATCATTCCGACATCCCGAAACACTCTTAAAGTATGAACCCCAATATCTCATTTAAGCTCAGGGCGCCGATATTTTCAAAAGGGTATAAAATATCACGGTGTGAAACTACTATTTTGGTAAATTTTGCATAAAAAATGTTTGACTTTGACTTTGGTGAGAAAAGCACTGACCACATATCACTTTATAAATTGGAAGGCTTAAAAAGGGGTGTATATCTCACTGGCGATTGTGGGAGGCAACTCGGCGATGTCGTTGTGAGCGAGGTACAGCTCCTTCAGATTTGTCAAATGCATGATGTCTTCGGGCAGAGACTCGATCTAAAAAAAAACACTCAATTTTACATTCCAGAGTAGAAGCCGATTTAGAGGGAGGCGCACGCCGTGTTTTTTCGGTTATAATCCCTTCTATAATCGGAGGGGGTATAATCGAAAAAAAACTCCGGATGCCCCCCCCCCCCCCCCCCAGGGTTTCGATCAAAGCAAAGGTTCCCCTTTGGTACTTTTTAAGAAACCCAATTTTGGCTGACCAACCCTAAAACTTTTCTAAAGGCGCCTTTGGTGGCAATATATACTATTTTTGAGTGGGAGCGCGCGCCAACAAACAGAATTTTTTGTTTGAGACTTTTAAAAAGTGCCTAAAAACCCTTTTCGGCCTGCTTTTTCAAAAATTCAATTCGAAAAATCAATTTGGTCGACCTTAAAAAAAGTCGACAAAATCTTTTGATAATCCGCCCCCCCCCTCCCCTCACGAGAAACTTCTAGAACCACCCTGTTTCAGACAACTCATTTTCGTTCTCATTAGTTCTGCACGAAATATTTTGGTTTTTATCAGTAAATAAAGCGCATTATCACATTTTTACAGTAAAAACTGACTTTGATTCCCCAGTTGATTCCCAATTGTGAAATTTGAAGGTTTTGTAAGAAAACTTCGCGTTATGCCATATCGGATACTACCAAAGATTTGAATTAAGTAATACGAAAACTTAAGATGACTTTACTAAGTTCATGACAAGATATAGTCAAAATTTTTTAAATAATTAAATCCTACACTCTTGTAAATGGGTCTAGGACAACAAGCCGACAGGACTTCAGGCCGAAATTTATACTTTAAAAGCACCTCAAACACTATTTTGTCATCTGTAAAATGGTATTTTTCAAAATTTAGGCCAGTTCATTCCACAATTAGCGTTATTCATGACAATGCACCCCTTAGGAATGGCATCCATAATTTAAATCTGCCGGATTGATCTCGAATTGAATAAATTGTACAAATAAAAAGCGCATACAACAGTGTTTTAATTTTCAACTTTCCTAAATATCAATTACAGACAAATATTTTCCGAAAAAGCGAAAAGATGGTTAAGGAAGATTGTGAAATTGAGAAATTCTTCAAACCAATCCTTCATTTTAATCATATTTCTTGACTTTTAGAGAAAATTTTCGGCTTGAAGTCCCTTTTTTATGATTCGGCTTGAAGTCCCATCGGCTTGATGTCAGGCAACCCTTGTAAACGAAAAAGTGATAATACAATGGGGGCCGGATATCAAGCCAATGGGACCTCTAGCCCCATCGTAAAAAAAAGGGACTTCAAACTGAAAATTTTCTCTTAAAGTCAAGAAATATGATTAAAATGAAGGCTGGTTTGATAATTTTATCGATTTCATGATCTCTTTACCTTTTCTGGCTTCTTCGAAAATATAAGAATCTAATTGAAGTTTAGGAAAGTTGAAAATTAAAATTTTGTTGAACGCGCTTTTTATGTTTATAAGTTATTGATATCAAAACCCCGCCGATGTAAAATATGGATGCCATTCCTAAGGGGTGCATTGTCATGAATAACGCTCATTATGCACTAATCTTGCCTAAATTTTGAAAACTACCATTTTACAGATGAAAAAATGGCGTTTTGAGGTGCTTATAAAGTTTAAGGGATCTTGTTAACTATTCCCCCCCCCCTATTTCGATTTTCAGAAATTCAACTTTGGCGGCCACATTTTCAATAGCTTAAAACAATTTTCAGAAAAGATAGATAGTTAAAACTTTTTATGTGAGTAATACAAATACGAAGCTCGAAAATGAAAATCACCATAATTGTTGACATTTTTGAAATGCATATTTTATACAGAAATGGTTGTCAAAAATAATACAGGCATAGAGGAGGGCGGGGGGGGGGAATAGTTAACAAGGTCCAATAGGGGGGAAATAGTTAACAAGATCCAGTTCAAGTTTCGGCCTGAAGTCCCTTCGGCTTGATTTCATGTCGGCTTGTCCTAGACCCAAGAAAAGGTTTGATAATGCTCATATTGTTTTATTGTTAATTCATGATCGCCTTATTGTTGATTCATAATCGCATTAGGGGCGTGATCACGCTCAAGTTTTGACGTAAATGAAAAAACAACAAAAAATAGGAAACTAAGGAAACAAAAGACTATCCTTGACAAGACCTGTTTTGAATAACTCTTTTAAAAATCCCCACCTCCTGGTTAAATAAATGACCTTGAAAGAGTTTGTCTCGCTAACCTTGGTTCCATTATTCTGCACAAAGTGCAGCACTTGTAGACTGGGCATGGTGCATATCTCCGGCGGGAACTTGGCGAAGTTGTTATTGCTCAAGTTCAGGAAGGTCACTGACCGCTTGTTCCGCATCTTTAGGCCAATTTCACTCAGCGAGTTATCTGGACAAGATCAAGATTTGCAAATTAAGAAAAGTTGAGAACATCGTCAACAGAAGTTTGGAAAGTGTTTATGAACCCAAGAAAACCGAAAAAAAATTACACTTCTATGAACATTTTTCAACTTCCGAAGAAGTGCATCATTTTATAGCTCTTTCAATTTCAAGAAATTTTCGTAATTGACACTTTTTTTCTTAGAATCAAACTATTTAGAAAATACTGGGTCAAAAGGTAGTTTTTATATTTCGCTGGAAACCAAATTTCGAAACCATTTTTCCGCGCTGAGCACAATTTCCCCTGCTTTTAGCAAATGAATTTAAATAAAACTTGAGCAGAAATCAAAATCAAACCACAAAAAAATCGCATTGAGCGTGACTGGGCGTGAAAGAAAGCAAAAAACATCTAAATAAGTATCTCACATGTGTGAATCAAATCAACGTTAAAAAGCAATCTACAGGTGCCTGGATAATTTATATGCCTGGACGGAGATCTGATTAGCAGTACTGCCCATCGAATCGGTTAACCTGGAAGGAAAAAGAAGATCTTCTATCCCAGCATCTTCTATGATACAAAAATACTATTAAACGAAATGGTCTGAAATTACAAAACAGTTCATAAAGGTGCCGATTTTCTTTAAAGTAGTTATTGAAAAACTAAGTTGAAAGAATCCCACAAAACTTGTAGCATCTGCTTTAAATATGTAAAATTTGTAAACCCTTAAATGAAAGCGAAGCGATCTTTGTTTACGTTTGTTTGAAAACTTCGTAACTGCAATTAAGCCTTTTGTTTTGCGCCCAGTATAAATTTGAGACAGAAAACCATTATCTTTCTTCGATCTTAATTCATCGAAAATTACAAAAAGCCAAATAGATATGCCACCATTGAAGCTTAAATTAGTCAGGTTGTGGTAGACTTGAGCTAGACTTCAAGTGAGAGCTCGCCCTCACACACTATCATTACCATCACAGGAGATCGAATGCATATTATGAAGTTATCAAACAGAAAACGCCTTTACAACATGCTATAAATCTGTCTTTGAGCCAATTACGTAATAATGCAACTAACCGGACATGTCCAAAATGGACAAACTTGGGATGAGTGCCAGCTCTTCGGGAAATTCTGAAAACTTGCAGCTCTGCAGATGCAAAACTGTCAATTTAATCAAACTTGATACATCTTCGGGCAGCACCCTTATCGCGTTGTTATCCATGTGCAGAATCTGCAGGTTGGGCAAGTAGCAGATAGGCTCGGGAAACTCTGTGAACCTATTTCGCGACAATGCTAGATACCTCAATGTCGTCAGCTCCTGAATGTCATCGCTCAGCCCTACAATTCGGTTCCCGCAAAGAGATAAAGACTCCAGACATGGCAGAGCCGTTAGACCTGGACACAGTTCCATTAGCATATTGTCATCTGCCGAGAAATGTCGCAAGTTCTGGAGATTTTCAATTTCAATAGGGATTTCAGAGATCTTGTTGGAATCCACGCTAAGCATTTCCATCAAATGCAACATGCATAGTTCCTCCGGGAACTCAGACAACATGTTTGCTCCCAAGTACAGCTCCTGAAGATGGTCACAGTATGCGATTTCAGCTGGAATGGTCTTGATCAGATTTCCTTGGAGTCCCAGAGTTTGAAGATTCCTTAGATACGCAATCTCAGACGGAATCGAGCTTATCTGATTATTGTTCAGACCCAAATGCCTCAAGTTCTCCAAATTAGCAATTTCCGCGGATATCTGCGAAATTTTATTTCCAGATAGAGCCAAATCTTGAAGAGCCGAGAGCCAATATATTTGGACTGGGATAGTGCGCAATTTATTATTGTCAAGGAGCAGCTCTTTCATATTGATAAGATGTTTGATTTCGGCAGGAAGCGACGCAATAGCGTTGTCTGATAGTCCAAGCTTGGTCAAAGATTCAATCTGGGTGATTCCTGAAAATCAAATGAAATCGAATAACATAATCGAAAACAAAACAAAACAACAGTTAATAAATGTAATCAAAGCTTGCTAACCTGAAGGAAGACAAGACAGCTGATTGAAATTCAGGCCCAGTACTTGCAAATTAGAGAGACGTTTGACTTCGTTCGGCACGTCTCTCAAGTTGTTCGAGTTGAGACCCAGAACCTGAAATTGAATGGAGATATAAGCAAGCCATAGCTTACCAGAAATCATGAACTCCTGGCAATAAACTCGCCAAAGACTGATATAAATGAAAAAGTTTTCGAACATCGGTTTAAAAACTTATCATAGCTAAGATATTTTTTTTCTGGCAGTTTATGTCAGCCTCTTCTTAAGCTTTACTTCAGATCATTAACATTCCAAACGAACGGTTGATCTTTCTTTCTTTCTTTCTTTAGCATATGTTGGGTGGGTTCCGCTCATCCGTCTCCAGGCTAAGAAACTTCGCTACTTCAACCGGCCTTGTTTAAACCTGCCTAATTTGTACCAACTACAGCTTCATGAGAAAATTATAACAAAATTGGTAGTGAAATCCTCAACTACTCATCTAGCGTTAAATTGGCCTGAGGTCGTTTTTTTAATGAAATGGTTTCGTGAACACTTTTCGTAAGGCATTTTTGAACAAAAAGGGACATTGGTAAAAGAAAGGATCACAAGTGACTTCAAGGAACCAGCTTTTTTAAAAGAAACCAAGATGCGACCATGTCTCAGTCTATTGAAAATTTTTGTTCAAACCCAGAATAAATTTTGTCGAATATGGTCCTTGAAAAATAGCATTTCGAGAGAAAAAACTTCAATCTTGTCTAGTTTTTACCACTAATGTACGTTTTGAATGTTAGCCGGTATAAGTGAAAAAGCTCTTCGTGCATTAACAGTTAAAATAAAAAGTAAACAATTATTTGTTTACCGTTAGTTTATCCAACGCTAGAATGGACACTGGGAACTGGTCGAAGTTATTGTTATTCAGAAACAACTGTGTCAGAGAACCGAGCCGGGCCACGTCTGCAGGCATTTCACTTAGATTGTTCATACTCAGTTCCAGAACAGCGAGGTTGTTCAGACGCGATAGATGCGAGACATCCAACTCCGCGATTCGATTCTTCCGAAGCAACAACACTTCGAGGGTTTCACGGTACTGTTCCAAGTCATCTGGCACTGAGTCGAATTGATTGTCATTTAGAACCAAATAGTGAAGTCCTTGAACAAAACAACAATGATATTGAAATGATCGCATGCTTGTAAGTAGAACTTTCAGGTTCGAAATGGTATTAATCGGTATTGATTTTTTAAAACTTGATTTGGAACACCAAGACACGCTCACATTTGCTAGTTTGAAATAGACACAATGAATACATCTATTTCGGATTCATATCTAATTCTTTTTCGAAAAACCTTTCGCTTTTGCCAGTTTTTCTGGAAATTCAAATATGATCTTAACATAAGATAGGACTGTTATGTTGACAACTTGCCCAGAGGAGACGCCACTCAGCAGATTTCCCAAGTTGGTGCTTCATCAATTTATACATTATTTGAACTTTGATTGTAACATACAAATTTGGAGAAAAATTTTATTGTTCCGACCATTGAACAGGAAATTTGTATTTGTGTGTGTTTTAGTTTGTTCTCTATTTTTGTCTTCCACGTGAAATCAGTTATCACAAAAATCATTGGACTGGGTTGAGTGATAAATCCTATTAAACCCCTTTCAGTCGTGATTCGAACGACATTGATCAACTTCCAAACAAAATCCCAGTGTCGAGAAAAACTGGTTTGAATATTTTGGTTTTTTGGCTACTATCATAACTTGATCATAAAAAGTGATCATAAAAAAGTGATCATAAATTGTTAAATTACCCATTTAGATTTTAAATTCTTGAATCCTCCCAACGAAAACCAGTTTTGAAACTATAATTGGCACTTCCTTGGCAAGAAAAATAAAAAAAAAATAAAATATTGCTAAATTTCGAAATGTATTTTGATTTTTTTTTTTTCATTTTTGTTTGTTAGATTATTTTTTGTTTGTAATTAATTTTTGATGCCTAATTTACTAACTTTTACGCGTTTATACAGTTTAATCATCACACCACGTACAAAAACAACACTAATTTGGAGAACTTAATAATTTAAAGAACTTTCATATCTAGTTTTGATGACTATGGTCGAAACATTCTGTGCTACTTGCCAAGCAACCGGCTATCCCTGTTGTAAATTAGCTTTGGATCTATAGACGTTTTTGTTATTTTAAGACCATAAACTAATTTCGAGAGAATCTTTAGAGCAGCTTGATCGATATAGTTATCTATTCAATCTTACCAAAAAGCTTTGAACTATCAAAATTGCTCCGACCAATGAAAATTGGGAAAAACTTAGTATATTGAAAATTGGGAATAACTTCAGTAAAGTTATTTTTTTGGAAATTGTTCGCAACATTTTCTTTCTAAATTCAACAAATTTTGAATTTTTTCAAGATTTGTTTTACGTTTTTTTGTTTTTCCAATAATTACTCTACAAAAACTGTTTTCCATTTTGTCTATTTTATTATGACTCGAATATGCCTAAGTTCTAGAAAAAAACATTTTTTTTTGTATTTTTTAAGGCTACAGTCGGAACATTCTCTGCTACTTGTACAGTAACCGGCATGCTTGACTTGATGTAAATTTTTGAATTACTTTTTTTTCGTTTTCAAAAAATGGTCTATGATAAATTTCTGTTTATCCTGGTCTTGTTCCTATGCTTCTAGGGAATTCACTTGGTTTATTTCAAATCATTATCATTTTCATCCAGCTTCAAATTCAAAAAAATCAACTACCAAGAATATACTTGGTATAAAAACCAAACATAGCAATACAATTAAAAAATATTTACAGTTCGGCAATTGGATTGATTTCTTCTCTACAATCAAGACAGATAGTCAAATAATTTCCTGGAATGGTTTCTTACCTTGATCCGACTGCAGATACGAACTCTTTTCTGGTACTTTTTTCAGAGCCCGAGAACTTAATTGAAGTCCCACTTTGCTATCCTCAGTCAAGAACACCGGTTCGAACCCCGGCCCGGTCTGGCTGTCTCCACTTTCAGATAGATGTTCATCCTCTCCCGTCCAACTCAGCTTCCTCTGCGTTGATCCCGGTCGCACGTGGTCATCAGTCGTGACCGGCCGACTGATCACAACTTCCTTGGCTGCCTGCTGGGAGGAAGTTGCTAATGATGAATCTACATCTACGGATGAAACCATGATTCTAATCTGAAAGTATTTCAACTAGGAATGAAACTACTGATTTGCGTGGCAGATGATTTTGATGAACTCGTAGTAAAGTTTTGGTTTCAATGAACGATGAAACAAAATAAAAATTAGACTCAGACTAATGATGAAATAAAAACAAATTGTTTTTGAATAAATATGACATTTATGATTGTTATCTAAACAGTATGTACCATGTTATTGAGAACTTAAGGAGAGCTACTGCTCTGTTTTCAGAATCTCTGATATCGGTTCTCTATTTATCTCGACTTGGAAAACTTCTGGTGCAAGAAATTCGGATGCATTAGCAAGGTTATTTCCTCAGACCAAATTTGTTTAGAAAAGTATTCACAATTCAGCCATACCATACCAAAGCACAGTAACAATTAGAACACGAGATCTTCATTTTTAATATAAAAACTCAGTCGAGAATAACCGCGAAGTGAAGCTGTTTCTAAATGTTTCGAAACATTTAGAGACAGAGGCGAAGCTGAGCTTCGCGCCATTGTGTCTAACTGTTTCGAAAAGTTGAACACGGATTGATCACGGTTTTCTTCGGAAACTCACCAATGAAAAAGTTAAACGCTGAAAAAGTGATTTTCCGTAGCTCCATAAATTAAAAAGTAATATTTTTAATTTTACATTACATTAAAAGTTTGTTAATAAAAAAACAAGGTTTTGATTGTCTGTAACTTATGTGAAGGATAAAACCTCAAACAGGGCTTGTAAAAACGCTTTCGAACGAAGCGTAGCTTTGTATCACCTGCGAGCCAGAGAAACTCCTTATTCAATCAAAAAAACTTTTAAAATATAGGTAAATATGCAGCCAACAGACAAAATTCGAGAAATAAATTACATAAAACAGATAAAAATGACTGACTTGCAAAAATTTCAAAAATATCTCATTTGATTCGGCTAGTTATACCCAACTGCGAAGATGCATTTCGCATACACCACGCGTGCGTTTGCTCCGCTGTCTAACCAAGCACAAACTTCAACAAAACCCTGAATGTTTCAACTGCATTTTAACATATGCAATAGCTTTTTTAAAAAAAATGAAAAAAGATAAACAAATTTTTTGCTTTTTTTGTGAAAATTCGACTATAATTTTCAGTACACATTCTTTTAATAAAGCTATATTTCTTGTCTAGTAAGGCCTTACCAAAAAATAAATTGACTGAAAGCTCCAAAGCCTAGCTGTCTTAAGCCGATAAGGCCAAAGAGCGCGACTCAAATTGAATTAGAATGATTTTTGAGATGGATTAACATGTTGCAGAAAACTAATACTTGGTTCATATTAATGATCCCAATTTCAAATTATGTTTTTAATATCGAAGACATAACAGTTTCTAAAATTGGTAGGTGGAACATAGCAAACATACAGTTATAAAAACGTCAACGAACGCAAGAGAAAAAAATATACTCACATATGTTTGAAAAATCTCAACTTTGAAATTTCAAAAAAAATCTTGACCCTACAGCTCTTTGAATTTTTCGAACAAATTATGATTGACACTTTTTGATAAAAAAAATAAACCAATTGAGAAAACTGGATCAATAAGTAAATTTTTTTATTCCGCTGGAAAATTTGACACAGAGGCCATATACATGCGAGAACACGACCAAAAAGCCGCTCTATCAATTGAAATAATAAAAAGTAGAAATAAGCCTCGAGATAAAAACCCGGCTACTGGTACGATTCAAATCTGCGACCTACTGCAATTAAGCGATTTTGAGTCGCACGCACTATCCACTCAGCCACGCAAGCTTAACAACCGACAAACACTAGTCACGAATAAAGCAGCTACATATGCTAATAACTTGCCAAATCGATTCTGCAAAAGTGGCACTAAATACAAATAGACTCAATTTTGCATGTAACAACTCGCAAAGCATAAAGCCATACTATGTATAAATTATGCATTTCAAATGCGCATTTCATTATCGTTGTTGTTTGAAACAAATCATTTTTTTCCGGTTCATTTGCTGAATTAAAAATGCATGAACTGTGTTAATTTATTACTATTCGAATGTCAAAGCACATGCTATCAAAAAAAACTGCGAAGGTGCCTCACCATTATTTGGGTGCCGCACCATGAAGTTGGAAAAAAGAAGGTTCGTACTAATAAACTCGCTTCGCAAGTGTAAAAATATAAATCCACGTTGGAAACCATAATTCGATCACGCTTTCAGTGACCTTTAAGCTTTTGTTGTTCGATAAAAGAGTTTGCCTTCCTTTCAACAAAGGAAATGAAGTGAACTTATTCAGAAACAAAGAGTCAAACGGCGTAAAATCAAAATTTAGCGTTCTACTATAAAAACATTGGCCAAAGAAAAACAAAAACAAACATATGCAAGGATAGCCGGCTTGCACAGTATGTTCCGACCATAGTCTTAAAAAATACTGAAGAGATGTTTTTTTTCATATAATATAGTTTTTTCTGCGTGGTGTGATAAAAAAAATCTAAACGTGAAACTAGAGTTTAGGTATACACGACAGTCATAGTAAAAAAAGCTTATAGAACACATTTTTCTAATAAAATGACTAGAACAAAAAAATAGACAAGAAAATTCAATTCATTTTTTTTTTGTAAAAATATTTTGAATCGTAAGTTTTTAGGGCTTAAATTAAACATATATAAGCTAATGCAATTTTTCTCGCCCGATTTATTTGCCCTAAATTGGACTAAAAATCAAGAATTTTTAATCTTTTTCGAATCACGACTGAAAGGGCTCCAATTTGGTATAACAGTCGACCCTTTCCGATGATTATTTCTGGTACCCGGTTTTGCCTGAAAAAGAAAAAGCTAAAAAACACCCGAATTCAAAGTTCCTGTTCAATTTCAATGGTCGGAACAAAAACCACCAAGATCTATATAAAAGTATTCACTATGTTTAAGAATCTTGAAAACAAACATCACTGCCTTTTAATTGTATTCTCTACACTCATTGAGATTGCCAAAGTACACCCTACGCCATAGTGCGCTCCTTCCCTTCCCTTCGTTACGTGGTCGGAACGATAATCTAACACTCAATTTGCTATGTTATCAAATTTCGAGTGTATTATGTTCATCGGTGTAAACCTCGTCACAATAGCCAAGAAGTGCACAAAACAGAGTTTCTATACTGCTGTTGCTTTTCGAGCTGAAAAAATCAATATCGTCGATAAAACTTGTGGATCTGCCAGCCTCTAAAAAATTGTACAAAAAACAACAATACAATTATACTAAGAATTTCAAAGACCCAATATAAAAAAACTGTTTTCCGATAAATGCTGATTCACGATTCGGTCATCTTTCACTTTTAGAAAGGAGTAAATTATAAACTAATAAAAAGTTAAATTATTGATGTATTCTGCGGTAAAAAACTATTTTCTAAAATATTTACAAGTAAAGCTAAATGATATGATAATTCTGTTAGGATAGACAATTTTAATGCAATTTACAAATCTGAACATTCAGTTATTTCAAATCAAATGAACATAGAAAAAGAAGGTTTAAATGAAGATAGAAAAATATTAACATAGCCAACAGACAGTTGAAAAAATGTCAATGAACTCAAGAAAACCAAAAAAAGACCGATTTTTTTCGAAGCCTCTCTATACTAAAAAAATATAAGCCTTGCGGCTCTGTGTATTTTAAGATTTTTTATGATTGAGACTTCTTTGTTTAAATTGACTCAGCTTGAGCATCTTTAAAAATTTCCCATAAAAAGTGAAGAAAAGTCACTCGACATAAATGTCTTCAGTTCGCTCATTGACACTAATCAACATATTTGGTGAACAAACATTTTTGAAGATAGATTGGATAATTATTTAAGTAGATTTCAGACTCTGCGCATCACAGAACTGCTTATACATTCCTCCTTTTGAAATCAGTTGGTCATGGGAGCCTCGCTCCACAACAGCGCCCTGATCGACCACCATAATCTCATCGGCTGCCTGAATAGTCGTGAGTCTGTGAGCAATCACCAAACATGTGCGACCTTTACGCGCTTCATCCAGGGCTTGTTGTACAATCTAATGAACAAATAATTATTATTAATTTAGTTATTCACACTTATTAATCTTACCATTATTTTTTTAGCAATAGGGCTACACAAACAAGTAGAACAGAGAGTTCCGACCACAATCATAAAAATATAGCCAACTGACAGTCGGAGTAATGAACGCAAGGAAACAAAAAAAGAATGCATTAATAGCATTAAGACTTTTGAATTTCGAGATCCAATTATGATTAACAATTTGTTGATAAAGTAGACTCAATTTGAGAAAGCCGGTTCAATAGGTATATTTTTAATTCCGTTTCAAAACCATTAAGATGAGCACAATTTTTTTGGTACACCTGTATTGTTGGGATCTTCGCTGGTCTGGTGGATGGCAACTTGTTTCGAGAGTCACTTCCCGTACTGAACTTTTCGTGCCATTTCACGGCTGATCATCCATTTAGCAGGGGACAGAATATTCTCAGGACTGTTCCCCCATTATGCAGGGCTGTTCACAAGTGAGCATGCGTATTTTTCTACAGACATGGTCGTACCTGGATCTTACATGATCAGACCTGAGTGAAACATGTTCATGCCTGCCGCAGACATGATAACGCCTGACTGAAAACTTGACAAATTCATATTTATTTATACATTACTTCGTATCTTGACTAATTGGTCTTTGTTGTTAAAAATTCACTTTTTCAAATTTTCTTCGAAATAAGCTTATCCAAATTTACCTCCTCGAGTCAAATATCTTCAAATGAAGGAAGCTGTATTGCATCTACATCCCAAAAAAGAGGACGTCAGGTTAGTTTCAGGGGGTCAACGGGAGGGATAGTCGAAAAAACTAAATATCCCCAGGTTTGAACTAATTAAAGCAATTCGTCACAAAATTTTTTGGCCAATAATCCCTCAATTTTCGCAAACCAATAGCCGCAATTATTGCGATTAAATTAAAAAGATTTGATTGGTGGATACTATTAATCTCATTGAATAGATTAACAACAAATGTGCGACTACTTTTTAACGCATGATTTTTGCAAAATTTGATTGGAACATAAAAATCTTTAAATTTTCGCAAACCAGTAGCCACAATAATTGCGAATAAATTAAAAAGATTTGATTGGTTGATACTATTAATCTCATTAAATAAATTAACAGCAAATATGCGACTACTTTTTAACGCATGATTTTTTGCAAAATTTGATTGGAACATAAAAATCTTTAAATTTTCGCAAACCAGTAGCCACAATAATTGCGAATAAATTAAAAACTTTCAAAACTGCGGTACAGCTCATGACAACAAAACCCTTTGGTTGATATATTTTTTTTGGAAAAATGGCTAGTTAAAAAGTCAAAATTTTTCTGGAGAAAAAAACCTACCCCGAGCGCAAATACTTTTGAATGAAATTTAATTTTGTTTAATTTAGTTAAAAGTTTTGACTAACAATTAGTTTTATGTTGACAGGAAACAGAGAAAAGTATCCACACGCCCCACTACCAACGACTCCCTGCTTGCAATTAAAGAAAGATGCATCTACCCACTACAGTCAATTTTCAACAAAAAACTTCACCGATGTCAGAAAAAATCTGAAAAAAAAAAAAACTAAAAATTTGAAGTAAAGTGTCACATTATCAAGCTGAGCTTATGATGTTGTTACAATTTAACCATTTCTTTAATTATCTTATAATACTGAAGATACCGATTTGAGCATATTCGGTTCAGGCATGGTCATGTATCCTGCAGATGTGAGCATGTTTAGTTCAGGTATGATAATGTATCCTGCAGGTGTGAGCATATTCAGTTCAGGCATGATCATGTATCCTGCAGGTGTGAGCATATTCAGTTCAGGCATGATCATGTATCCTGCAGGTGTGAGTATATTCGGTTCAGGCATGATCATGTATCCTGCAGATGTGAGCATGTTTAGTTCAGGTATGATCATGTATCCTGCAGGTGTGAGCATGTTCAGTTCAGGCATGATCATGCATGCTGCAGGTGTGAGCATATCTTCAGTTAGCACACCTGATGCATGTCTGATGCAGGTATGTGCATGCCGAATATAGACATGCTGCACATCTGTTACAGACATGAATTTTGCATGATTTTACAATGATCAGATATGATTATGGCCAAAAAGTTCGGTACGGGTTACTATCTCTTGTCCCGGTGGAGCTAATTGAACCTTATTTACCGAGAAAATAACAGAAGAATTGAAGGATTCGCATAAGAAGAACGTTATCATAATGGGAGGTACTAAAAACCTTAAGCATGAAGCAGGTGCCAGATTAACAGACCCGGTAAAAATCTAATGAAATAATCTATCTGGCTGACTTTCTGACGTTTGAGGGTTTCAATATCGGAAGAAAGGATTTGATTGGACGAAAAGGGAAAAGCAAGACCATCCGAAGATGAAACCAATGTTATGTAGATGTCCCCAAAGAAATGAATGCACCAATGAATGATCATAAGAGTTAACGATACAGGCACCATACTTGAAAGGATGGGCTACATCTAAACCCTTCGGATATCCAAGAACTGGCCCTCGATTTTAGAATAGCTTTTTTAACTCACAAAAAACTTAATGGGAAGAAAGAAGAAGTTCAGATGATGCCAAAATTGAAGCATATTTTAATTTTCAAACATTTTTCTTTGGATTATAATTTGACCCGGTTGAGGGCTGTATATGAAAAAGTGCGTATTTTAACTTGACCCAGTCGAATGACGCATACAAAAAAGTGACAGTGTTCATCATTCGTCGTTTGGGTCAGCTGAGGACTGGCCAGTGAAAAGATTCTGGATTAATGATCGATAGTCGATATGAGGGCTGAATTGTCACATCTGAGTCACGAAAGACGTGAAAAAATTAGACGATCATCATCATAAAGAAAACAACTTTAACACCCCCGAAGACAACTTTAACACGCCCGAAGACACCAAAAATACGCCTTTCAGTGCTCGGAACAAAAACTGGAAGAAATGAATCGACAGAAAATGAATTAAAATATCTGAAAGCCTAAGAACCCTTCTAAATATATTTTTGGGGTTTACCTTTTCGCTCTCACTGTCCAATGCAGAAGTGGCCTCGTCCAGTAACAATATCTCCGGGTCCCGCATTAGAGCCCTGGCAATAGCCACTCTCTGCTTCTGACCACCTGACAACTGTGTTCCCTTGTCCCCAACATTTGTCTCCATTTTCAATGGCAAAGAATCGACAAAATTCCAAATATTCGCCTTCTTGGCTGCACGAACAACATCGTCATATTTCAGTTTGGGCTCGAACTGGCCGTTCTCTGTAAGTGCACCGTAGCGGATGTTATTGGCAATAGTCTCGTTGAACAAGGTCGGCTCCTGACTTACAATAGCCATTTTGCGTCGAAGACTCTGGATGTTGAATTCTCGGATGTCTTGGCCGTCAATCATCTGAGACAATTAATGAAAATTTATCTTCTTAAATGACCGATCGGATAGGACAATTAATGCTACAGACATTTAGTAGCTACTGCAATTATATTTTCTTTTGGAAGCAAACTTCTTTAGAATCATTATAAATGCTCAGTGGAACTTACAACACTTCCGTGTTCGACGTCATAGAAGCGCTGGATCAGTTGCATGACAGTGGATTTACCACAGCCAGAGGGTCCGACCAATGCCACTGTCGTTCCTTTTTTCACACTCAGATTCATACCACGGAGGATTTTTACGTTGGACCTCGATGGATAGCGGAAGTGCACATCCTTCAATTCTATCATCCCAATTTCACCTCTCTGAAACAACTCAAGGCCGTGAAACCTTTTTAAAAAAATAATTATATAATCGCACAGCTCAGATTAATTATTTTGAGCTGTGGAAAAATAAATTTAAAGGCGTTTCTATATTTAGAACACAAGTAGATTTAAAATATTTTGGATACCAAAAACGGTATAATTGGTAGAAAATGCGCACTAGTTATTCAAAATACTATTAAATTTACATTACCAAGACTCTGCATACAGACATTTTAGACAAACTGACCTGACTTTTGCCCTGTGTTGATAAGTTGTCGAAGTTGGGCTCATATGCGAGTAGTTTGGTGATCGAAAGGGCAGCACGTCTCGCCTTCTCGTAGTCGGGAACCATAGACATTGACTGCCCCACTCCCCAAGCAGCAAACACCAGACAGAATATGACCCTAAGCATTCCCATTCAGAGTATTAATCCGTAGAAAGAACATTTAAAAAAGCAACTACTTATCTGCTAGTGCAAACTTGCTTTTGTCTCATAAAAAGATTATGTAATTAGATGTACAGACGTATTCTGGTTTGTTCAAAAACAAACAACTTCAAAATCACTTAAAAGGAAAACTAAAATTGACGAATTGAAACACCAACTGAACCTTAATAGCATGAAAGCAGACTATATATATCAGATTATCATGCAAAACTCAATCAATGAGCACCTAAAAACCACGTCCGGGCTAAAAAACAACAACAACAACTGATGAAAGCACGCACCTGAAAGCGTCAGGTGAGCTCATGTGTCCTTCTGTGATGAGGAAGGCGGAGAACCTGAAAGTGGCCGCAAACACGAAAAAGAACATGCCCTGGCTGATACACTGGGCTACTCCAAACACATGGGCCATCACGAGATTTTTCCTGAAATCACATCAATACACATGAGCAAGCACGGGTCTCTATCAGGATTTTCTTGAAAAAGGAGAGGGTGCAATTTTCAAATTTATAGAATGGGTTGACCAGAAGCGGATACCGTAAAACAGTACCGAAGGGGATCCATTGGGTGTTCCAGGGGTCGAAATTTTGAGTCGAGGAGGGGGATTCACCCCTAAATCCACTAACGTAAAATAGTACCAAACGTAACCCCTTTCGGTGGTCCAGGGGTCGAATCCCTGTGGCTAGGAGGGGGGGATTACCCCTGAATCAGTTACTATTCAGGATGTCATAACTAAGTTCCTCCAGAATAGTACACAATTTTTCAAAAAGAGGAGGTCATGATATCTCACTGGTAACTTTAGGTATCTCAACAAGGGCATGAAAAGCATGGATCCGAAAACAGTAAGCAGCGTGGAATGCTCATTCTTACTTGTGTGATTTTGTGAGTGACACGACAAACAAATCTGCCAGACGTATTTCTAGGTTGAGACTTTGGACAGTTCGGATACTTGATATTGATTCGGTCACAATCTAGAACACAGTTTTCAAGTTACTCATCTACGCTTACATGTTCAATTTCGGCTCTCTTCCAACTCCCGATTTGGTTTTGCTGAAATTTGATTTCTCAATAGCTATTTTGAAGTTGAATGGCTTCCGCTGATACAAATCATAATGAAACTAATAAAAAAAGTCATTGAGAACAAGCTAACAGATTTGAAAATATTCTTTTAACATGCAAATTGCCGTTAGAACACTATTAAAACAATCTAATTTTTGGTTAATTTACAAGGGGGTGGGAAACTGCAAAAGAGTTTCAATTTCTCATAGAACATATATTTAAAACACTTAACCTGGGCCTCCCCCTTGTGACCTTCAGCTGAAACTGAAAAGCCGCTGGCAAACTTCATTTGGATTCCTGCGGAGAGTCCGATGATTGGAACTATGGCCAAAATCACAAATGCCAGTTGCCATCCAAAAATGAAGGCCACCACCACTCCAGTTAGCAAACTCGCCACTGATTCCACTAAGGTCTTCAGTCTGAAACCGGAAGCCCCTTGAATTTGTGCGGTGTCCTTTGCCAATCGTGTTGTCAATTGGCCAACGTAGTTTTCTTCCTTGTCAAAGAAAGCCATGTCCTAAATATCCAAAAAAAAACTTTTGTTTCATATCAACTACATGCCAAAGCCATAGGTACAAAACATTTTGTCCAATAATCTTTCAATACCATTCGGATAATTGTCATACAGAAGTTCCCAATGAGAATATTTCAAAATTTGTCCAAAGAATATGCCTTGTTTTTCAAAATTAACGAGCACATGAGTAATAATTTGCTAATTAGTAGTAAGTAGTAATTCATTGCTACATAGTAGTCATGACTTTTTATTTATGACACAAAAAAATTACCAAAAACTACGAATAGTTTATTAACAGTAAAAACAGTTTTTGATGTTTCATTGACAAAAACTCGTTTGACAATGTATTAACGAAATCAAACTAGGTGAACTCTTATTCAAACCAAAAAATTTCAATTATTTTAGGCCTAAAACATTCTACCAGGAGATGTTTTTTTTCAGATATATTACCCGGCATAAAAACTAAAAAGTCTCCTTACTTTGAGAAAAATAAACCATTGGCCCCTAAATACCTGCTTGGGCACTTAAGGATGCGACAGATGGAATAGCATCATCATGACTACAATAAAAAAAACGAATACATGGCTCACCAAGGTTTCCAGATAAACTAAAATTGCTAACACACATAGTCAACTGACAGTTAGAAAAGTAATGAACGCAAGGAAACAAAAAAAACCAGATAGCATTCAGGCTCTCTGAATTTCAAGATCGATTTATGATTAAAATTTATTTGATAACATCGACTCAATTTGAGAACTGGTATAATAGGTGACTTTTTAAGTGGAGTTTACCCTACTCTTAACAATGAAAATGAACTGGAAAATTTTCGAAGTCAGAACGCGAAAAATCAAAACTGAGAATAAGCTAATTACAAGATTTTTACCCGAAATTAAAAAGGCGAAAAATCAAAAATGAGAATCAATAAATTTTAGGACGTTTACCTGAAAAAAAAACAAAGAATCACCAAAACCTATAAAAGTGTCTTCACTGCCTTTATTGCTCTTTAAAAAAGATTGAAAATGAACTGGAAAATTTCGAAGTCAGAACTCGAAAAATCAAAACTGAGAATAAGCTAATTACAAGATTTTTACCCGAAATTAAAAAGGCGAAAAATCAAAAATGAGAATCAATAAATTTTAGGACGTTTACCTGAAAAAAAAACAAAGAATCACCAAGACCTATAAAAGTGTCTTCACTGCCTTTATTGCTGTTTAAAAAGAATGAAAATGAACTGGAAAATTTTCGAAGTCAGAACGCGAAAAATCAAAATTGAGAGCGCGATTGAGCAAAATAAAACCCCTTAGTCTCGACGAGTAAACTAGCCAATGTTAAGATATTTTGGAGAAGAAAATCACTCATTTATTGAACTATTTTATTCGACATTCCATACAAATTCAATCATGACAAGGGATTTATATAAGTTTGGAACATTTTAACAAAACAAGAAACAATACACCACACGTTCAGAATAAAAGGCGAACAAGATTTTTTTGGGTAAATAAATACAAGTTCGAATTAACAACCAAAAAATTATATGGAAAAAAGCATTTCAAAAAATTGCAAAGCGTATCAAAAAAATTTTCAAGCTGAGCAAAATTGTCCCCTTTAATTTTAAACCTATGCTTTTTAACCAGTCTTTTACAACACAGAGTTTGATTGCGATATCAGAAAACCTCATCATTACGCTGGAAAAGCCTACTATGAGTGTCAAAATTTCACCACTAGCAAAAAAACAGTATCAACTACAAATAAAAAATACGAACGAACGAACGAAAAAATAGTTTACAAAGATTTCTACAGCAACCAGTACACGCATAAAAAACGACAAGGGATTTATATAAGTTTGGAACATTTTAACAAAACAAGAAACAATACACCACGTTCAGAATAAAAGGCGAACAAGATTTTTTTTGGTAAATAAATACAAGTTCGAATTAACAACCAAAGAATTATATGGAAAAAAGCATTTCAAAAAATTGCAAAGCTTATCAAAAAAATTTTCAAGCTGAGCAAAATTGTCCCCTTTAATTTTAAACCTATGCTTTTTAACCAGTCTTTTACAACACAGAGTTTGATTGCGATATCAGAAAACCTCATCATTACGCTGGAAAAGCCTACTATGAGTGTCAAAATTTCACCACTAGCAAAAAAACAGTATCAACTACAAATAAAAAATACGAACGAACGAACGAAAAAATAGTTTACAAAGATTTCTACAGCAACCAGTACACGCATAAAAAAATGTTCCTGGAAACAGGATTTTATCGAACAATGAAAATCAATCAACTCATCACAAAAAGGCAACTTATCACAAAATTAAATATTTTTGCTTAAAAATCAATGGCGAAGTTGCACTTCGCATACACAAGCAAAAATATGACCGATAACGCTACTGGGAATAACTAAATGAGTAAAACTTTGAATTTCTTAGGTGACGCACGCCAATTATAACGCATTAGAAATAACAGTCAATTTGAAAAGAAGAAATTTACCAATTAACATGCCTCAATTTATAGAGCAGTCTATGGAGCAGTAATAACATGAAAATATTAAATGTAAAATTTTTTTTTTTTAATTTGAGATTTTTTGTAAAAATCATCCCCCACACGTCATATTAAGTACAAAAAAAAATAAATTTCGATCCTAGAAACAAATCAATTATGCCAAATAAGCTTCCTTCAACCAATTTGGAAGGATTTCTTTGACGGATTAAATCTCCGCTTATGCGTTAATAGCGCGAAATATATCGCGCGTTATTGTCCGAAATTGGCCAAAAAGGCAATTTCTAAACCCCCATATCTTTATGAAAAATGATTACAGGTAAAATATATTTCCATATTTAAGCTCAGGACAACAATAATTTTTGAATGATAAATCTCGTCAAAAAAGGCAAATTAAAAAGTCGAAATTTGTCTCAAGAAAAAAACCAACCCGAGCACAAATATTCCGTTACTTTCGTTTCGAAAGTCGGAACAATAATAGTCTGTGTTAAAATCCTTTGCATTGGCTGTACTTAATAGCTCGTTATTGACCAAAATGAACACTTTCAAAATGAACACATTTTATCGCAACAATATTTGCGACTTAGGTTGGAAAAAAAAAATAATTCATACTATAACACAAGCATTGCTCGTTAAAACCAAAATAAGAAGGATCCAAGACAAGTATCGTACAATTAAATATCTTGGAATTCATTAGAGTTATCTTAAATGTTTTGTCTTCGTCGGCTATTTGTATTTATTTCGTTCCTTCACTGTCTGTAAACTTTTAACAATTAATGTCATCTCGATCAAATTCCAAGAATATCATAATTTTTTTTGCTCAATTAACCCACCTGTCTCAGAATCTGTCTGAACGATTGCGATCTGAGACGCTCCGTCATTCGAACTCCAGCCATGGCCAGGAACAGCGACTCGAAAAACATTCCGAATCCCACCACCATGCCCAACACGCAGAACATGAGGGCCCAGAAATTACTCTCCTCCTGAATTTCGTCAACAGGCAGGGCGAACACCTCTATGATTTCGCCAAAGAAGATGCCATACACAGGAATTCCTCCTGCTGCAGGAACCGCGAACAGACAAGCTATGAGTAGCAGGTACCACTCTGGGGCATTGAGCTTCAGAATCGCTAAAAAACTCGGCGCCGGTTCCTCCTGAAACGTATCACTTTATTTTAGTTGTTGCCAATTGTTGACCATATCAGTGACCTTCAAAATCTTCAACTATCACAAAACGGCACTTTTTTAGTTAGGATTTTCAAAAAAAAAAAAATTGCTTTTCGACGCCAAAATTTCGACGTTTTAGGCTAGTTAACTTTGTTGAGATTCAGGCTAAGCGTCGTTTACAAAGAAAAATCTGGTCTTCATTGAACACTTCACCTCTTCCTTATCATCGCCATCATCGTCATCTTTCTTTTTCTTGTCTTTCTTAGACTTCTTGGGACTGTGGTCGTGTTGCTTGTCTTTCCCGTCCTTGATGTGGACTGCCACTTCATCCTTCTTATAGGTCACTTGGGCTCCATTCTCCTCTTCTTCTCCATCTTCATCAACTGCATCTGCTCTCTCCTCTGACGACTCTGCAACATTGTTGGGAGATCAATTATATTACCAGTGGACAGTGTCAAAATCATCCCAGATAAAATAATTCCAGATAAAATCATACAAAATATAGAAAAAATCCAGGATAAAATCAACCTACACAACCTTCCAAACAAAGGCGAAAGAAATTAGGGAAAAGTACTTCCGCAAGAGTCATCTAGTTACCTCTCATCTACTGTATTTTATGTCTATTTCAACTATTCTAATACAAAATGATCCAATTCCAATGTCTGACATTCTGTTCTGGTGTTCTGATATTCCATTTATTTAGAAAGCTTTAACACAGGGCAGAAATTTTTCATGCGTACTACAGACAAAATCTGATAGACTGTTGATGCACTGAGCTAAAAAGTACAAAAAAAGGTATTGCACTTCAAAAAATCTTTAATCAATCACAGTTAATCGATGAAACTAACCCAATTTGAGAAAACTGATGGCCAGGAAAATTTTTTACTCCGTTGGGTAATCTAAGATTTTAAATTATATTTGAAACCAAAACTACTTGCACTTATGTTTCTTAGAAACCAAAACTACTTTGCCTTTTATGTTTCTTAGCCGGGGGGGGGGGGGGGGGGGGGGGTGGGATAGCTAACAAGATCCGCAAAACATAATTATTCGTTAGTTTAGCAAATGAAATTGCAGTCACCTCAAAAAGAAAAACGCTTAACTCCTAAAATAAAAAAATTCAATGCAAATAAACCAGTAGCATGCCGAGGGGGGGGGGGGGCAAATTCTGCTTCTGGTTGTCAATTTTTTCCAGATAATTCCCCCTTTGGTATAACTTTACCGTTTTTTTTAACTTTGGCTGCGGCGCAGAAAATTTTTGACAAAATAGGGTCCTTGTAGTATTTTGGAAAAGCTACGAAAACCAAATTGGTCAAACTAAAAAAAGGTCCGCCAATTTCGGACAATAACGCGCGATATATTTCGCGCTATTAACGCATAAGCGGAGATTTAATCCGTCAAAGAAATCATTCCAACCGCCCCCCCCCCCCCAGAAAAATTTCTGCGCACTCCACTGAAACAAATCATGAGGTTTTCTAAAGAAACATCAAACATGACTTAGAAACTGAATTCCCACTACATTATTTTTTTCTGGTGGAGAGCGGAATTTGAATTGAACTTTTGGCAAATTTGAACAATTTGTGAGTGTAAACTAATTTTCAGACTTTTCGCGAAAAAAAAACTTATGAACAGGGCCTAAAAAAATCAACCGTCACTGCGTTTTCTGAAACCTAAAATACTATCTAAGAATTTTGCGAAAAGATAAGACAGGGATTCGAACAATCCCGTATAGAATGCTAATGACAAAATGGTACTAAATATTAATGTTAGGCATAATAAGAGCATTGAAATGACATTTTAACGATCAATATGATTCATCTGCTAGGAACTGCATGTATTCGTAGGTCACCAAACATCAGGATTATGACCAACCCGCCTCATTTAACGTCTGCGCTTTCACCAGATTTGCATACAGTCCATTCTTCTTCAACAACTCATTGTGAGTTCCCATCTCGACCACTTCTCCGTGTTCCATGGCCACGATCAAGTCCGCGTCTCGAACCGTGGACAACCTGTTTAAAGTTTATTTGATATAGAGGTATAAGTCGCAGTTCATTACCAAACAAATTAGCTACACTTGCAATTATATCAGGGCCACTATACCTGTGAGCCACTACAATTGTAGTCCTTCCCGCACATGCCTTATCAAGAGCCTCTTGCACGATGACCTCACTGGAGCTGTCCAATGCTGACGTTGCTTCGTCTAAGAGTAGGATTTTGGGGTTGCGTACCAAAGCTCTCGCAATTGCAATTCGCTGTTTTTGTCCGCCCGACAGTTGGGAACCACGATCGCCCACTAAGGTTTCAAGTCCCTGCAAAAATCTTCTATCATTCGACCCACAGGAAAATACCTTAATTTTCAAACCGCCTTTCCAAATTGTCATTTGACTCAATCATAGAATGTTCCGAACGGGTTTCCAAAAATGCACATGAATCCTGTTTTTTTAAGTCAAAGGCGATAGAATTATAGAGGGAATATTAGCTTAAATAATATTTTAATTGCAAATGAACTAAATTATCAGTTCAGTCTCTCAACGGGTCAATTGTAAATTTTTGGTCATATAGTCTGAAAAACAGAGAAACTCAGACTAATTTTTCTCGACAATGAGAACTTTTTTGATTTATTTTCAAATTGGACCTAGTATCAAAAGCGCTTTTTCATAATACCAAATTTGGCCTTAATTTGCTTTCCTTGACCTAAGACAACCAGCTTTTCGTGAAGCCGTCATAACAAAATACAAAAACACAGAGCAGGTATTTTAAATGCAGCAGTAGCACAGCGTGTGACAAAACTATATTTAATGCTTGGTCACCATATATGAATATATATATGAAGTGGTACCAATTTTACGCACGTATTTCTCTTCAAATTAGTTTCTTAGTTTATCAGCAGTAGAAAAACCAATGGCATCAACAATTTTTTATACATCTTGATATTTAATAGGCAGGTCAACGAAAAAATAAGAAAGTGAGCTGGCCAAATTTGATTGAAAAAATCAACATTTTAATTACCATGAGTTCAGTATTCAAGCTGGTTAAAATGTGCTTTCTATTGGCTTCAAAACCAAGTAATCTTGACACAGAAAAACTCCGTCTGCAAAATTGTGCAAAAATGTTGTCTAAAAAGTGATTGAAATGAAATATGCAGCAAGCTGCATCTTAAAATCACAAGCAAATAACTCGACAAAATTAGCTCTAAAAACGGCAAAAAGAAATAAAATCCAAAAAAATATGCCTGGAAAGATAATCATTTTGAATAAGTAACATTTAGTGGAAAACTGCTAATCAATGGTATAACTGATGGTGTAACACTAGACTCGCAAGTTGGCTTGTGTAAATATAATATATCAACCTTTGGAAGCCCATCGATGAAGTGCTTTGCGTTTGCCTTCTCAATCGCATCCCGCACCTCCTGGTCCGTCACCCCCTCCCGCCCGTAGAGCACATTGTCCTTGATGGAACATGCGAACAGAGAGGGCTCCTGACTCACCACTCCTATCTGCTGTCTCAGCCACTTTACATTCAGACTCTTCAGCTCCCTTCCGTCTAGTTTAATCTACACACAAAATAAAATTATATTCAATTTAACAAAGAGGCGAAACGTGTTTTGCAAAATTTGCGGAACAACACAAACATAAAAAAACATAAGTCGGAAAAAAAAGAAAACAACAAGGTCCCCTAAAACGTTCGGGGTCTCGGTATAAGTTCATTTTAGGAATAGATACCAGATATTTGAATACTACATTAGCAATAGAGAAAAACTTGCGATGAGGAAACAAAGCCGACAATCTTTGAACAGACGCAAGTATTGTGTAATGTAGTTAAATTGTTTTTTTTCCGGCTCCATTTCACTTACAGAACAAGAAAAATCCATGATGAGGCAACTAAGCCGGCGATCTTTGAGCAGACACAACTTGAGCCGAAAAAAACTACATTGAGCAACGCTTGCACTTACAACTACAAAGAAAACTTCTTGCGGCCCGAGCAAAATCTGTTGTGGCAACGAAGCCGACATTCTTTGAGCAGACACCAGACGAGCCGAAAAAAAACTTAGTTATAAAAAAATCTATAAATTTTCAAATTCCCACTGAAACTACATTAAACAAAAGTTGCAGTTGCAACTACAATGAAAGTTGCTTGTAGCACAAGCAAAATACGTGATGTGGCAACCGAGCCGACAAAACTTGAACAGAAAAAAAGGTCCGACAATTCAATCTTTACCGGAAAAAATCTTCAATTGCATACAAACTGGAGAAAAGCAAGGTCCGGTCGGGCTTATCAAGGCGACGGTGTTACCTCTCAAAGTAAAAACAAAACTATAGGTTCTTAAATTTCAATAACAAAGCAAGTAAGAAAAGCAAAAAAAAATTTTAAAGAAAAGTTGATAACGGCAAAAAAAGTGTAGTTCCGGATTACAAGACACTAAAACAAAAAAAACAATTATAATTAACAAATAAGGCACCTAAACCATACTACCTTTCGATTGAAAGAGGGAGACGTAACCAGTACTACTCCCGGTTATCTCCGAACTATCAGTCTTACATCTAGAATTTCCATTTAAGTTTTTCTCTGCACATTTTTCTCATTTAAACCAAGATTTTCATATCAGCAAAAATTTTCAAATATTTTTTCAATAGAGACTTCAATTCTCCGCGAGTGGTGCAACGATAATCAGTTGAAGAAAAATTGGATCTCAAGAAAATTGGAAAGAGCTACACAAGTTAACACAGGCGAAGCTTAGCTTCGCAAACCTAGCGAGAACACGACAAAAAAGCAGCTTTCTGAAGTGAAATAAGAAAATTAGAAATAAGCCTCAGAATTAGTGAAAAAATCGCTGCGTATTGGCTTCAATTATGCGACCTCGAGAATTGGCGTCTCACGCTCTTCCCTTTCAGCCACTAATGCTTAACAATTGGCAAACACTATTAACAAATAAAGCAGCTACATATGCTATTAAAATGCCAAATCCTTGCAGCAAAAGTGGCACCAAATACACAATTCTTCAGAACATAACAACCTGAAGGTATCCACACTAACTTTGCATGCAACAAAATGGAAAGCAAAAATCCACATATGTAAAAAAAATAAGCAATTCGAAAAAATACGAGATATATTGACAGAGAATTTCTGAAACCTAGTTGTGATTATTGTTAGGTTTTTTTTGAAACAAATAGCTTCTTTTGGTTTATTTGATTAAATAAAAATGCATAAACTGTGACAACTTATTACTATTCGAATTTCAACACACATGCTATCAAAAAGCCGTAAAGGTTTCATCAATAGTGGCACCAATATTTGCGCATTAGGTTGATTTCCGAAATGGAGCCGGAAAAAAAACAATTTAACTACATTACACAATACTTGCAACTTCACTTACAGAACAAGAAAAATCCATGATGAGGCAACTAAGCCGGCGATCTTTGAGCAGACACAACTTGAGCCGAAAAAAAAACTACATTGAGCAACGCTTGCACTTACAACTACAAAGAAAACTTCTTGCGGCCCGAGCAAAATCTGTTGTGGCAACGAAGCCGACATTCTTTGAGCAGACACCAGACGAGCCGAAAAAAAACTTATTTATAAAAAAAATCTATAAATTTTCAAATTCCCACTGAAACTACATTAAACAAAAGTTGCAGTTGCAACTACAATGAAAGTTGCTTGTAGCACAAGCAAAATACGTGATGTGGCAACCGAGCCGACAAAACTTGAACAGAAAAAAAGGTCCGACAATTCAATCTTTACCGGAAAAAATCTTCAATTGCATACAAACTGGAGAAAAGCAAGGTCCGGTCGGGCTTATCAAGGCGACGGTGTTACCTCTCAAAGTAAAAACAAAACTATAGGTTCTTAAATTTCAATAACAAAGCAAGTAAGGAAAGCAAGAAAAAATTTTAAAGAAAAGTTGATAACAGCAAAAAAAAGTGTAGTTCCGGATTACAAGACACTAAAACAAAAAAAAAATTATAATTAACAAATAAGGCACCTAAACCATACTACCTTTCGATTGAAAGAGGGAGACGTAACCAGTACTACTCCCGGTTATCTCCTAACTACCAGTCTTACATCTAAAATTTCCATTTAAAATTTCTCTGCACATTTTTCTCATTTAAACCAAGATTTTCATATCAGCAAAAATTTTCAAATATTTTTTCAATAGAGACTTCAATTCTTCGCGAGTGGTGCAACGATAATCAGTTGAAGAAATGGATCTCAAGAAAATTCGAAAGAGCTACACAAGTTAACACAGAGGCGAAGCTTAGCTTCGCAAACCTAGCGAGAACACGACAAAAAAGCAGCTTTCTGAAGTGAAATAAAAAAATAGAAATAAGCCTCGGAATTAGTAAAAAAATCGCTGCGTATTGGCTTCAATTATGCGACCTCGAGAATTGGCGTCTCACGCTCTTCCCTTTCAGCCACTAATGCTTAACAATTGGCAAACACTAAACAAATAAAGCAGCTACATATGCTATTAAAATGCCAAATCCTTGCAGCAAAAGTGGCACCAAATACACAATTCTTCAGAACATAACAACCTGAAGGTATCCACACTAACTTTGCATGCAACAAAATGGAAAGCAAAAAGCCACATATGTAAAAAAAAAAATGAGCAATTCGAAAAAATACGAGATATATCGACAGAGAATTTCTGAAACCTAGTTGTGATTATTGTTATGTGTTTTTTTGAAACAAATAGCTTCTTTTGGTTTATTTGATTAAATAAAATTGCATAAACTGTGACAACTTATTACTATTCGAATTTCAACACACATGCTATCAAAAAGCCGTAAAGGTTTCACCAATAGTGGCACCAATATTTGCGCATTAGGTTAGAAAAAAAGAAGTGGTATATTACTTTAGGTTAGAAAAAAAGTCGGACTATTACTCTAACGCTCACTAAAATTAGCTAGTGTAAAAACGCAACAAATCTGTAGTTTGACCAATTACATTTTCAATTCAACTAAATAGTAAAAAGTAAGGAGTGTGCATAATACAGTACACTATGATGAGGGAAAGGTGTGCAATCCATGGAGGATCATTAGGCATCAATCGTAATGGTCACCATGTTTTAAGTAATCACCAGTAGTCACCATGTATTAATTCTTATTGTCACAACGTATTATTTTGCAACATATAGTCCCCAGGTAGAATTTCAGTATATTTATGAAAATTCCCAATTAACTTGTGATTAGATGTTTGCGATAACGCTACTGGGAAAAACTGAATGAATAAAACTTTGAGTCTACAAAATTTCTTAAGTGACACACGCTAATTATGACGCATTAGCAGTACCCGTCAATTTGAAAAAAATATATTTACCAACTAATATGACTCAATTTATAGAGCAAAATAGCCGGAAAAAACTCGAACTCGAAAAAAACTAGAGCAAAATAGCCGGAATAAAATTAAAGAAAAAGAGATTTTTTTTTTAAATTTGAAACTTTTTGTGAAAATCTTCCTTCCACACGCCATATTAAGTACTAAGTGATAAATTTTTCTCCTAGTGACAAATCAATTGTGGCAAATAAGCTTCCTTCAATCAATTTGGAACGATTTCTATGACGGATTAAATCTCCGCTTACGCGCTAATAGCAGTCTGTGTTAATAGTCTGTGTTAATATCCTTAACATTGGCTGTACTTAATAGCTGGTTGTTGATCAAAATGAACACCTTCAAAATGAGCACATTTTATCGCAACAATATTTGCGTCGCAACAATAATTGCGAGTTAGGCTGGAAACACCGCCGCCCGTATTGCTTGTGTAAAAACCAACTGGTATGTTTCACTGCGCTATTTTTCTTCCTTTGAATTCTTTTCAAAACACCGTTTCAAACTCAATCTGCATACAAATAAACACGAAATCATGCTAGAAAATCTTTCTTTTATGTCAAAGCCAATAGCCCTCGGAATAACCTGGGTCCAGAATTGAATAATTGGGAATTGTGGAAGGTTACGTAGACAACGGTTTGCTTAAAAACGGTTTGTGAAAGTGAATTTAATTTACACAAGCAAACATTTTGTACCTGAAAAACTGTTCAGTTCCTTCTGAATAGAGGAGAGGATTCGTTACAAGATTAATAAGATCCAAAAATGTTTATTAATTTAAATGGTCATCCCTGTCAACTACTCACAGATCCGTGGTGGTACTCGTAGAATCGTAGGATCAAATTCACAATGGTTGACTTGCCAGACCCGCTGGCCCCCACCAGAGCTATCTTCTGGCCAGGCGCCACACTCAAGTTGAACTTCTTGAGAACCTAAACGCCACAACCACTCAAACTACAAAAACATAGGATCAATTTGTCATTGAAATTAGCTTCTTCGAATTTAAACAGAGACAAAAACTGCTAACAAATCTATTAAATTTAAAACAGCTTTCAAATGATCGATTATGATATGCAACGTCACCTATATTGATTAAATTTTGACAGAAAAATATTTTTGATGAAATACATAAATTAGTTCCAAAACCTCATACTTACGAAACGAAATTTCCTCATTAAATTAATTTAAGAAGGTATGGCTATAGCTGGTTATGATAAGTATTTTACTCACAGTCACATCCTTTCGGGTTGAGTAGGCGAAGCTGAGGTTTTCAAACTCCATCTGCCCCTTGATCGAACTCAACTTCTCTCCTTCTTCAGATTCAGAGTCAATGATCGGTTTCTACGAAAAAGAACTTAATCAGTTCTTTCTTAATCAGTCAACAACTGTGCTTTTTTATGTTAATCAGTGTTTTCTGTCGCTTCGTTTAGAAACATTCGATCCCCCCAATGATATGACTCTCATATTAATACGAAAAATGCACTCGGTACCACTCAAATGGTACCTAAAAGGCATTTTCTTTCGAATCATTTCTGTATTATAAACCATTTGTTTCCTTCTTGAAAACAAATTAATTATACAAACCCTTTTAATAATAGTCGTAACAAAAGACATTGCATTTCCGACCGCCCAAACCGACAGAAGAGCTGTTATGCACTGTCCCAAAGACATAGCCCCGACCAGAACTGCAAAGAACACTGTCAGCATCTCACCAGGCTTCAACTCACCACTTTCGATCAAACGAGGACCATACCAAAATGCCAGTCCATACCCCATGAACTCAACCAGGAACACAAATCCCAAGAAAGCTCCCATTAGAATAGTCTTCTTGGCCGACTGAAATTTTGCACCAGCCAGACTTTTGTTGTAGCTGAAGAACAAAAACTCTTTTTAGTTGGGAATAACAACGGTATGGCGACGACTCGTAGCCTGCGACAATTCGGCGCAAACTTTTAAAAAAGCAAAGCTTCGCCGACACTAGCGACAAAATGCCCACGGTAGCTTTAAAAAGGTCAAAAAGTGAACGAGGAAAGGAAAATAGCCTTGAAAAACAAAACTGCTGTGTTCCGGATTCGAACCCCCAAACCTCGAACAAGTGTGCAAAAGCAACAATTCGTCAAACTATTTTAACCCGAATACAATGCTTAGTTTTTGCGTGAAACTTTCCTGATGGAATACCACAACCGCTATGGCGTGGCGGTTTGATTGCTGTGCATTGCTAAATCAACTTATTTCGTATAATCTTTTTATTTATTATAGTAAATTGTCGCTTTTTGAAAGTTACGAGTTGTTATTGTAATACGAAAATTGGTCGGAGGCACTTGTACAGTAGTTTTCTAGAGAAATATCGATAGGATACCCTAGAAGGGGAGGTTCAATACCCCCAAATAAGTTTAAATTTGCAAGTTTTTTTTTTGCCTAAAAACTGTAGCTTGAACTCCAAATGCCTCTAAATCTAACCTGTTTATGGCTCTGGTTTGACCACTGAATGAGACGACAGTTTTTATAGCCGAAAAAGTGGATTCCGCAACCGCGCCTGCTTCTCCAGCGTCGTCCTGCTCATCTGAAGTTGCGCTTTCTGCTGCCTGCAAAGCAACTTACATTTAAAGCCACAAAATGCCCGAAATTAATTGTGGTGATCAAATGAACTTGCAGGGCATCTCTATAACGATTACTAGCAACATTTATGATAAGTGTTCTGAGATAAACGTGGGACCGACTACGGCGAAATGGATGACATCAATCTACCCTCCTGAAGCAAGGAACAAAATATTAGGACGACAAATTGCGGGGAAATTAAGCACAGAGACGAAGCAAAACTTGCAACTCAACGCAAGTGTACCATTTCAAGCTAGAGAATAGAAGTATAGACGAAAAAAACAGTCGAAAAAATATTTAAAAAAAATCAATTTCAGAAAAACAGTCGAGAAACACAACTATCAGCATTCAATACAATTTTAGTATTCACCGAGCGGCCACTAAGCCGACAAAAAGAGAATGGACTCCCATTGAACCGGAAACCAAAAAACGCCATAAACTGTCATAGAAAACTTTGAGCGATCAAATTTTAAAACTTAAAGTTAACCCAAAACCGACCTTGCATTCGTTTTAAAAAATTAAAATCGATTTTTGTAGTTCAAGCGATATAAAATAAGTTGACTAAGTCGATGAAATTCTAGCCCAACCCATTTCAAATAAAAAAACACTTAGACTGTCAAAATCCGAAACTGTCAATTATAGCATGACTCGTTTGAATCGGAAAAAAAATCATGCTTCGGAAACTTAAAATAAACACACAAATAAATCCGACAATTCAATTTTTCCGAAAAATAAACAATTTTCTACATACTGAAAGAAAAGTCAGGCTAGGACTCGAACTCCAAACCTTAGGGAGCAAACGGAACAGCGTTACCTGTAAGCAAAGTAGTAAACAGCCTGGAAGTTTTAAGATTCAATAATAATCAAGTAAGTTCATTTTCTTGCAGATTCGTGGGAAAAGGTGCCTAGGGGGAAAAATCTAGTTCCCGATTATGAGACATTTGATCTCGCAAGTGTAAAAAGGGTCGGGAGTTCTGACACCGATGTTGTCTTCGATCTAGCGTTTTAATTAAACGCCTAAAAATATACCAAAAAAGTTAGGCTTGTTAAATTTCTAACTTATGCTAGTTTTTGTCAGGAAAATTATGACTTCTAATGCAAAAATATATCTTCTTGCTTTTTGATGTAATTATTAAGTTTGATGAAAGGATCATTCAAAATCTCGTTGACAACAACATGGTAAACCTGGAATTTCTAATTCTGGGAAAATAGTTAAGCAAAGAGACAAAGCTTCGCTTCGCAAAAACTAGCGAGAACGCGACAAAAAGCAGCTCTATAAAGTGCAAAAGGAAAATGTAGTTATAAGCTTCAAACTAATTTAAAAATTTCCGCTACGTCTCGGAATCGATCTGCGACCTAGAAATTATGCGTCTCACGCACTAAACACTCAGCCGCATACGCTTTATATGTCACAAACACTAGCCACGAATAAAGCAGAGAATAGATGCTATAAAATTTCCAATGCTACAGATCGTGATTATGGCAAAAGAGCCGCCAAATAAAAGAACCCCTTTAATGAACACTTTTATTTGCGAGTTAGATTAGAAAAAATGTTTTGCACTAATACACTAACGCTGGCTAGAGTAATTATATCGTTTTGATTACAGATAATTTACGTTTTCTTTACGGGGAGTAGAAAACGTTCGCAAGACCTGATAATCTTCCACCATTGGTTTCAAAAAATATCAGCGAATAAAAACGGTTTTTTGTTTTCCAGAATTATATGAGAACTTACTATAAAACAAGCATTTAACATTTTAAAAAAATTTCCAATTTTTAATGATAAAATACGCAATTTGGCAGAGAAACAGTGGTCACTTATGCCAAAAAAAAACTTTCTTCACATGATATATTTTAAATTTAACGCCACCCATTTTTGCGGCTTAACACTTGAAACTATTGATGTTCATAGCCTGTTTACGACCAACTCATGGTTAAAATGCACGCTAGTTTCGAAGTCATAAAGTTACGTTACTTTTGCCATTCCGACTCCGCCAACTATGAGGAACGGGATCAGCACACAGAGAATTCCGGCAAACTCGGCATTGTAAATGAATGCGATGACGAATCCCGAGCAGAAAGTGGCCAGGTGCTGGATGCAGATGGCTATCTTGTCCGACACTCCTATTCGAATCACTTCCATATTTCTAAAGCAGCAAAATATAATTTCAACTGCCATGCAAAGCCCCCCTCCCACAAGTTACACAGACATCATGTTAACATTCATGTTGCAAAACAAGTGAACTAATTGATTTGGATTTGGACAATAAAGTCAAACTTTCAGGCTACTTTAGTTAACCTTCATTGACTGCGTGAACAGAAAAGAGCCGGCATTCCTATCAAAGGCCAATTGACCGGACCATAATTGTTCCGACCACTGCAAAAAGGGAGGAACTTTGTCTTTTGGTGTTTTAGTTTTGTTTTACTTTTTTCCCAGGCAAAATCAGGTACCACAAATAATCATTAGAATGAGTTTTGAGTGATACACCACATTAAAGCCCTTCAAATTGTGATTCGAATGACACTTCAAAAATGCAAAGAAATTCATGCCTCGAGAAAAAAAACAGTTTTAAAAATTTGCTTTTCAGTCTAATTTTGAACAAGTAAACCGACCGAGAAACGTTTGTTAGATGAAAATCGATTATTTAAGACGCAAAAACTTAGTTTTATTCCAGGAAAACAAGTTTTAGAAATGTCTTTTAGCGCTTCCTTGTTAAGAAAATGTTTTAAACGCTGCAAAAATGTTTTCAAAAGAGTCAAAGCTGCAAATAGCAAACAGAAGCGAAAATACGGCAAAAAATAGCTCTTAAAAGATCAAAAAAATAAATTAAGCAAAAGCGTAGAAAAATAAAAACTCCCATATGTACCGGAATCAAAGCCCGACCTCGAGTTTGAGAGTTACCCGTCCTAGCGCCTGCACCATGGTCACTGGCCAACCTTCAAAAACAAACTACTAAAAAACAGATACAAAGATATAATGCTGATGCAGCAAAAGTAAACCAGATTTAAGACTTTTGCTACAAAAGTGCTACTGAATGAGCATTTATATTTGCAATTTAGTTTAGAAAAAAGGGGACTTCGTAATATGACACTACGCTCCGATCGTGTGGAAAAGCAGCCAAAAAATAGAAATAAAACTTCGAATTTTTTTGATTGTTTTTTGCTGTGCTTTTCATTTTTTGAAGATAACTGAAAATAATTTTAAGCTTTCGCCTTTCCTTTATCACACCACGCACATAAAAAAAACGTCACAAACTTGAGGAAAGAAAAATATTTTTTTTTCTGGATGAAGTTGTCGGAGCTTTATGTGCTATTTCACAGCAACCGGCTATCCGAGTTTTTTGGCTTTTGTTTTGTCATTTTTTGAGAGAAAAAAAATCACAATTTCTTTCTTCTACGCAAAAGAAAAGTCCTATTGAATCGAGGTCATAGGCTGTCATTTAATTTTTTTTTTCGATTTCGTATAATTTTATATAACTTCAAAAATCGTAGATGACATACTCGGCCAAATTTGAGACCAGTGTTCCTGTCTTCTGTTTGTCAAACCAGGCGATGTCCTGCCGCAGTACTGCCTTGAAGCTTTCGATTCTCACTCGGTAGAGAATATTCTCGCCGAAAATTGTGATGGTCGCTATCTGTTAACGCAAAAATCAGTAAACGTCAAATTGAAGATTCTGGCTCAGATTTTTTAAGTCTAAAAATTTGTCTTGTTCCAACCATTACATGTATTTGTAAAAGAGGAGTCACTGAAAGAAAAAAAAATTGTGAGCAAACTGTCCCGCATTTTGCTAATTTTCATCAAACAACAATTAAGAATAAGCAAAAGCAATTCGGTTAATTCGCAGTTTTTTCTCGAACCTTATATGACCTCATTTAGTTCACTCGAACTATTAAATGCTCTAAGGAACAAACCTTCAAAAATTGGACAGAATTTAAGGCTACTTTTTAAGCTCTATCACAATTGTACCCAAGTGCTAGTCATCAAATAGATTGGGGTTCGTTTTAATTACTTTAAATATGTGTGGTTTCTGCGATTCAAGAGCATATATGAAAGGGTATCCAGCGTTTCAAAGCATAGGTCGTTCTCTTATATCCTATTCCAGAGTTATTGTGTTGGGCGATGCTCTTTTTGCGACTCGAACTCGTTTTTTTGCCAATACCTTAGCGTAGAATGTCAAAGGGTGGATTGGAATAGGTTAGAATGGTTACATATCAGTATTTAGACAACCGCGTAATCAGACTGGTCAGTATTTAGACAAATACTGTTTCAACCAATCAGAATCGAGACAAAGAAGAAATTAATAAATAATTATTATTTATTTTGGATTATTTATGTCTTTTCTCGATTCTGATTGGTTCATACAGTATTTGTCTAAATACTGACGAGTATGAATACGTGGCTGTCTAAATACTGGCTGCACTCCGGTTAGAATGTTCTGAACAAAAATTCTGTTAGTTGTCAGACAGAGAGGACTGACCTGAATGTAGCCGACCAACAGAACTCCACACCCCACGTACGTGATTTGCAAACACACATCCGTCATTTTATCCTCGAACCTCTCAAACGCATCGGCTGCAACGAAAAAACGGCAGTATTTGTCAATTTATCCCCAAAAAGTACAGGAAATTTAACAATGTCAATACTTCCCCAAAAAGTACAGGAAATTTAACAATGTCAATACTCACTTTGGTTTTCAAATCCAGGTTTTCCTGGCTCAATCATCTCGTCAATGAGCTCTCCAAAAAGTATAATCAAAAGAGGCATTCCAACTCCGATTGCGATGGAAGCAAAAACTGCAACAAGTAGAAGAAGATACTCCGGACACTTGGCGTAACTCAACTAAAAACAATTTTCTAATTTTAGAGCGTGATTCGATTCATGTAAAGAACAGACAAAATCAAAAAGTTTAACTAAAATACTACAAAACTAATTAAAAAATCGTAAGTATGGATTTACATCATTTCCAGCTAATGATGAGCTTAGGAAACATATCAGAGCTACATTTTAATTTTTATTGTTAAGTTGATCTAAGAACGTCGCTTTGCAATCTTTGTTGTTTGGGGCAGTTAAAAATTCTCAGATCTTTCAATTAAAAAAGTCTGATAGCTTCAAATAAACTTCAAAATTACTCACAACTGAAAACAACCCCACTTTCTTTACAGCTTCTTCTTTGTCTTCTTTCTCTTGGTTGGCATCGGAGCACTTCGGCTCTGAGTGTTCAAAGCCCTCATTCTCATAGGCATGTACCTTTCTGTTGAATCCATTTCCATTCTGGATTACACTGTCAAAAAGATCTCTTTAACTACACGCCCCCCCCCCCCCCGACAAAGGGGGAAATATAAACGATAAACGTTAAGAGGTTCAACACCCGCTCAATTACTGCTTTAGTTCTTTATAGGGGTGCTTATTCATTCTTTACTAGGTTCGATAGGGTGGACATAGTTAAAGAGATCCCTGTCAAAGCTTCCAGTTTCATTTTCATTGTCATCTCTCATGGTTTAATATATTCAATCATGCACAAAAACAACAAAAACTAATGAGATATGAAAGAAAAAAATGCAGTACCAAGCCACACATATACCAACTGAATTGGCTGCAGAAAAATATAATAGCTTAAAAATTGTCCGCATAGAACGATATGAAAATGACAATGGTTTGTTACGTGTTTTCAAATAGAGAACATACGTTCATTTAAAAATAAACATAACCACAAAGTGATAGCAAATCAAATTTAAAAAGGATATAGCTAAATCATGAAGAAAACAGCAATTAAAAGTAAGCTAATTGTCAGAAACGCGATGTTCCCTAACTGAAAAATGAATGGCACCGTATTTGGAAAGCGCAAAGAGCACGTATTTTGAAACCATAACCAACAGTCATAATATGATCATATTGAAAATGTACCATATATTTGCAATTTTTTTTTTTGCAAATTTCCGAACCAAAACTTTACCCCGAAAATAGATAATTTTAGCTTTTTGAAAGTTAATCAAGAATTACGATGACACTATGAAGTGAATTGATGAGTAAGTTGTATCATAAGGAGCCTAAGCAAAAGGTATCTAAAAAGCCCGACAAAGTTGCAGAAAAATAAAATCTCCAAAACCCTGTATAAGAAAAAATATTTTAGCTTGATAGCCAAAAAATTTGATTTTTACTAAAGAAATCCAAAATCTTTGATTAAAAGACTTTAATAGCTGTCCACAAATTTTAAAGATTTGCGCAAACGTTCAAACTAGGTAGTTTCAGCGTAATTCTTGGATAATAAGAAAAAAGCTGATAAACCAAGATAAAAATAGATGGCCTTAAAGGTAAAAAAATTATTTCTCTGAGAAATCTAAAAAAGTTAAGTCCATTTCGAAACTAGAAGTCGATCAAGTTTTTCGTGACCTTCTAATTTTCGCTGTTCGATAGTGGAGTTTACCTTCCTCTTAACAAATGAAATGAGCTGAACTTGAAAAAAAGTCAAAAATCAAACCGCGAAAAAGTAAAGTTGAGCGTGAACAAACTTTAAAACTTTTCCTGAAAAATTGAGGCATTTGACACGTGAGACGTTATCCGTAGTTTGCATTTCTTTAAGCAAAAGAATTGAAAATGAAAAAAATAGCCAACTCACAGTTGAAAAAGAAAAATGAATGCAACGAGAAAAAAAGATAGACTTAGGGCTCTTTGAATTTGCAAGACACTTATTTGCTAAAATTAACCAGATTTGAGAAAACTGGATCAATAGGTTTATTTTTTTATTTTGTTGGGAAATCGGATAGTTAATTTCATTTTTCGAACTTAGAAGTCGATCAAGTTTTTCGTGACCTTTACACATTGCTTTTCGATAGTGCAGTTTGCACTCCTTTTAACAATGTAAATGCACTGAATTTAGGAAAAAATCAAAAATCAAACCGCGAAAAAGTAAAGTTGAGCGTGAACAAACTTTAAAACTTTTCCTGAAAAAACTAAAAACAAATCATTGACTCTTAATATATTGATGAAAAACCTGACAACTGTTTTCAAACCTGAAAACTGGCACCGGATTTTAGTTAAATAAAAAACCATTTTAGTTGACAAAACAGTTCCTAAAAATGATCAAATGAGTTGAAGAAAAGTTAATTAAAAATTTTAAATTTACAAAGATTTAATGCAGGCTATGGTGAAGATGCCAATGTTGGCGTGTAATTTTTGAAATACTGTCGGTTTTCTGGATAATTTCAACAGAAATAGTTAAAATAAAGCGCACAACTGATTAGTACATTTCCTCTACTTTCTCAAAAATAGATAGTTAACTACGAAAAAGTGTTAATTACCTTACATCTGGGACCTGTCCATCACTAATTGATTACGCAATTAATTTATTTTCTACACCTTGTTCACATAATGTTCCCGTATTTTTGGGGCATTTGAGGCGTGATACATAAGCCGTAATTAGCTTTTTTTAGCAAAAGGAAGAAAAAACATAGCCAACTGACAGTTTGAAAAAAGTAATGAACGCACGAAAACTGAAAAAAAACTGACTTCTTTTTCCAAAAACCTTCAACTTTCGCTGGTAAATCTGATAATTAATTTCCTTTCTGGAAATTAGAAGTGAATCACGTTTTTCGCGACCTTTACACTTTTGCTGTTCGATATTGGACTTTGCCTTCCTTTTAACAACGGAAATGCACTGAACTTATCAAGAAATCACAAGTTAAACCGCGAAAAATCAAAATTGAGCGTGAACAAACTTCAAGACTTTCATGAAAAAAAAAACGAACAAAAAATAAAAAAAAAACGAACAAAAAATCACCAAGGCCTACATCAGAGTAGTCACTATGTTCATGAGTCTTAAAAACTACAACGAGCACTAAAATTTGATCTTTTAAAAATGGGGAACGAAAACTTGTCAGCGTCTGATCATCAGAGAAAAACCTCAGAACACCACACTGTATTGGACAAAGAGGCAAACACAAGCAAAAAAAAACGGTTAAATAAGCGTTAAAAAAGATATTCTGATATGTGGCGGAATCGACTCTTTAATCTAGATATTGAGAGTCACACGTCTCCATGACCGCTTGAAAGTCAACAAACATCAGCCACCAATAAACCGAATAAAAGATGCTATTTAATTGTCAAGGTCATGCACCAAAAGTTCCATCAAATGATCATTTTTATTTGTTAGAAAACTCAATAGCTCGCTTCTGTAATATTACAAATGACATTTGATTAAAAAAACCGAAAATAGAATAACTCATTCTCATAGGCATGTACCTTTCTGTTGAATCCATTTCCACTCTGGATTACACTGTCAAAAAGATCTCTTTAGCTATACGCCCCCCCCCCCCCCACGACAAAAGGGGGAAATATAAACGTTAAGAGGTTCAACACCCGCTCAATTACTGATTTAGTTCTTTATAGGGGTGCTTTTTCATTCTTTACTAGGTTCGATAGGGTGGACATAGTTAAAGAAATCCCTGTCAAAGCTTCCAGTTTCATTTTCATTGTCAACTCTTATGGTTTAATATATTCAATCATGCACAAAAACAACAAAAACTAATGAGATATGAAAGAAAAAATGCAGTACCAAGCCACACATATACCAAATGAATTGGCTGCAGAAAAATAAAATAGCTTAAAAATTGTCCGCATAGAACGAGATGAAATTGACAATGGTTTGTTACGTATTTTCAAATAGAGAACATAAGTTCATTTAAAAAATAAACATAACCACAAAGTGATAGCAAATCAAATTTAAAAAGGATATAGCTAAATCATGAAGAAAACAGCAATTAAAAGTAAGCTAATTGTCAGAAACGAGATGTTCCCTAACTGAAAAATGAAGGGCACCGTATTTGGAAAGCGCAAAGAGCACGTATTTTGAAACCATAACCAACAGTCATAATATGATCATATTGAAAATGTACCATATATTTGCAAATTTTTTTTGCAAATTTCCGAACCAAAATTTTACCCCTAAAAATAGATAATTTTAGCTTTTTGAAAGTTAATCGAGAATAACGATGACACTATCAAGTGAATTGAGGAGTAAGTTGTATCATAAGGAGCCTAAGCAAAAGGTATCTAAAAAGCTCGACAAAGTTGCAGAAAAATAAAATCTCCAAAAACCTGTATAAGAAAAAATATTTTAGCTTGATAGCCAAAAAATTTGATTTTTACGAAAGAAATCCAAAATCTTTGATTAAAAGACTTTAATAGCTGTCCACAAATTTTAAAGATTTGCGCAAACGTTCAAACTAGGTAGTTTCAGTGTAATTCTTGGATAATAAGAAAAAAGCTGTGATACAAGATAGAAATAGATGGCCTTAAAGGTCTTTGAATTTCTAGAATAATTGACGATTGACACTTTTCCGATAAAAACAACCCAACTTGAGAAAACTGGATCATAAGGTAAAAAATTTATTTCTCTGAGAAATCTAAAAAAGTTAAGTCCATTCGAAACTAGAAGTCGATCAAGTTTTTCGTGACCTTCTAACTTTCGCTGTTCGATAGTGGAGTTTACCTTCCTCTTAACAAATGAAATGAGCTGAACTTGAAAAAAAGTCAAAAATCAAACCGCGAAAAAGTAAAGTTGAGCGTGAACAAACTTTAAAACTTTTCCTGAAAAATTGAGGCATTTGACACGTGAGACGTTATCCGTAGTTTGCATTTCTTTAAGCAAAAGAATTGAAAATGAAAAAAATAGCCAACTCACAGTTGAAAAAGAAAAATGAATGCAACGAGAAAAAAAGATAGACTTAGGGCTCTTTGAATTTGCAAGACACTTATTTGCTAAAATTAACCAGATTTGAGAAAACTGGATCAATAGGTTTATTTTTTTAATTTGTTGGGAAATCGGATAGTTAATTTCATTTTTCGAACTTAGAAGTCGATCAAGTTTTTTCGTGACCTTTACACATTGCTTTTCGATAGTGCAGTTTGCACTCCTTTTAACAATGTAAATGCACTGAATTTAGGATCAATAGGTTTATTTTTATATTTTGTTGGGAAATCGGATAGTTAATTTCATTTTTATAGATAGTTAACTACGAAAAAGTGTTAATTACCTTACATCTGGGACCTGTCCATCACTAATTGATTAGGCAATTAATTTATTTTCTACACCTTGTTCACATAGTGTTCCCGTATTTTTGGGGCATTTGAGGCGTGATACATAAGCCGTAGTTAGCTTTTTTTAGCAAAAGGAAGAAAAAACATAGCCAACTGACAGTTTGAAAAAAGTAATGAACGCACGAAAACTGAAAAAAAAACTGACTTCTTTTTCCAAAAACCTTCAACTTTCGCTGGTAAATCTGATAATTAATTTCCTTTCTGGAAATTAGAAGTGAATCACGTTTTTCGCGACCTTTACACTTTTGCTGTTCGATATTGGACTTTGCCTTCCTTTTAACAACGGAAATGCACTGAACTTATCAAGAAATCACAAGTTAAACCGCGAAAAATCAAAATTGAGCGTGAACAAACTTCAAGACTTTCATGAAAAAAAAACGAACAAAAAATCAAAAAAAAAAAACAAACAAAAAATCACCAAGGCCTACATCAGAGTAGTCACTATGTTCATGAGTCTTAAAAACTACAACGAGCACTAAAATTTGATCTTTTAAAAATGGGGAACGAAAACTTGTCAGCGTCTGATCATCAGAGAAAAACCTCAGAACACCACATTGTATTGGACAAAGAGGCAAACACAAGCAAAAAAACGGTAAAATAAGCGTTAAAAAAGATATTCTGATATGTGGCGGAATCGACTCTTTAATCTAGATATTAAGATTCACACGTCTCCATGACCGCTTGAAAGTCAACAAACATCAGCCACCAATAAACCGAATAAAAGATGCTATTTAATTGTCAAGGTCATGCACTAAAAGTTCCATCAAATGATCATTTTTATTTGTTAGAAAACTCAATAGCTCGCTTCTGTAATAATACAAATGACATTTGATTTAAAAAAACGAAAATAGAATAACTAAAATTGCAAAGAAAACCAGGAATTTTTCACTAAATTTTTTTGATAACCTTTCTTTCGAAAAATTAGTGAGTAAAAAAATGAATCACCTAGTCGATTTTGAAAACACTACGTTGTACTAGGTAAAATAGCTAGCGTTTGAACAAAAAAGGAGAACAACAAAATGAACGCATTGAAAATCTTTAAACAAATACGCACCAGTTTAGCGTGTCAGCCACTTTCACGTGTCACCCATTGCACTTGATTCTTACAAATTATTGAGAAAAATAGCTTGAAGGAAAAATATAGTTCCCGATTACAAGACACTACAAAAAAGGCTTCAATTGAAACCACGTTTGTTATTCTACAAGCTTTCTTTTTTGTCAAAATGTAGAAAAAAACATTCCTTACACTTCCAAGAAAATAATTCCGTGCACATAGTTCCTTACTCCCCAGTTCAGCATATCAGAAGACCAAAACAATAGAAAACTTCCAATTGAATATTCTGTGATTCGAGATTCCCCCGCTTGCGTCCAACCCGTTAAAAAATAATTCTCAAAGATTGAACTAATTGCTGAATAACAACTAAACAGGAAATCAGCAGAGAAACTGTGACATTCAAAAATTTCTAAACATTTGAAAGGCTTAAAATTTACAAAAAATCAGCGGAACTAGTTTATTTACTGAAATATTTACAAAACTCAATCGCAGAACATTATTTACAATGCAAACTTTGATATGACTTAATTGCTGAAGCATAGAGATATATATTTTGATAGATAATTTAAAACAAATGATTGAGCTACAAGCAAAAAATATTTTCACAATTAGTGTTGGCTGATTAAAAAAAAAAATCCAACACAACATTACAGAATGACCTACAGTTTGATATCTCTTGACTGCCAAATTGATCGGTCAAAAAAATTGGCATTGGCATATAAAGTTTTTTTTGCTACTATAGCTCAAACTAAAATCGTTTATTATTTCAAATAAGCTCAACGTAATTCGCCGGAAACAAGCCAATTTGCCCCGTGGCCGAAACTCCTCGCCACCATCCGGGGTCGATCTGCTCAATTGACGTGATTACGTCATCAATACGAATTGTGATCTCAGAGTCATCGATTGCGTCATAATCATAAAGAGCTTTTGCCTGAATACTTGTTGCCAATGGCATATCAGATGGATACTGCTCCACTTGTTCATAATCATTACCGTCGTGATAATTCCCATAACCATAACTGTAATTGTCTTCAGGTGTAGCATAACCATAATCATTGCTCGACTGGTTATAACTATTCGCCATGTTATCATCTCTAACTTGGTTGTCATAACTATATCCCGAGTAAATGTCAGCTGGAGAGACATGCGGCTGAGAATAGCTGTATACCGACTCCTCATTCGAATCACCAGGAGTGTCATGAAAAGTGTTCTGCTGGAACGTGAACGGTTTCGATGACGGCGTCTTAACCTTTACTGGACTAGCCAGACTCTGGCTTGCTGTTCTCTCCCGGTCTAGCCACATATTTTTAGCTTCGGAAGATTGGCTTCTAATCAGCATCTGTGCTTCTTTTACTTTTGATTGCCGACTAACGTCGTCGCTTTGCATTACATTCGCATTATTATCCCATATATTTTGGTGTTGCAATCTTTCCCGAATTTGTTGCAAATCATTGTCCCGGTTAGCTCGTTCTCGTGATCCAGAATTAATTTCAACTTGGGCAGAATCGTTTCTTTGGAAGTCTACCCGAGCATGTTTCAACGCTTCTAGTTCCTTTTTTCTTTCGAGAACACTTTGCGAGTGACTGGATGTGATAGAACTTGGTTGCCCTCCATATTTGGCCGGACTGAAATTCACCTTTTGCGCTTCGCGCTCCTGAAAATCAAAACATAACCAAAAGATGCAAGTTTGACATGATCTGCAACTTAATAAGAAGTTGAACTTTGGAATGAAGATGAGCCCGATGTAATTCGATACGGGTCCCTTTGGTAGAATTATAGATATCCATTTTTGGCTGGCCAATAATAAAAAAAAAATTTTCCGGCGCCAATATGACTAAATTTGGGGGGAGGGGGGGGGGGGGGGGGGTAGCGCGCGCCAAAAAAAACGGGGCAACTTTTCAGTCAAAATTTCCCAAAAAATACCTAAAAACACTTCGGCACTTTTTCGAACTAACTTATATTATAGCACTTTTGGAGAGCTAGGAAAATCAAATTGGTCGGCTCAAAAATATCGACAAAAACTTAACTTTCTTCCAAAAAACCGCCCCCTTCGAAACCATTTTTCTTTGCTCGCCACTGCCTCAGGTGAAAATATAAATTAATTTTAAACATACGGCATCAGGCTCATTTCTTATTTTTGCAGCTGCTAAAATTGAAAATAAAGACGAGAGACAGAGAGAGAAAAGTTCAAAGAACGCCAACAAAGCGTGAAAAGTGGCAGTAAACGAATGAATTTTTTCTGAAACTTTTCATCTTTCGGTTTTTGTAGATAAAATTATATCATGCAGACACTCTTTAAATTTCACTCACATCCTTTGTGATTTAAGCAACTTACATAAAAAATAAGAAAATATAAGAAAGGTTATATGAAAGAACAAATTTGAAAAAGTAAATTTTCGAAAATTTAATCACAATGAAACCGGAAAAATCAGATCTGAGCGTGAGCCACTCTTAAAATTTTTGCTAAGAAACCACACGAACTATACAAATGTCTTCAGTTCGTCAATTGACACAAGCAAATAAAAAATGAGACTTAGATAAGCATCCGTAAGTTAGATCAGCATCATTTTGGAAATACACTTGCGCGTGCAGAAGGAATATGAGACGATTCATTATCTTTCCAGAGCCATTTTATACTAAAGTAAAACAAGACTGCTCGTATCAGGGCGAAGCCCTGAATGTTCCGACTGCCTTTTAAGGCTTATGGAGCAGCAGTAGTAACATACAAAATTGAATGAAATAAAATAAAATGAAAATTTTTTTTTTCCAAAATTTGAAATTATCATCCCCCCACACGCCATATAAAGTACAAAAGGAAAGATTTCGCTCCTTGTAACAAACCATTTATGGCAAACAAACTTCTTTTAACCAATTTGGAACGATTTCTTAGACGGATTAAATCTCCGCTTACGCGTTAATAGCGCGAATTATATCGCGCGTTAATTGTCCCAAATTGGTAAAAATGACCAAAATGGCAATCTTTAAACACTCATAACTTTACGAAAAATGATCTAAGGTAAAATATCTTTTCAAATTTAAGTTCAGGACAACAATGGCTTTCGAATGATATAAAAAAATCCAGTCAAAAATGGCTAGTTAAAAAGTCGAAATTTGTCTGAAGAAAAAAAAACCCACCCCGAGCACAAATATTCCGTTACTTTCGTATCGAAAGTCGGAACAACAAGACTGCTCTCAGGAGAAAGCCCTGTATGTTCCGACTGCCTCTGAATATCTATATAGTAGCGTTTAAAATAATTGATGAAAATTTCAAAAAAAAAAGTTTTTTAAATCATCCCCCACACGCTATCTTATGCACAAAGTGGTATATTTCGCACATAGCAAAGTATTATATAGTTAAACAAGACTGCTCGTATATCAACGCAAAGCCCTGAATGTTCCGACTGCCCCTAAATCTATTCTGAATAGATTTTAAGGAAAAGAAAATATTGAAACATTTTAAATCTTGGACAATATCAAAGATGAAGTGTGAAAATCTGAGTCGTACGAAATTAATAAGACCAATTAGCTAGCCGCAATTCACTTTGGAACAAGTTTTTTGAGCGGGATAATTCGCCACGCATAAATAATTTGCGTTACGATTTCAGCATTATGAATAAAATGTTCAAAGCGCGCACAACTTAGTCCAAAGCATGGCCAAATTGGCAAATGTTCAAACTCACAGAACTTTGCAAAAACTGATTGGAGGTAAAATATCTTTTTAAATTTGGTTTCAGGGAGTCAATATCTTCAATGGGGCATGAAAAATTTTTGTTAAAAACTATTTCGATATCCGAAAATTGGCTGAATAAAAAACCACACCAAGCATATTATTCCGTTTTCTTCCAAAGTCGGAACAAAAAGCATGCCACAATCCAAATTGGAAGGATTTCTAAAAAAAAATAGACTAAAATCTTCGCTTACGCGTCAATACACGAAATAAATCGCGCGTTAATTGTCCCAAATTGGCAATATTTAAACCCATATAGCTTAACGAAACAATCACCGCTGAAGTATCTAATAAAATTAAGTCTTACTAAGAGCAACTTTATTGAGCACAAACACTGGTAATCTATGCAAAAACGGTGTTTCTACATTAAAATTTTTGCTTTTGATCTTCGATAAATGGAATTTGCCTTCATTTCAATAAAAAAATCGAAAGTCAAACCGCGAAAAATCAAGCTTTAACGTGAATAAAACTTAAGACTTTTTCCTTAGAAAAAAAGGAAAAAAATCATCGAGACCAATACAAGACTATTCACTAAGTTCATAATAAAGAGTTAATTTGAGAAAAATGGATCAATAAGTAACTTTACTCTTCCGCTAAATCAGAAATCCAACTTCGAAACTAGTTTTTGCGCAACTCCCGCTGTAGTGAATGACTCGCTAAAAATGGGGTAGAGCAAAAGTTGGTCTATGAGCATGCTTTAACACAGAGGCGAAGCTGAGCTTCGCGCCACTTGCGATACACCGAATCTTTAAAAAAAAATTAAAAAATAAGAGCCAGAACTTTAATATTTTTGCTCAAAGGAAACTCATTTCGATGAAAACTTGCAATGGAACACAACGGCCAGCATTGGATTAGCACAAAAAACTAGCCAGCGGTAGTTATGCAGACAAAACCGGAAAAATTGGTCATAAAAAATCTTTAGAATTTTTTTAAAAGCAGAAAATGTAGAGAAACTCTTAATTTTCCTTCAAAAGCCGATGTGCCATTAAATTGAGTCAATTAGCAACAAAAATTCTAAGAACTCACAAGAATTTACAATGAAAAATTGCCAGGAACTAAGTCCAAGTAAACCTGAAGAAAAAAATCGCAAGAAACTGTCAATTTTTTCATTTTTTTTTCGCTATCAGAGAAATTTTTAGTAGGTATAAACACGAAAAACTTAAATTAACTTAACATGCTTAAACATAAATTTAAAAATATAAAACACTCTACAGAGGAAAACAATAATGTAGTAGAAACATCTAGCGAAAATAAACTTTAATTGGTTATTTTGAAATTTAAAAAACTCTGAAAATCACAAGCAAAATATAAACAATAAAATTTAAAGGTAAATTGTAATCTGATAGCACTTCGGTCATCCTAAGCCCGAGTTTTAGAACGATAGATTTGTTTCTTATCATTCCACAAAATTATATAGGCTAGAAAGCTGAAATGAAAACCAACTGACGAAAAAACGGATTAAAAATTATAACATCAAAATTGCAACTAAACTCAATTTTATTTCAATTAAATTCACCGACAAAATGACAACATAAAGACTGAGAAAAGAGAAAAGCTTGAAAATAAATTTCAAAAAAAATTCGATAATTTTTTCAAAATTTGAAAATTTTTTAAAAGAAGGTCGGTGAAGTGATTTTCAAATTACTTGTCAAAGTTGAATCAATATTAAAAAAAGACTGGAGACAAAAATCATTAGGTAAATAATCGACAAAATTAAAGCCGACCTTAATAAGCTGCGAAACAGCCGAAACAATTTCAGTGAAAACTTTTTTTTAAAAAAATTGCATATACCACCAACAAACCAAGCTCTACACGCAAAACAAGTAAGCTGCAAACTTGTAAAAGTACCAATTCACCTTTGCTTCGAAATGTAACAAGTCTAGAACCCAGTTGCAATACCATTGCTGTATCGAAAGGGTAAAAAATTAAATAAGTATTTACCGAGCGGCCACTACGCCGACAAAAAGTTGGTAGACGCACAATGAGCCAAAAAAAACTACCATAAAAAATGGCACTAACGCCGATAAAAGATGATCAGACAAACAGAAGTCCGACAATTCGATTTTTCCCGGACAATTCAACTGTTTCAATTTTGAATGTTATTCAATTCAATTTCTTAAATTTCATACATACTGAAGAAAGTAAGTGCGTTTAGTCATAAACGTCCATTTATCATAAACATCGCTTCGTGAAGGGAATTAAACTTTGGTATAGGACAATTAAAAATTCGTTCACGCTATTCGAAAAAGGGTTGAACCGTACAATTTTTCACAGGATAACTTAGTAGAGAATGCTACATAACCTTATCTAACATTCCCTACTACCTTATCTATCTTATAACCTTACATAACATATCTCATCGAAACATAAGCAAAAAATCGATTTAACTGTTTTGTAGAACATCAAAATCGATATAGGTAAAAAAAAAATTAAAAAATAGAATTACATTCAGAATTATTACAAGCTTGCAGAGGAAATTATACGGTAGGTCAATTAAGGGAGGAGGGGGGGGGGGGTGTGGTTGTACGGTTGATCCCAAAAACCGTACAACTTGAGCAACCAATCAATCTCAAGAAATCTTGAGCAACCAGTCTTCAAACAGCAAGCGAGTTAACTGCATTCTTTGCCATGGGCCTGCTAATCGACCCACATGCTAATAATCAGATCCCCAAACACTTAGTAGCATGTACTTGCTGAAAAACATTCCGAAGAAAACCATCACAAAAACGTGAAATACCTGCAGTGGCACGTTGAACCTTTTCATGCGCTGTTCAGGTTCATTTTTTTGGAAGTCCACTCGCGCGTTCCTCAGAGCTTCCAACTCTTTCTTCCTTTCAAGGACACTTTGTGAGTGACTAGATGTGATAACGTTTGGTGAACTTTCGATTTTCGATGGCGTAACTGCGTTCAACTTCCGAGCTTCTTGATTCTGATTATATTTCGGTTGTTGCTCTCTTTCTGGTTGCTGTCGTTCCTATAATTATTATAGTTAAACAAAACGAATATCAAATATGCAACAAAAACTTTCAGACAAGCGCTGACACTTCTTTACAAAGAGGCGAAGCGGAACTTCGCAACACTTGCGATGCAAAAAACACATTGCGCTACAAAATAGTGAATGAAAAAAAACAGAAGCAAAACTTTTTTTTTTGAAAAATTATGAAAAAGTACTTGAAAAAATAAGTTGAAAAAAGTTTACACCAAAAAAATTTCATATTTGTACCGGACAAAGTTCATAAGCAGACCTTCAAAATGGAAGTCATTCAATGAGGGACAACAAACTTTGGGTCGAAAACTGTTGAGCCGAAAACAAAACAGTTGACATAAAAAAATTCAGAAAAAGTTTTTACGACCCATCCAAAACTGAAACACAAAAAAAGTTGACTAAGTCGATATACCATAAACTGAAACTGTTTGAGCATTTGAAAAAAAAAACTCAAAATCAGGCATGGTAAATTTACAAATTTGTGAAGTTTCAGTTATAGTAAAAACTGTTTAAATTGGAACACAAAACACATGCTTTAAAAAGTAAACCAATAAGAACCCTAACAGATAATTAAAAAAACGGCGTTAAAAAAACGAAAATTGAACTGACAGAAACTAGGACGAAAACCACGAACCCGAAAAAAATTAGAAACTGTTTTTGAAAATATAATTGCAACCTTTGAAAAGATAATTACAACCTAAAACCAGAACATTTTTTAGACGTGTTGACAAAGTTGTTTACTGGAAAAAAGTCTAGTACCCGATTGCAATACCCTTGCTTATCGCAAGGGTAATTAACAATAGGCGCCACTTAGCATGCTGGAAATACCACATTTCCACTTAATAGGAGCCACTTATTCGATCTAGTGCCATGGTGTGAAGAACGTTTCTCATCTTACCTCTAGTTTCAAGTCTACCAGGCCCTGATCAATTTCGGTTTCAACATTGGCACCATGTCAAAAATCAAGACGCTAAAAATGATCTTGAGAGGCAAAAAGAGCTCCAATAAGGGAAATTAAAAGAAACTGGCCATCCGGCGACAAAAACTATCCATTCATTGGAAAACTTCTAAGTAATCAGCCATGTAATTGGTTTGAATGAAACCATATCCGCAGGTATTTTCGTATAAATCTACTGGTATTATCACGATTGCGCTGAACTTAAATGCTGAAAGGGTTGTAATTCTTGCCATTGACATAGGAAAGACTCCAGGAACGAGAAATCTAGACATCTACTAGAGATTATCACTTAACTACGCATCAAAAATTATCCATATCAAAGTAAGAGTTTACTAGTTGCCTAGGCGGGGTATATCGCATTTGCTGCGCAGACCCATGAATCTGAAAATCGACTCTCGCGTGTTGTAAAGCTTCTAGCTCCTTTCTTCTGTCTAAGACATTTTGAGAGTGGCTGGATATGTTGGCACTTGGCGTCCATTCAATTCTGGATGGAGTAGCATTCACTTTGTTAGCTTCGCGCTGCTGTGTATACTTCAGCTGTCGTTCTCTTTCACTTTCTTTTTGTTCCTAGAAATATGAACTATATGAAGCATTCAGATATGGCAAATTTCATGGTGTCCGGCAAATAAGACGACAGCTGTTAATACCAAGGGGGGGGGGACGCCCCTCCCTCAGGGAATCGACCCCATGCCGACTCAAAGGGTCCATATTTGTACTATTTTGAGATATGCCATTTTTGGCCTGTTTTTCAAAAATTTGGCGGCGGCGCTGAATATTGTGTCAAAATAGGGTCATTATAGTGATTTGAGAGAGCTCAGAAAATCAATTTGGTCGACCTAAATAAAAAGACGCCAAAATTTATTATCTCTTCGTTTATTAAGACTTCGATAAAGTTGAGAAAATCTCAGAATTGAGAACTTAGTTTTAACTCGCCTAATTTTACATGACTGGACATGAGGCTTTCAAAAGACTCGGAAGAGATGATCAAAGCCACTACCTGCCAGGCAGCAATGAATGCGCTTTAATAAGGTCAATATAGTTTAATTTGGATGAAATGAAAGAACTATTACTATACAGTATACACAAACATAACCTATGAAGCTGTAAACTGAGCCCATAAAATAGGCAACGGTTAATTACAAAAAAAGTCAGTCAGCTCAAGAGTTTTTTGAACACCTTTCAATTTCCTGTAAATATCTTCTAAGATAAGGAATTTCTGAAGATCTCGAAGCGGAAGTGTTTTTTCCCGCCACTTGCACTTTTGTTATTGTAGGGCGAGCGTGATTTGCTTTTTCCTTTAGCAAAGGAGTTTGAAGAGATCTTGAAAAGATACCAATAAAAGCATCAAAAATACTTTCGAAATTCTCCTGTTAGGAATAAAAGAAATATAGGCTTTTCCAAGAGGTCCTAACAGGACGCGAGGCCAATTCCTCAGTTGGGCAAATTGAAGAAGCGCCGTGCATTCTCCGCCAACTATGCCCAGAAAAACGTCACAATTTACGTTTAATTATGAAGCCAGTAGCCTTTTATAAGGCCATACTGTTCCTGATGACTCTGGTTCCTTGGCAAAAAAAAAGTAGTTGTTGACAAAAAAGTAATAAATGACAAACAAAAAATGAACACTGAACAGGAATAGGAACGAATTTTGATATCGAGAATCAGGGATTATCAAAGGTTAATCTGGTACTCGATTAACCGCGGTTAATCGGGTCGGTTAATTGGCCGATGGGTGTAAGCCCTCCTCCGGTTAAAATCGGCGACTGTCCCAATTAACCGCCGGTTAACTGCCTGAGTAATAGGCCTGGAAAGCAAACAAACGGCAGGACACAACGTTTACAGGTTTACATTACAGCATAGGCTATAGCTGCGCTCTTTCTTCGATATTTCTCCAAAATTTCGGAGAATGAAAGAACTAGTGTTTGGAGCTGTAAGGAGTGTAACAAAAGTATTTCACGGGCAAAAGGGGCCGGATGGACAAATACGTTTAACCACGTTAGGGCACACCACCCGGAGTATAAAAACGACTCAGCGCAGTCCCAAATTATTTCTAGTTCCTATACAACAGCCATGAGCTCTTACTTACAGAAGACGAGAAAGAAACTGTATCCAAATTCGTTTCCCGTATTTCCCAGGATATTTCGTGTGCCTCAACTAGTGACTTTGCAACCGATATTATCCGAAAGAAGAGATTATCTTCAATGGCCACACCGAAATATGGAAACTGCAAGTTTGTGTTACCGACTTCCAACCTGGTCGAAAGATTTTTCAGCCTTGCCGGGTATACTCTTAGCAATCTTCGGCACCGCCTACTACCTTTCAACTTAGAAATGCAGTTGTTCCTGAAAGTCAACCACAGATTTTGGGACAAAAAAAACTGTACAGGAATGTATATCCCGTTGATTCGCTGAAAAATACATTCTTCGTGTCTCATTTATTGTTTTTAACGATTAACCGCCGATTAACCGGATAATTGACCGGCGAGTACCCCTTTTTTCGGTTAATTGACCGGAGGTAAAAAAAAGGCCGTCGGTTAACCGCGGTTAACCTTTGATAATCCCTGTCGAGAATATGCCACTTAGATGATACAAAGAATTTTGGACTCTTTTCCAGTCCCCCCTTTGATTTTTTCTGAAATTCATTATATGAAAGTCTATTCAAAATGACTTTTCATGTTATTAACTGCATCAAAGCGTCTCAGCGTGAACAGGTGAACAAATTAATGCAACATTTCTTACATGAAAAATGCCGATTGAACAATTTTTGAACAGCTTTTTGTAATTTTACGAGGGGGGTGGGAAATTGGAAAAGAGCCGAATTTTGCAATTAATTGTTATCAGCCTAAAATTGAATTGATTACCTGTGCCCAAAATTGATCTCTGTTTGATCCTTTGATATCTCGCAAAGCATCTGCCTTCTTGTAATTTGTCCCTACAGGGGAAGGCACACTAATGTCTTCAATTTTGACCTTTTCTTTGTGCACTCCGTACTGTGATGACGATTTTGACAGCTCTCGTTTGATTTCATTTTCATCAATATCTTCTTCACACCTACACATAGGATAGCTAACATTTAGAATTTATCGAGCGATTTCTTGTTTTTTTTTCTAGTATCAGAATAAGCTTAACAAAAAAGCAGTTAATGTACAGTAGGTCCCGGTCAGATTCGAACCAAGGACTTTTGCCGTCCCAGGCGCATTCATTACCTCTAGACTAAGTGTACCAGAGACGCTAAGATATTTGAAGTTATTATGAAGCAAGATACCAAAAAGATTCTGTTAAAAAAGTTGTTAGCCCGAAAAAATTCAATATTCCGATTTGATAATGCTTACTAATTGCAAGCGCAATCATCTCTCATATGATTTGGTAGACTCAATAGATCATTAATTGGCTTTTTTCCAGTCCCCCCTTTCAAATTCAACTTTGGAAAGCTTTTTTAACGTTGTCATAATGAAATGAAATTTGGCGTGTTGAACAAATCGACAGTTCTGAACAGATTTGTCTTCATACTTTACAGCGTAACATCATGCATTTAGCCGTAATAACATATAAAACAAACATAAGACTCGGTATTTTGAAAGGTGAGGGGAAACTGGAAAAGAGCCTATTAATTTTGTATATCCGAAGTGTTTGGAATTGTTCAAACCTGGCTGTTACTGTGAGATGAATGGGCGACAGCTGATTGAGAATAATTGGGAGCTGTTGCACTGCCGTGGCCTTAACGAATTCAGCTGCCGACTCACCAATCCACTGTATGAGCACTTTCTTCGCAAGACCTAACAAAACTGCGTTTTAGTTCCAGACATAATATTGTACATACACAAGGGGGTCAATTCACTTAGCATAAAACACGCTTTTCATACCCTAATTTTCATACTCCATTTGAAATCAGAAACATTCACTTAGCATTCTCGATTTAGTTCAAAAACGTATCACTTTACCATCCTCAGCTTATTTTTTATCTTTCATAAATCTTAATTACCAAACATAGCCAACAGATGGTTGAAAAGTGTAAATGAACAAGGAAACTTCAGATTTGATTTTTTTCCGAAAATTCAGAAAGAATAAGTCGAAATTTTGAAACTAGACGTCATTCACGTCTTCTGCTACCTTAACACTTTTTTATTCGATAATGAAGTTTGCCTTCCTTCTAAAAAAAAGTAATATTTTCGAAAAAAAATCAAAAGTCAAACCGCGAAAATCAAATATGAGCGTGAATCAAAATTAAGTTTTCCTGAAAACATTGAACATTGCTGCTAACAGACAGTTAAAAATGTGTAAAAGAACGAGGAAACCAAACAAAGTTGATTTACGTTTTTTGAACTTTCAACTTTCGAAATTCGAAGAAAAAACATCACGTTGAAGCTATTTGAATTTCAAATTTTGTTTATGATTGGAACTATTTTCGTAAAGTTATCTCAAGTAAATTATATTCCGCTGGTAATTCATAAAACTCAGCTCTATTTTTGAATTTTTCACTTCTAATTTTAAGTTTAACGTGACCTTTTCACTTTTAATGTTCGATATTGGAGTTTGCCTTCCTTTCAACAAAGGAAATGAACTGATATCTACAAAGAAATCAAAAGCCAAACCGCTAAAAATGAAAAAATGAAACTGAAAATTTTTTATAACTTTTCCAGAAAAAAAAACATTAAAATCTCGAACTATATGAGAGTGAGAACTACGTTAATCGACTCTTAAGAACAAACAAAAAACAGCGTGACTAAAATCAGAGTCTGATTTAGCTTCATTGACTCTGAAAAACTTGAAATCTCAGAAAATCCCCTTCAAAATATTTTTGTTCTTCAAACGACTCAAAAAAAATTAGTGGAGTCTGCAAGCAGTCAAGTGAAAAGCCAATCTTTCTATTAGTACCAATTATTTGAAAACAGACATAATAGTTCGCGAGAAAAATTAAAGTTTTTTCGAAAAGAGCGAAAATTTCCCAAAGCGTCTGGTAAAACGATAATCAAAAAACCAAATCCATTACATTTTCATGATACCTGTTTTTTTGCGTATCAAACAAGAACTAATGAGCAATAAACCAGATACAAAACCAGTGCTATGCACAAAAAGTGAACCAGATATAAAATGCAAAAGTGCCACTGTTATAAGCACTTATATTTGCGACTTAGTTAGGAAAAAAATTGGATACCGTAACAAGCCACTACAATCCGCTTGTGTAAAAAGGCATCCTAATGGCTAAATATTACGTTACTCTAAGCTAAATAAATCACTTAGTTAGTAAAATAGCGTGGGGGGATTAGTTTACAAAAATCGTCAACTTTTCTCAAATCAAACTCTTCTCTATGAACCAATCTTGAAAGTTTTTTCAACGTGCTAATACATACTTATTTTCAGTCCGAAAAAAACTATTTCTGGTCAAAACTTCTAGAAATTGCCCAAAAACAGCATTTAGAGTGTGTTTAACTTTTAAAAAAAGAGCCTGAGTGGAGAATTTTGCTGCTGAAAAAGTAATTATTTAGTGTTTTAAAAGAGCTCGGAAAATCCATTTGGTCGACCCAAAGAAATCGATTAACCTTTGAATTTACTACGGACAAAATTCACCCTAACCATCGAAAAAACCTAGATCTGCGTCTGCCAGTGCATATTAAGTCTTTTTTATTCTTGTCGAAATTAGCATTAAATTGACTGACTCACTTCACTTCACAAAACCCAGCAGCCAGATTTGAAATGGAGATATTAAATTTTCGGAGCATCTCAAGCTATTTCCAGAAAAAAAAAGTGTCTGTGACGAGCACTGAAAAGAGATTTTAAAAAATCGAAAACAAGGATTGAATCTGTTTAGGGCAGTCCGGTTAGCTAAGTAAACATGGCTTTCTAAACTTTCTAAATTTCCAACAAAACGTTTGCTTCAACTTCGTTTTTTGGGGAGCGCATAATTAATTTAAAAAAATATCATTTTTCTACTGCTTGAAAAACCAAACCTTTTACTTTTTAGCCCTGTACCTTTTCATACTCAAATGAGAGCATATCGGTAAATATTAATATAGTCTAAAACTCAACATTCATCAGCTCAAGGCACCAATTTTTTTAACTCCTCATCCGTATCTACTTCTGCCAATTTTTAAATATCTTACCCGTATTTAAGGAATCCTGCACACTGCAGAATAGATACTGTACAGCCGAATGGTTCAAAGAACACAGAACCCACTCCAGATCTCCATCATCGAAGAACTCCGAGAAGACCACGCTGTTCGTATCCCTAATGTACGTCAGAAGACAACAAGTGGTTTTAGCAGAGCAGTTGTTTATGATTCTGTTGATATAAGCTCTCGCTCCACCGTCTATTCGCACACCACTCATAATGAACCTTAAAAATGGCGAGGTGTCTACAGTGTCCGTCACTCAGTCTAAAGGTCGGTGATTCGAGGCCCACCATGATCAGTATTCGCTGCCTGCGAATTAGAAAACAATTCTCGTGACGGAATAATGGGTTTAATTACAAGTCACTTACTCTCCCAAGTTAAAAACATGCATGTAATTCTTAACTCCGGGTACAACAGCGGTTCCCCGTAAAGAGTAGAACGACTCAAAAAAATTTGGTCTTTTCCCTCATTTGTTAGGGTTATTCGACAACTCATACTAGCTCACTAAAGGAAAAAATGATGACTCGGTAATGAAGACATCAACATTTCAGCCGCTTTTTTACATTTTTTAAAATAACTTCTGTTTAGTGCGCATTTCTTTAGGTGAAAACATATTCTAACCGCAGATACTCTACGAAAAATATGAAGGACCTTTTTTCAACATAACTAGCGTGTAACGCACCACCGGTGCTTCGAACTTTTGACAACTCAGAAAAAAACCGCATATAGTGGAAACCAGATCTGTAGGCTTTTAGTGTACTCTGACAGCACCCAATTACATGGCTAGGAATTTCAAATTTTTAAGAAAAAAAATAATTCAAGCTTTTTGAAAAAATCACAAAAAAACGTCATGTCTCGAAAACTACAAAGATTTGAGCAGTCAAAATTGGAGGCGAGGTTCGCAATCCCTGAGAGTACTCTGATTACCCCCAAATACAGGGTTAGGAATTTTGAAGAAAAAAAATTCGTTAAGTTTTCTGAATTATTTTGGGAACTCACAAAAAAACGTCATAACTCTTACCAATCTTATTTGGATGCAAGGTTCGCAACCCCTGAGAGTACTCTGATAGCCTACAACTACACGATTGGGAACTTCAAATTTGAGTGAAAAAGAAATTCGTTGAACTTTTCTGAAACTTTTTTGAAAAAATCACAAAAAACGTCATATCTCGAAAACTACAAGGATTTCAGGCGTCATAATTGGATGCAAGGTTCGCAACCCCTGAGAGTACTCTGATAGCCTCCAACTACACGATTGAGAACTTCAAATTTGAAAGAAAAAAAAATCGTCGAATTTTTCTGAAACTTTTTTGAAAAAATCACAAAACACGTAATATCTGAAAAATTACCAAGATGTGAGCAGTCATAATTGGATGTAAGGTTCGCAACCCCTGAGAGTACTCTGATAGCCTCCAAGTACAAGGTTGAGAATTTCAAATTTTGAAAACAAAAAATGATTCAAGTTTATTAAAAAATTTTGAAAAAATCACGAAAACGTCATATCTCGAAAACTACAAGGATTTGAGCAGTCATATTTGGAGCTAAAGTTCGCAACCCTTATGAGTACCCAGAAAGCAACCAAATTTCGAAAGATCGAAAAAAAGATGGAAAGAAAGAGAAAGAAAGAAAAAAAAAAGATAAAAAAAAGAGATAGAAAAAAAAGATCGAAAAAGAAGGATCGAAAAAAAATTAGAAAAAAGATAGAAGAAAGAGATAGAAAAAGAAGGATCGAATTAAGACAGAAAAAAAGATAAAAAATACAGATTAAGAGAGAGAATCGGAGACAACTGTTTGACAGTAGTATTATTTTGAACTGAATCGTCGAAACCAAATTGAAAGTTCAAAAATTACGAGACGGGTAGACAGACATAATCAAATTAAACGGAAAAGCAGGTATACAGACAGACTTAATTTGGCCTCGCAAAGAATTACTGAAAATTTATTGACCTTGCGGAAAACTACTTGAAAAATTTTCTTAAGCATTGCAATATATGATATAGCTTAAACATGAAAAATTCTTTCGTTAAACATGCAAAATTATTATGCTTAAACATGGGAGATAGCTGTCACTAGCATTTAATTATATTATAGATAGATTAATTTCCAACCAAAATTTATTTGCTTCAATTTCGTTTTTAGAGAGCATTATTATTCAAAACATATATATTCCTACTGCTTGAAAAACAAAACATTTACTTTTTAGACACCTTACTTCACAAAGAGAGCATATCGGTTATCATTATTATAGTCTATAACCAAAGATTCATTTGCTCAGCGCAGCAATTTTTTACTTATACTTTTTTTACAAACAGTTTTGCGAGCAGTTGTCCCTCGGGTAGACTTCTAATGAGTTTCAAAAAATGTATCACAACATGACTTGATTTTCTCTTGAATAATGAAATTTGTCAGGAAAATATGCCATGAATTAAGAAAATTGAAAGTCAAATAGGCATCGAAACAAAACTAACAAAGCAGTAACAAAGCCGACGATTCTTCACCAGATATACGAAGTGCCGAAAAAATGGTTATGATGCGATCTGCACCTAATTACAAACTAAATGAAAATATTAGTAGTTTGATTTAAAATTTCAAGAAATTGAGCATATTAGTTATTGAGGGTGAAATTTACCTACTCAAATTGAACATCCGTGAACAACGGTATTTACATGAAAAGTGTAGTATCCGATTGCAATACCCTGGCTTATTACAAAAAAAGCTTTAAGTTTGAATTTTTGTTCGGAAAACGTAGATCAAGCATTCTTTTTTATCCATTTTCATCCCTGTGACGAACCTCAAGTTTCTCACCTGACTTTCGTACATCACGACAACAGTCAGTGATTCCTTAATACAAAATGTTTACGAAAAAAAAACTTCAAAGATCCTATTTGATAACGCTTGCTAAATTAAAAACGATTATTTCTATATTTTTGTTCAATTTGTTCAAAACAACTATATATATTTCTGCAAGAAATTATTATATGAAGTTTACCCTTAACTAAAATGCGAATTTTATCACTGGTACTTTTTCGTTTCGCTAAGCACTAACATAATTTATAAACCACTCTATTTTTCAGCTTTCACGTAGCTACGATAACTTTTTGATAACTAATGAAAAAAGACAATATAACGATTTTTTGGTAAAAAATTTCGAAAAAAATGCACCACCTTTACTCTGGTGAACTTCTACGCAATCTTTGTTCTCTTCCTTTTTTGTCTTATGCAAATTTGAGAAAAACGCGGTGGAATTTTCTAATGTTGTTCGGTCTGTCCGTTCAAATTAATTCAGCATTGTACCATCATAAATATTTTACAGAAGTAAACCAAAAGAAATATTTTAGAAAATAAAGTCTAGCAGTTTGACATTCTACTACTCAATTTACTTTTTTCTTCCAAAGGTAAAGACTGTATAGTCTTTATTTTTTATTAATACTGCCTGTTTAGACTTCTAAAATGTCTACAAATAACTAATTTTCATGGATTTTTTGCTTATATTTCTATCTTGCTTTCTAGTATCTCTGACATTTTCATGTCTATCGCGATTTGTCTTCAGTACAACTCTCTTTAGGCGAAAGATGACAAATAAAGCAACTACATTAGCAGCGTAACAAAACGTACGATGCGGTAACCAAACCGCCAAATCTTGAGATGATGACACATTGAGATGAAAAAATGATTTCATAAAAAACTTGTACAGAATCAGAGTTGGTAAAATTACAACCATATACAAAATGCAGATATGAACAAATGATTCAGTGATTCTGTTCGACAAATCGTTAACATGAAAAAGTCTTTGTTCCGATTTGATAAAGCTTTCTAATCACAAGCGTAACAAAACATACGTTATAATAACTTTCAGATGAAATGACAAAGCAATAAACTTTTCAAAAGGCAATTTTTAACACAGAAGCAAAGCTGCAATTCGCAAACAATAGCGAGAACACGACAAAAAGCAGCTCTATAAAGTACAAAAGGAAAAAGTAGGTGGTAAAAAATCGGCTACGTCTCGGATTTAAACCTACGATCTAATGCGACCTAGATATTACGCGCTAACCACTCAGCCACGGACACTTGCTTAATCACAAATAAAGCAGAGAACAGATGCTATGCAATTTCCAATGCTACAAAGAAATTTCTACAAAAATGAACACGTCTATTTGCGAGTTAGGATAGAAAAAAGAAGGTTCGTACTAATACACCAACGCTCGCAAGCTCGCTAGTATGAACACAGAGAAGAAGCGGATCTTCGCAGCACTTGCGATACCAAAAATGAATGACTATTGGCGGGATTCGAATCATTGACCTTCGCCTTTATAAGCAGGTGGGTTAGCTTTTCGCCAAAAGCGCAAATTAATGTCTGACTTTTGCTTTCACATAAACCAAAGGTAAAATGATTCGAGTGATGCTGTTAAACTAGTTGTTAACCCGAAAAAAGTCTATACCGGTTTGATAACGCTTGCTAATCGCAAGCGTAATCATTTTAATTGAAAACATTCTAAAATCATGCCTAACTCAAATACAGCTACCATTGTGAATTAAATGGAATTCGCAATTAGGGAAGAAAACTGAAATTTCAACCATAGCTAATCGAAGATTGAAAAGAGTAATGAACGCAAGTAAACATTAAAAAAACACTGTCTTTGTTGAAAAAAGCTCAACTTTCAAATTTTAAAGAAAAAAATAGATGACCTTTAAGTTCTTTGAATTTCTAGAACAATTTATGATTCTCGCTTTTTTGATAACATTGAACCAACTTGAGAAAACTGGATCAACAGCTAAAGTTTTTATTCCGCAGGAAATCTAAAATTTAAATTCCACTTTCGAAACTGAAATCGTTTACATTTTTTCGCGCCATTTCCACGTTCGTATTCGGAGAGTGCTATTTAAGTCTTTTTCAGTAGATGAAGTTCAATTGAACTCAAAAAGTGCATTATATCTAAGTGCATTCATAAATGCATCAATATAGATGAATGCACATCTGTTATTTTTAGATATTTTAAAGACTTTTCTGAAAAACAAAAAGAAATCAGCTAGAACTATATAAGAGTCTTCACTACGTTCAAAACTCTTACAAAAAGCTACATCAGCAGTAAGTATCTAGCGTATCTTAACTTATTATCTAGCGTATAATAAGTAATTTTATTCAGTCTAAAAGTTTTGACATACTGTTCCTTTAAGTGAAAATTGTCATTCATTTAGGGAATCAAAACTCAACATACACATAAAAAAGCAAGTTTTTGAACTTTTCATCCGTAATGCGACAACATATTTCGGAATCAAATCCATTTATTGACGAGAAGACGTTTTCGATGCTCGAGTGCAAGAAAAACAACGTTTGATTTACTGGTTAGACTATTAGTAATTACGAGTCAATAAGATTCCGGGGGTTCTGTTCTTTAAGTCAGTTTTAAAACAACCACCAAAAGAAGCGTAAAACAACCACTTTCGAAACTAGAAAATGTTCATGTTTTTTCTCGCCATTTCCACGTTCGTATTTGGAGAGTGCTCTTTACGTCACTTTCAGCAAATGAACTTCAACTGAACTCAAAAAGTCTGTATATACATAAGTGCATTAATAAATGCATCAATATGTATGAATGCACGTCTGTAGTTATTAGAGACTTATAAGACTTTTTCTGAAAAACAAAAAAATCAGCAAGACCTACATAAGAGTCTTCACTACGTTCATTACACTTAAAAAGAGCATGTGCTAAGGGAACTAAGCCAATGAAAGAAAACAAACTATTCGAAAAAGCAGAATATTTTCAGTTCGCAAAAAAAACAGGGCTTTGTCGTTTCAAGCATAGGTAAGACCTCTGCGCCAGATGCTCTGAGTAGTTGATAGAAGTTGATTTTATTATTAAGCAAACAGAAACAACTGTAAAATTTCTGCGTGCGAAGTCTGCAAATATGGATGGTTCTCAACCAAAAAAAAGTTCACGATTGCAAAAACCTTGCTTTATCGCAAGCGTCAATCATATTGAAAATCCAAAAAAAAAATGCTTTTCATAATTTCCAGCTCTTTTTTTTTTTGATAATAGACGAATGCATTGAGTAAAAAATCACAGACTACGATGTAATAAATGCCAAGAATCGCAGTAGAAACTAATTGTAATTTCAGGTCAAATTATTCATCAAAATGAGTCTCAATTTTTATCTCGATCTAGGATCTAGTCAAAATGGCGTGAAAAAACACCCTATACCACAGTGAATTCCCACTCTATCAAGAATACTTTTCACCTTTCTATGTTTATTTTGAGAAAACTGGATCAAGGGCTTAATTTTTTATTCCGCTGGGAAGACTGAAAATTAAGTTCCACTTTCACGTTTTTTCGCGCCATTTCTGCTTTCGTATTTCAGCAAATGAACTTGAACAAATGAACAGCAAATGAACTTGAAGTGAAAAAAAGCGCACACTCCTCATAGCCTTCTTTATTGCATTAATATGTATGAAAGCACTTCTGTATTTAATAGGGCATTTTAAGACTTCCTGTAAAAAATCTATAAAAATATCACTAAAAACTATATAAGAGTCTTCAGTACGTTCATCGAATCGTTATAAAAAATGAACGTGAACGAACTTTTCCTGAAACTATGTTTCCTCCAAAAAAACCAAACAATCTTCAGTGTCGAACTTGCACTTCGCAATCAGAAAAACGGCACAAGCTAGCAATGAATTCCCTTTCATAAGGCGCATAAAACATTTGCTAGAGAATCGACATTTAAAAAAATGAGCAGTACACATGCAGAAAATGAGAACAAAATACCTCGAGTTAAGTTAGAAAAAAGTGAATTCGTAGAACAATACAAACGTTTGTAAAGCTGCACTTCGCAATCACAAGTGGCAAAAGCTCTAAAAACGGCAAACGCAAAAATACAAGAACAAACACAGAACCAACTTGAAAATAACAAAATTGATTAGAGGGATTTAAAACCGGATCTCCTGCCCATCAGGTATTTGCCTCATAGGGCATTCTAATTCGGATCTCCGGTCGACTACTTTCAGTCGACTTTCTTCTTAGATATCAGGCAACAGAAAATAGCGCAAATAAAGTTATAACTAGTATCCTGTGTGATGTTAATGAATACTTTTGTACTGATGCTAAGGTTTTGTGCATTGATTGGGAGTGAGTTTTCATGAAATACGTTCAATTTGTTCTGGATTGGTTAGAAACGAGGTTCACTCATAACGCTCCAGATACGGAAAAGATAGCGAAAATCAAAACAGTAACTCAAGAGCTCATACGACCTTGTTGTGAAGCTACAAAAGCTGCCAGAGTAGTATTGGAGTTCAATTCAATGTGCAGTTTACTCCAAAAGGCTGTTGCCTTACTGAAAAAGCAAAACTGATTTCAAAAATCTTACTTTTTTTCTGCAAGCAGGGTTGTATCCCAATCTCCCAGATAAAAAAAACAAGAGACTTGTAAAATCCCCTATTTAGTGTAATATAACTGTTTTAAACTACATACCGCCTTGCTTACTTTGCTCATAAAAGATCAATAGAAAAAGGTGCAAAACTGCATACCAGAGTGTGTTCTAACTTACTACAGTGTGCTAACTTAACGCCCAAGACAAAATTAAACGATAGAAAAAAGCCTCGCGAAAGAAATATGGCTATTTTACGAGAGTAAATATGCTTTCAAGTGAATATAACACAAGCTAAAAGCTTAATTGAAGGCTATCAAGCCCAGATTCGACTGGTTCGTTTCCACGAAAAAAGAAAAAGTTACAAATAAAAGATGTTAATTTCTTAGAAAGTTGGCTTTAAGAAAGGATTTCCCCAGCAAATGTTACCGAATGAAAAAGTTTCATACAAAGCGGAATTTTCCTCGCTCTGCTCCATTTCAACCTCAAACAGTCTCTGTGTAATGGCAGCTTTCAAGGGTCCTCAATTAGCTAAAATTCTTGTTCTACAAATAAAATTTCAAATTTTGAATTAATCTAAGTTAAATTGGTTTGATTCTAAATTAAAATACACGTTCAGAACAAAAACAGAACAATTATTCACGTTTTGCCTACAACTTCATTAACGTAATGAGATAACTGAACTCTATATTCACACAGCTACAGCAAAATCGCATAGAAAAATATATGAATTTTGATAGGAAATGGATATTGGTGTGGAGGAGAGAGAGTTTCATTCAGGTTAGTGGAAGAAAAGAGACTGCAACAAACAATTGCGATTAATCTGCTTCAAGATTGTGAAGGGAAGACTGCTCAGAAGTGGGGTACATCTAAAAGACCGCCTGGTCAAAACTTATCCGAAAAGCAGTCCGTCCGAAAAATGCCATTCCGTTTGACCCCATAGATGTTCACTTCGGCCGAATAGTTCGTTATTCGTGCAAATATTATCCGTTTCGTGAAATAGTTGTGGCTTGATTAGAGGTTTGGTTTGGTGTAGTTGAGTAGATGTGTAGTAGACTAGTACGGCATGTGCGCGGTCACATTATAGTCGAAATCGTCCTGCTCCACGGCACCGTCTACTTCTTCGCTGTCCAGCTAAAAAAAGAAGAAAAAAAGCATAGCAAATAGACGTAGTTAGCATTTTTAGACAGTTAGCATTAGAAAATTAATAAATTTGAAGCATTTTTAACGAAAAATGTATATGGCCCTAAAGCTCTTTGATTTCCAAGAATCTTTGATGTTTGAAACTTTTTGACAAACGATTTCAACCTTTTTCTAAATTCTAATACTACTACTTCTACTAATTACTTATGCGTTTAATGCCCGTTTTCCCATTGTGGTCGGAAAGTGCGTAAAGAATGGTATATCTGAATAGTTTGACAAATTTCAGTATTCAGACGGAGGCATTCTGAATAGCATTCGAGCTATTTTCAGATAAAGTGTGACATTCTGGAGAGCATTCGAGCTATTTTAAGATAACATGTTTTTTCATGCCTTTCCATCAAGGCACAATGTGGTTTTGAGGCTTAAAGTATTCACACAATCAATCTAGCGGTTTTTACGTCTTCCTGCTGTTTTTTCCGAGACTGAAACACCGTCTGATGATTTTGGCGAACGATCATTTTCTCTTCGGTCGACATGGGTAAAATCCTTCATCGCACTTGTAGCTTATCCAGATCCACAAAAGCGATCACTTTAATTACTGCTGTGTCGATAACTCTGTCTCTCCTGTATAAATTACTCCTGTAACCCAAAGCAGAGCTTTCATACCATCACTCTTGAAAGAGCTGGATATCGCAAGGCACTGCGCCCAAGTTTCAGGGCAGTACATCAGAACTGGCCAGAGGCAAGCTCTGTAGATATGACACCTTGAAATCAAGTCGATCTTGCTTCACCAACAGAGCAAGCTCTGTAGATATGACACCTTGAAATCAAGTCGATCTTGCTTCACAATTTACCGCCATTTCATCCAGAAAACTGCTAATCTAGCCAACGCTGCATGCATTGCGTCACATTCACCTGAAATAATGTCGCGCAAATTGCAGATCTCTTTGACAGTATCTAGAGTTTCAGATTGATTGATCCGTAGAGTGGCGTTTTGATTTAGTCAAAAATTGGAAACAATATTTTATCTTGATCAAAGGTAATTAATATTTTTTTTTTGTATTTTCCGCAGACCACTGCTTTTTTAAGCACCCATTTGTTCAAGAAGTGCAGCGTAGTGTATTGGCGCAGGATCCCTTCGAAAAACACGCACATGGATATTTTCCGGTTATTTTTGTGGATACACTTTCGGCGTAAAATCAAATACTTCGTTTTATCCAGGAAACCTTTTGAACGGCGTTTCTGTAAAGCATTGTTCCAAGTGTTAAACTTATCAATAGGCTGGGTTTCCGTTTCAGCTGATACCACAAGGTCATCTGCATATAGCAAATATCACAGTACCATAAAAAGACAGTTTCTCGTAGCCTCTTGCACGACTAAAAAATAACAATGGGCTATGTACCCATCTTTGATTCACGCCTACTTCAATTTCGAAGGTATCATATCATCCTTGTGTTCGGCGAAGTCTGATTTTAGACTCAGTGTAGAAACACATTTTTAGTCGTACCAGATTTTAAGGAACTCCCTGTTGCTTCAGAGGCTATAGTATCAGTCCCCTGGGAACAAAGTCGAAGGCTTTTTCGAGATCAACTAATGGCAGGCAGTGGTTTTTTCTGTTCTGTAAATTGTTCTTTCAATTGAACAATATGAAAAATGGCATCGGTAGTTGATCTAACACCTATAAAACTTAATTGTTTGTTGTCTACTTTATCAATAGTCTCAGAAGGTTTTCCAGTGCTTTTTCGGCAATTTTTATTGCATGTTCCAATAATATACAAAAATTTTCAATGCAAGTTCTAAAAAAAATAATAACTCTGGGATAGTGAATTCCACCTGTACTAGCCACGAGAGATAACATCTTGGGGTTTCTTCGGATTTAAATTATTTAAAAGAATTGAGAAACAACTTTGCCAGTGCGAGAGAACATCTTGCACGCAAGCCAGGAGTTTTCTTTCATATTCAATGAATTTTGCTCCAACCACATCCTTTAGGTCATTTTTCATTTGCTTGGCGAGGCGGAACATTTTAAGTCGTGTCTCCGCTTTTGAAAGATCTTGACACCTTTTCTAGCTCGATTCTTTTTTCAGCTTAAGCAACTAGCTGTTTCACGGCGTGTTTTGCCTCCGATATATCCTCGGTTTTCATAATTTTCAGACCTCTGTCACCTTTTTAGCAAAAGTGTTTTCATGTCATCCCTTTTGCATATTTTTCGGTCCACCACGATGTTTTTCTTTTTCTCGATGGTTCTCCTATTGTTTTGCTTCTTCTAGAAATGTTGATTTAAAAATTTTTGAGTTCGCTTGTATTTGATTTTTCTCTTGCTTGTTTCTTATTGTTTCTTTGTAGTTGATTTGGTGTTCTCTTTCATTTAATTTCCACGATTTTATTCTTCTTACTGGCTTTGACATCAAGGCGGTAAATCAAAAATTCAACAGAGAAATCCTGTGTTGCGGACCATATTCTAAGCCATTGATAACCTTCAAATGATTGACACAGCTTCTCCGCGACGATAGTATTAGAATGAAAACTGTTTTGCGGGGATTTCAAAAAACTTAAATCCACTTAGAAAATTTCGAGATACAGTCAACTTTCTTTTTGGACCATTTACATTTTCGTAACTAAATAGCGTAGTTTACCTTCCATTGAGCAAATGATTTTACGAATCCACAAGACCTAAATAAGCGTCTTCACTTTAATCGTTGACACTTCAAATTAGACAACTTAACATGCAAACCCTAAATGGCCAACTCCAAAGTGACTAAGTTAAGATTCATCGCCCAATTAATTTCTCAGCATTTCGTGCAAATTAAACAACTCTGATTGACTGACCAAGTTAACATCCACCCACCTGGGAATTTTTAGCTTAACGGACGTAAATGAGTATGAAAAATCTGAAATTAATGATGATAATTTTTTTCTCTACAATGGCGTGAAATAACACTGGAATTTTTCTCTGCACTGGCGTAAAACTTTATTTAAAATAGCCGATCTTAATCTCATAATCTAATCTATGAAAGGAAATATTCACGTTCCTTTTTCATTTCTGTGAACTTTTTGTTTCGAAATTAAACTTCATTTCAAACTCTGATTGAAGACCTTCGAAGTACTTCAATGAGACCTCTATCTCTTTTCACACATTTTACGAAGTTTCATATCAAAACTCGTTAAAAAAACGCCGCAGTCCAAATTTCCTTCTCAATGCAGAATGAAACAAATAAACAAGATTCTAGAAGTTCTCTTATTCTTGCTATCAAATTTACGGTGAAATTCATTAACAGTTCGAATAAGTGGTTTAGGTAGAAGTTTCGACGTTAACTTACAGCAGCCAGTTCCACTTCAGTGTAAAATTTGGGCAACAACTTCAGTCTGACAGGAACCAACAGAATCAGGAAGAAGGGGAAGAAAATCGAAATCGGCGACTCCTTCACAGCCCACAAAATTGCCACAACTGCAATCTGAATAATCGTGAACAGGTGCACTTTCAATCCACTCACGTTTCGCACGTATGGCACTGAAGGGTAGTTTCTTCGCTGCATAAACATCAGTTTGATTCTGTCGTAGAACTGGAGAGATCCCAGACAGGCAACTCCCATGTAAAAGAACACTCCATAGAGCACTGAGTATGGCACGTGACTGAGCACTGACTTCAAAAGTATCGACAGACCTACAAAAAGGAAAAAACGTTGACAAAAACCAAGCGATTTTGAAAACTGAGGCATTTCAAAAACCGAGATATTTAATTTTCTGGAGCATGTACGCAAGAATCTTCCAGCTTTTAGGCTTTTATACAAATAAAATGATTTTTTGGTTTGTCTACAATATTTTCAGCCAAACCAAAGTGGGAAGTGGTTCGTTTCTATTCTGATTGCACCCGAAAATCCATTTTTTGTTAAATCTGTGATGCTACGTGGTTGCAAAAAAAGACAAACATTTCACAAGAAAAACGCACTTTCAGTCTTCCCGTTAATTTCAATTGGATCACGGAAAAAACTATTGGCGGAGAAGCTATGATTCTGTTCTGAGGCTTGTATCAGGTTCTCCGATTGCTGTTTGTTATTTCAGCTACCATTTAAGGCATAGGAATCATTTAGCGCGTGAAATGATTGAAGTTATTGTTCGTACCACACAACTATGGCCTAGGGCGCTCATTGTCTGTACCACACAACGAGGGGGCAAGCAGGAGCTAGCGCACTAAAAAAAACAGCCCGTACCGGTCAAAACGTGTCCTTATACCTTACTCGTGGCACGGTTTTTAACTCATGGGTCTACGAAAACACAAAATCCCAAATACGCTTTGCTTGATGTAAAAAATAGAACTAGTGAAAGTTTGTATCCCAGATAATGAGGACCTTACTTCAAGATATCGGGGCAATATATCGACATGTAATTGACAAGTTGTTCCGAATGTAATTGACAAGTTGTTCCGAATTGATAACGCTTGCTAATCACGAGCAGAACAGCCGCATGCGCGAAAGTTCTTGGACATTAATCCAGGGAGATAAAAGTTTTGCCACAAAAATCAGTAAAATATACATAATAAAAACAAAACAAAACTTCTCAAAAAGTTTTATAAGGGGAACTCAATTTATGAAGGGGCTTTATCTGGACGGAGATAAAGATGTTACCACAAAAATTAGTAAAACATAAAGTCAAAAAACAAAATAAAACTCCTCAAAAAGTTTTGGAACTCAGTTTATAAATGGGCTTTAGCAAGGGCATTCAAAAAAATACAAGTAGGCTAAGCCTTTACACGGATAAAAAAAACAAGAAAGCCGCTAAGTCGAAAAAAACTTGAAAATTTTGAAAAAAAAAATAGATCTATAGACAATGCTACATTTGAAAAAAAAAACGAGCCAAGACAAAAGAATGTGAAACTAGCATCGAAAAAAACGTTATCACGCGGTAACAAAGCCGAAAATACCTTAGCAGAAACCCTTTAGACCAAAAACATTTCTAAAAAATTATCAAGTCCCTCAAACAAACAAACCAACAAACAAACAAACAAACACACACACACACACACACACACAAACTTAATTCTTCAGTAAAATGAAACAATATGCGGCCACTATGCCGATATAATATTAGCTGAAACCTACAAAGACGAAAAAAGGGGGAAAACAAGCCGGAAAAATTAAGACTAATAAGAAGTCATTAAGTCCCCTTAAACTCAAACCACAGACACGCGTATACAAACTGTTTTCGCCCATGGAAACGCGCAATATTTGGCTATTTTAAAGATAAAGTATAGCATAAAATTATGTTTCCCTAGAAATTACTCGAAATTAGGCCACTAAGCCGATCTAAAATAGGCCGAAGCCTATTAAGCCGAAAAAAGGACAAAAAAATAAAATTTTAACAAATGGAGTTGGAAAAATCAAAACCAACACAAAAAGAAAATTCCTTGGACATTAATCCAGGGAGATCAAATTTTTGCCACAAAAATCAGTAAAATTTACATAATAAAAACTAGCTTAAAAACTAGCTTTACATAATAAAAACTAGCTGAGTTCATAACTTTTTGAGGAGTTTTTTTTTTGTTTTTTGACTGTATGTTTTACTAACTTTTGTGGTAACATTTTTATCTCCGTCCAGATAAAGCCACTTCATAAATTGAGTTCCCCTTATAAAACTTTTTGAGAAGTTTTATAAGGGGAACTCAATTTATGAAGGGGCTTTATCTGGACGGAGATAAAAATGTTACCACAAAAATTAGTAAAACATACAGTCAAAAAACAAAATAAAACTCCTCAAAAAGTTATGAACTCAGTTTATAAATGGGGTTTAGCAAGGGCATTCAAAAAAATAAAAGTGGGCTAAGCCTTTACACAGATACAAAACAAGAAAGCCGCTAGGTTGAACAAAATTTGAAAATTTCGAAAAAAAAAATAGATCTATAGACAATGCTAGATTTGAAAAAAAAACGAGCCAAGATAAAAGAATGTGAAACTAGCTTAAAAAAACGTTATCACGCGGGAACAAAGCCGAAAATACAAACTGTTTTTCGCCCACGCACACACAAACTGTTTTCCCGCATGGAAACGCGCAATATTTGGCTATTTAAAAGATTAAGTATAGCATAAAATTATGTTTCCCTAGAAATTACTCGAAATTAGGCCACTAAGCCGATCTAAAATAGGCCGAAGCCTATTAAGCCGAAAAAAGAACAAAAAAAAATAAAATTTTAACAAATCGAGTTGGAAAAATCAGAACCAACACAAAAAGAAAATTTTGAAAATACCGGGATATTTGAAAACATAGCCATCGAAGATTGGAAAAGAGTAATGACCGCAAGGCAACAAAAAACACTGACTTTCTTGAAAAAATCTCAACTTTCGAATTTCAAAGTATTAGATGCCCTTTAAACTCTTTGAAATTCTAGAACAGTTTTTGATGGCGCTTTTTTGATAACATTAACCCATTTTGAGACAACTGATCAATAGGTAAAACTGTTATTCCGCTGGGAAATCTTAAGAATAAATTCCACTTTCGAAACTAAAAATCGTTCACGTTTTTTCGCGCCATTTCCACGTTCACATTTGAAGTGCTATTTACGTCACTTTCAGCAGATGAATTTCAATTGAACTCAAAAGGTGCATTACACCTATGAGCATCAGTAGTTTAAGACTTTTTCATGAAAAAAAATCGGCAAGACCTATATAAGAGTCTTCACTACATTTATTACTCTTAATAACAAACTCAACTATGCTTAATATTGGAAACCGAGAGGATTAGGGGCGTAAAGGTAAAGGAGTCCAGAAACGATTCCTGTGGACAAAGTTGTTTACGGGAAAAAAAAGTGGACGAAAAGGTGAAGGAGTCCAGAAGTGACTCCTGTGGACAAAGTTGTTTACGGGAAAAAAATGTCTGGTACCCAATTGCAATACCCTTGCTATCGCAAGGGTAAACAAAAATCAGGCTACGGGAACTAGGCCGACAAAAATAAACAAACAGACGATAAGCCGAAAAAACTTCTGGTTTGCAAAAAAAACACATCCATGCCGGATTCCAACTACAAGCCTTTGTATTCTAAAGCAGGTGCGTTACCTCTACTCCAGGTTGGGCTGGATAATTGACTGATTTTGAATTTATTATGAAGCCAGATGAAACGTGCGTGATTATTACGTTTCATCACGAAGTACCCTGTTACAACACCCTTTCTACCGCAAGGGTAAAAAACACGGTCGGTAAATACTGCCAAAGCAGAGCAACCGGTCAACTTGTATCAACTTGAATAACTTATTTGTTTTCTTTTTCGATTGAACTTACCGAGGAGGACATTGACGAGGAAACTGGTGACTCTCTGTTCAATCACAGACATCTTCGGCTTCTCACCAGGTGCATGATGGGGATCAGACACAATCAGAGCACTGGTATGGCTCACACTTCTAATTGTGGCACCTGTCACAAACGGACAGCCAAGCACGCCACAGATGATGCCAGACAAGCCGATGACCAAAATGTTCAGATGGTAGCCAGTTCCTTTCTGCAAATTGTGTTCCTTCTTGTTCAAGATTCTCCTGAAATATTACATTAATTTTAGTTACAAGAAAGAAAAAATTTGGAGTTTTTTGGATAAATTAGGTGAAAAATTAACATCTTGGAAGAACCGCCAGTTATCTATCACAAAAAAAACACGTAGAGATCTTGTGAAACCATAAAAAGTAGTTTCTAAAATACGAAATACAAAATTTAATTAAAATAAACCTACGCTGTGATTTGTATCTCGATGAACATGAGAAAGAATACAAGAACAGCGGGCACAAATGCGGCCAAAGCCATCCACCAGTACTCTTTCTCAAGGTCAAAAGGAGAGATGACCCAGTTTCGAGTGAAGTTAGTTTTGTCCTCGTTCTTCGTCGGCTCAAAGGATTCAGGGAAGTTCAGTTTCTGAAATACGAGCAATGACAGTGAATATTCATATTTTCTAGATAGTTCTAGAACAAACGAAAATTTTCTTTGTCAAATCTTCCGCTCGATCAAATGTAACGAAGAAAATTCTCAATAATTATTTTCTTATTCGAAAATCACAAATTTAATTCAGTGCCTATAAAAGACGATAACTGAGACGTACTAAGCATGTAAATCTTATATATAAAGACCAAATATATTAACCAATGAATCATATTTCAAAATGGAATCGAGAAAAATTACAGTCAGTGATGTCCATTTAAATGAAAAGTTTAAATCAATAGACAACCAGCTTAACAAGTTCAAGATACTGAATATTTTAGGCAATTTAATCGTGTCGAAATAATTAATTCAGAGTGAAAAATTTCAATTTATTTTATAGACAACTTTGTGTATTTATTTAACTTTTTTTATAGACAACTTTTTTTTATTTATTTAAGTTTTCTCGCAGCGCCGCTGACCTTGGTGTAAATTTTGTCATTCAAGATCATATCCAGTCCCGTCATCAAAAGAATGGCAATTGGCACTCCGAAATCACCCAGCGCCTTTCGCACGCGTGGACCGAGAAAAGGGGAACTTCTGAACTGTTTGAGAAAGTATGCGATGATGAAGCAGCCACCTGTGAGGATCAAACTCAGCAGAGCTGTGTTGGGCGTCGAAGATGAGCTTCCTGGCTCATTGCAACAATAGTCCTCATCTATAATGAAAAAAAAACCTTGAATGAATTAACTTTCTTAATTTTTAATGGATAAAAACTTCGTTTAAGCAAAACAAACAGATGAGATGCGCAGCGTTGCACCATATGCGATACATTGCACAGATAGCAATAAAAAACGTATAAATCACATTTCGGACCTTTTATCAACTAGCAAGCCCGTCTCCAACAAACAATTGGTTCGCAAAAATTAATAGTTGCTTGTATCAAGCTATGCAAGCTATGAAACTAAAAACAACCTATACATGTCATGACCGAAATATCACGATAGAATATTTTTTATCTAAACAAGCTATTCCAGCTATGAAACTTTGAAATATTTCAAGTTAACTACTGCACCGAATCGCTTAGCGAAAAGCTCAAGACTTTTTAAGCAAACTATTCCAGTAACGAAACTTTGAAATATTTCAAGTCATATCATGGAGCAAACGAATTTCTGTAAATTTTTTATGCAAGCTATTCATTGGATGAAACTTTGAAATATTTATATTTATATTGGGATCGAAATCGTTTGCAAAAAGTGTTTTTAAGCAAGCTATTGCAGCTAAATTTCTTCTAGAAGCGAATCGGATTGCAATGTATAAAACTTGATATTGAAGCCTTTCAATTGATGAAACGTTGCATTATTCCAAACTGTTTCAAAGAGCAAATCAGTTCGGGAAAAGTTCAAGCTTGTCTTAACTCAGCTAATTGAGCTAAATAAAATTCTTCAAGCTGTTTCGTAGATCAAATCCATTCCCAAGCTTTGTTTTTCTTATAGCAATTCGAGCTATGAAATTTTGCAAATTATTTCATAGACCGAGTTGGTTCGCAAAATTTTTTAATTTTTCCTCGCAAGCTACTCCACTTATGAAAACATGATAGATGTCAAGTTAATTATAAGAACGAATCGGTTCACAAAAAGTTAGAGTTTTCCTAAGCAAACTATTCAAACTACATAAACATGAAATATTTGAAGTTGTCTCATCAAGCAAATCAGTTCAAGTAAAGTTGAAATTTTTTCGAACAAGCAATTCAAGCTATGAAATTACTCAAGTTACTTTGTTTACCAAATCAAATCGCAAAAAATTTGTGTTTTTCTAGGCAAGCTATTCCAGCTCTGAAACTCGGAATTCAGACCGAACCGGTTATCGAAAAGCTTAAGTTTTCTAAGCAAGCTAAACACTTTTCGACTTATCACTTTTCGAACTATTCGACTTTTTTTTATAAATTAAATCGGTTCGCCAAGATTCAAGTTTTTCGACGCTGCTCTTCAAGTTACAAAATTTCAAATAAACGAAGTCAATTAAATCGGTTCGCAAAAAGTAAGCAAGCGATTTAAGCTCGCAAACTTTTAATTATTTCAAGTTAACTACTGCACCGAATCGCTTAGCGAAAAGCTCAAGACTTTTTAAGCAAACTATTCCAGTAACGAAACTTATTAAATATTTCAAGTCATATCATACTTAAACTTTTAATTATTTCAAGCTATTTCATAAATCTAATGGTTTTTAAAAAACTTAACTTCAAATATTTCAAGCTACTTCAATGACCGAATTGGTTCGCAAAAAAATGAAATTTTTCTGCGCAAGCTATTCAAGCTATGAAAATTGCAACTATGAAATATTTCTAGTTATTTCAAAAAGCTAATCACTTGCCAAAAGTTTGCTTGGAAGGTTTTGCGAACATTTATGCTTTACTTAAATATTTCAAAGTTTATCTGAGCACAATATTCATGCGATGAAACTTGGAAATATGTCAAGTTGTTTCATAGAGCAAATCGACTGGCGAGATGTTTCAGTCTCTCTAAGCAAGCTATTCAGGCGATGAAACTTTGAAACATTCCACGTTAATTCTTAGCGCAAATTGGTTAGCAAAAAGCTTGTTTTTCTAACAAGGAGGTTGCTGTTCTTAGTTTGTTCGTTTCAGAATGAAATCAACCTGAAAATCAAAATTTCGGAAAAAATGGACAGGTACTGGTTAGCCTTGAAAACGCATCGAGTTCATCTTGTCTAAAGAATTAAATTTAAAAAAAATTTTCTAAAATATTCCAGACCTAAGAACGTTTGAAAGTTCTGGAATATTCTGGGCCTTCTCTGAAACGTTAAGCCTCAAGTTTTTTTAAAACGTTGCATTCGACAAAACTAACACATTGCGTCCAGTTTAATATTGCGTCCATAGCGCAATCCGACTTTCATTTAATATATCAGATTAGATTAGATTAGATAGATTAGACTAAAATTTTGAAACAAAATTGTACCATTTGATAACGCTGGATCAATGAGAAATATTTTCTATCTAATGGGATTTCTTAAATTAAAATCCATATCCGAAAATAGTCATTCAAGATTTCCTGAGACATTTGCACTTTCGTAATTGGAGAGCAAAATTTAGTGACTTGCCGAATGGCACAAATCCCAAATGGCATAGAAAATGACTTAAAATTCAAATTTCAAGGAAAGTCAAAAGCTTTCTATCAACGATTGATTTCATCAGAACGAGCGCATATGAATAAAAATTTGAATTAATTGATTCTAACCAAACTTAAAGTGGCAATTTTTACCGTCAAACTTTGAGCACAAGAAACGATTTAACAATAGGAAGCATAACACAGCCAACAGACGAAAAAGAAACAATGAACGCAATGAAACAGAAACATAACTATCGAATTTCCAAGAAAAACATCTATGACCTTGAAGGTATTTCAATTGCAAGAACAATTGGCGATTGACACTTTTTCGATAAAAATAACCCAAATTGAGAAAACTGGATCAATAGGTTAAAATTTTATTTCTCTGAGAAGTCTGCAAAGTAAATTCCATTTTCGAAGCTAGAAGTCAATCAAGTCACTTTCACTTTTCCATGGTGGAGTTTACCTTCTTTTTAACAAAGGAGATGATCTGAACTTCGAAATTCAAACCGCGAAAAAGTAAGTTGAGCGTGAACAAATTTTAAAACTTTTCCTGAAAAACAAAACTTAAAAAAATCATCGCGATAAGAGTATGAACTACATTCATCGTTTCTCAATAATTCAATGAAAAACCTGAAAACTGTTATCAAAACAATATATCAACCAAAATGCCCCGGATTTTAGTTAAATTAAAAAAATTAGTTGACAAAATAGTTCCTAAAAACCATCAAATTAGTTGAAGAAGAGTTAATTAATACTTTCCATTTATTACAATAATTTGCTGCAGTAACGGCGGAAAAAATCAATTTCAATGAATTTACTGTTAAGAATTGTAGCGAATCTGAGAGAAAACCCGAGTATTTCATTTCAGGCAACATTTAACGGGAGGTTTTCAAAATTTCAATTTTATAATTTACAGCAGCTAATCAACTCCTCGCCATGTGATGTTTCTGAAACACTGTCGGTTTTGTGGAGAATTTCAACAGAAATAGTTTAAATAAAGCGCATCACTGATTAGTACATTTCCTCTATTTTCACAAAAAATAGATGGTTAACTATGAAAAAAAAGTTATTTGCCTTACATCCGGGACCTGTCAATCAACAATTGATTAGGCAATTAATTTACTTTCCACACCGTGTTCACATAAAATTCATTCAAAAATTTCAAACATGAAAATGATTCCATTTGGGAAATGTTCCGCATTTTTGAGGCATTTGACACGTGAGACGTTATCCGTAGTTTGCATTTCGTTTAACAAAAGAATTGAAAATGAAAAAAATAGCCAACTCACAGTTGAAAAAGAAAAATGAACGCAAGGAGAAAAAAAAAGACGGACTTAAGGCTCTTTGAATTTGCAAGACACCTATTTGGTAAAATTAACCAGATTTGAGACAACTGGATCAATAGGTTTATATTTTTATTTTGTTGGGAAATCGGATAATTAATTCGGATAAAGAAGTCGATCGAGTTTTTCGTGACCTTTACACTTTGCTGTTCGATAATGCAGTTTGCATTCCTTTTAAAAATATAAATGCACTGAATTTAAGAAAAAATCACAAGTCAAACCGCGAAAAATCAAAATTGAGCATGAACAAATTTTAAGACTTTTCCTGAAAAAAAAACTACTAAGAACTATATAAGAGTACTCAATACGTTCATTGCGCTGAATAATCAAAAATCACACAACGAAAAAATTCAATTTTGAAAAATCACTTTTACAACATTGTAACAAAAGTTACCGAGCGCTTACAAAATTGGACATTGGGTAAACGCCCGTTGAATCGAAAAAATAATATTTTCATTTAAACTTTCGCGCAATAAAAAAATCGAAACTCGATTATATAAATTTTTATCAATCAAACGACTCAGAAGGAGGAGACTCGGCCGATATAACACCAGCCAAAACCTTAAAACGTTTACATGTTAGTCAATTTGTTTTGGTAAATTTACAGCCAATATAAACATAGTCAACATACAGTGGACAAAAATGGAATGAACGCGAGGAGACAGAAAAAAACTGACTTGTTTTTTTTTTGAAAAACAACATCTCCAAATTTCAAAGAAAAAAGGCTTTAGAGATGTTTGAATTTCGAGAACAATTTATGATTGACATCTTTTTTGATAAAATTAACCTAATTTTAAGAAACTGAATCAATGAGTAAACTTTAACATTATCCGAAAAACAAAAAACCAATTTCGAAATTAGAAGTTGATCAGGTTTGTTATGTCATTTACTCTTTCGCTATTCGATAGTGCCAATGACAATATTTTTTTCGATTCAACGAGCGGTTACCCAAAGTCCAATTTTGTAAACGCTCGGTAAATTTAGTTACAATGTTTTAAGAGTGGCCAAACATTTAACAGTATGAAAATCCATTTAAGCAAAAAATGTATGGTTTATTCATGAATTAAAGATAATGCTTAAGTAATGACAATATACTTTGCTGTCGTCGAATCTTATTGATGTTAATATTCCGGCAAACTACTAATTTTGACGTTGATAACTACTCATTTTTCTGATTTCAGTGCATACAATCCGTGTCAAAAAATTAAATAATCGCAAGTGTAACAGAAAACTGGGCAATTCCTTATTCTTTTGACTGGAAGGTGAATGCCAGTTACGGGGGCAACTCTCATGCGTGAAGGACCGACAGAATGCGCGAAAAATATCATACAATCACTGCCTTTTAAAAAATCCGAAACTGACATTTTTTCGCCGATTTACTTCAAAACTTTGAATAATTGATTTTGATTGGGACGGCATTCGGTCCTTCGTGAATGAGGGATTCCCCGAGATTACCTGGAGTGAAGGGACCGAATATGGAGGACTGATTAGAACAGATTGCAGCACTTGTGGGTTCCACGACTACACATTGGTCCACATAAGACTGGTTCAGCACATACGGCACTTGGCAGTCTTCATTTATTCCTAGAGGGTGGTCTTCGAAGATCTAAACAAGGTATTAAATCAAAAAATAAGCAGAAAAAAACTGAAAATAAGCCAATGCAAAGAAAGTTTGGAAAATAACATCGCAAATTTGTTGAACTATTTTGATCCACACTCTTTGAAAATCAATCAGGATAAAACTGAACTTATTGTTTTAGAGAAATAATTCAAAAATACAAAAACAATTCAAGTTGGAGATCAAATTATAAACAATGTTAATGAAGTTAATTATTTAGGCGTACTTATTGACAACCAAGTCACATACCAAAACCAGGTTAAAAGCATTTTGAAAAAAAAAATGGCGCAGAGTATCAAAACTATCTACACATTCCGGGAATAAAAACTATCTACCCAATTTAAAACCAATGCTCATTAATTGTCCAGTCCTCAGGTATTAACAAAATTCGGCTGTGATTCTAAGTACGATATCAGAAAATCTAAACGTTACTCTAAAAAAAAACTCAGCTGGGCCGTTAACGCCTGCTATGATGTGTCCAAATTTCAACCTTCCGCAAATTTAAAACTCGAACAAAAAACTTTAACTGTTCCTTTTTTCTTTATTACAGATCATCATCATACATTCATCAATTTTCAAAAGGTCAAAAAACTGCTTTTTTGGTTTCTGAAGGTGGGCTCGATTTAACAACAGCAAAAATCTATACGCGTGAGAGAACAAATAAATTTGTTCACACAGTTTTCTGCAATAGCCAATACGCACAAAAAATGTTCTTAGAAAAGGTATTTTATTGCATAATGATCCCCAATAAATTGAGCAACTTTTTGCAAATGTACTTTAATGCACATAAAAAAAAAACATAACCTTTTTTCTGAACCAATTTAAGAAGGACCCAAGCCAAGTGTCGTACGGAAAGCTATTATGGAAAACATTTAAGTTCTCTTAAATCATGTATTTGTTCTATAATGTCATAGCAAAATTTAGGTAAACGTGAATTCAAAACTGTGGCGGCTTCAACAGACGAAGAAAGGACTGATAAACCAAAATGAAATTATTCGAGACAAATATTCTTTAAATGTTTACCGTTCAAAGATGGCCAACAGACATTTGTGAAGTAAATGAACAAAACGAAACCCAAAAAAAAGACTGAATTGTTTGCGAAAAAACTAACTTTCGAAATTCAAAGAAAAAAAATAGATGGCCTCAAACATCTTTTTATTTCAAAACAAAAATTATGATTGGCAATTTTTTTGACACAATTAACTCAAATTGAGAACACTGGGTCAATAGGTGAATTCTACACTTTAGCTGTTTAGTTTGCCTTGCTTCTAACACAGGAAATGAGTTGATTCTAAGAATAACTTGAACCAAACCGCGAAAAATCAAATTCGGGTTCATCTCTCTTTAGCACAAGGTTTATCTCAAACTGTGCTATCATATGAAAATCTTTTTAGTCGTGATTGGTAAATATGAAAAGGCATTTCAAAAAATTCTCAGTGGAAGACAAACAGCAATGAATATCTCTGTCTTTTAGACTGACTTACAAGATTTAGTTTCGAGGATTGATTTAAAAATAAAAAAACTATTTTAAACAGTATTGAGGATACCGTTGCCTTTTCGTTTTACTTAATTTCAATATCTTCTCCTTTTCAAAAATAGCCAATCTTATTTTAAAAATGTGAAAAATACCTTTTAAAAAATGAGGACTTTCCTTAACCTACTATTTTAAGTCAAATTTTGGTTTCATAATCTGATACTAACCTTAATAAGGTTGCGAATGACAGACACACAGAAAATGAGCGACACAAGCATAGCAAATATCTCCTCCGTGAAGCGGGTGAAATACTTGAGCACAAAACTCAGTTCCAGCACAGCAGTCAGAGCACAGATAAGGAAGAGCCACAGTCCAACCCAGCAGCGGAAAGGCATGTAATTCTTCTCACTCACACTTTCCGTCTGAAACAATCTGACAGTCGAAACATGCATACTTTTTTATGAACATAACCAACAGACGGTTGAAAGAGTGAACGAACTCAAGGAAAAAACAAACGCAAAGAAAATCAAAGAAGAAAAAAGCATGGCCTTAAGGCTCTTTCAATTTCAAGAAAAATTACTGAGTGATATTTTTTTGAATAAAATAATTCAAGCTGAGAAAACTGGATCAACGGGTAAATTTTTAAATTTTCCCTGGAAAAACTTAATATTAAAATCCACTTTCGAAATTACAAGTCAATCACGTTTTCGGTAACCTTTACAACTTTGGTCGTCGACAGAGGAGTTTGCCTTCATTTTGACAAAGGAAATGAACTGAACTTGAAAAAAAAATCAAACGCCAAACCGCAAAAAATCTAATTTGAGCGTCGCAAACACAAATAAAACAAAATCATCACGACCTGTGTAAATGTTTTCACTATGTTCATTGACTATAAATCAATTGACTATAAATCAAAGATGCAATTGTTGGTCAAATGCGTTCGCTGAAAGGGTCAATCAGTTTTAAGTGTAAGAGTCCTATAAAAATGAAAAAAGATTTAGGTTGCGAGGAATTAATGAAGAATTACGTTCCGATGACAGCCCGGAAAAAGGTCAAGGAATCCGACGTATAACCAAGGCACCATTGCATCGATGCCAGCAAGTCATGTTAGCAAGTCTTTGGGCTCCCAAAATGGGAAGGAAAACCACAGGGTGATTTTGACAATGTTTATATACAACCACATAAAATTATCCTATATTGAATATAAATTGGATCTTCAATATTGGATCTACTTAACAATCCCCCCATTGTATCTACTAAGGAATTTCCACTCCTCTCATAAAACAGTAAATTAGCACTAGAGTGTTCCATTTATAATTATAATTCTGATTGGTGGATTAATCAGCTAACTTAATCTACTGAAAAATCTCTCTCCTTTTCTCGAAAGGGGGAAAATTGTTAAATAGATCCTCGAAATTTTATATTACAGCAAAAATTACGCTAAATAAATTCAGATTTTTTTAAGTTATATTTATTAGTTTCTGATGAAATACAGAAACCACAAACCACGTCGTAGAGGGATCCCTCGAACACTGCCAATGGACCAGTGCAGCCTATTATTAACAGAGGTTGACCACTCAATAATCCAAACAGAGCTCCAGCGATGGCAGAGCCCAGAATCGTCTCATACACTCCCATCCACGAATTCACTCGGTCCAGTTCTAGACAAAATAAAAAACGAAGAAAATTTAATATTGAACAGAAAAACAAAAATCCAAACAAAGCTCAGTACGAACAGTGAGATGGTTATGGTTATCGCAAAATCAGCACGATATTCTTCCAAATTTAAAAACACTAGGTTCACGGACGAATCATTCTCTAGACAAATTTATCCTCCTTTATTGGACAAACTGTTAGCTTTAGGGCTATCATGGCCCGTGTTAAAATTTAGGAAGGGTATGACAATATTCTACCCTAGGAAAACTACATGTAGCTCTTAATAAACAGACATATTTAAGGTAAGCAGGCAAACAGTAGGCTTTATTATTCTTCACGCAGAGGATTAGAATTATTAAGGGGGCTGTTTTGATGGCCGAAAGACCAAACGCGGAAAATTCTCGGCCAATCAACGTCCTTTAAGCTGGTCACACTTTCACTAATTGATTTTCACACTAACTTCTTTTACATTTTCTGAAAGTGAATTCTGATTGGCTGACATAATTTTCGGGCATCTATATATCTGACTTGAGGATAAACTCATCTTTCAACTGTACTAACCAACATCAGCTCCAAAAGTGATAGATGGGGTGAGAACGGCGAAGAAGATGAAGATGACGACAGAGAAGCACTGGAAATTGAGGGCGTCTGTTATATCCGACAGGTACAGGGGGTACCTTCTTTTCACATCCTGAATGAGACCCCCTAGACAGCGCTTACTTCGACGCAACTCATCGTCATCCCCCTCTTCGCCCTTCTTTAGGGTTCTGCTGTCTCGCCTTTCTCCTGGAAAGAAAATTTAAAATGTTTTCACGCTTTTATGACATTATTTGTTAAAACATAAGTAGCATTTACGACAACTGGAACATTAGCCTTAATCATTATGAGACGTTTTGGTCCCGTTTTCAGACGTCTCTAGTTAATCAACTCCTCAATAACAAATTACAAGCAGTTTATTAACAAAAACTTGGGACACGGCGCGGTATAATAATCACGGAATATTTCAGAGATTAGACACTTAGAAAAACACAGAAGAGGTTGTTTCAAAAAACAATCTGAGAATAATTGATTGTGATTCATCGTTTGGTTTAACCTTCAAATACATATTTCAAACTCTCGTAGATTCAAGCAGCCTTTTGACGGGCATAGAAGAAAACCACACAAATGACCTGAACTATGGTCACAAATCGAATTCAACCAATTAAGAATCATGTTACTAGCTTGTTATAATTTGCCCTATATCAATAATACAGACCTTCTTAACTAAATAACGAAGCCTTGTTCACTGATATTTGCGATAAAAGCCTAAATTAGCACTATAATCTTTGTATCAATGCTCAATGAAATGAATGATCGATTATTACCATCAAATGGATTCTTTCTCAGATGAAATTTATTATTCACCATGAATGATATCAGCTATCAGATTGGATTTGAAAATTATTGATCCAACATAACAGCGGGATCGTTTACTCTTCCGCATTTACAACCTTCAAACGGTTCGTCGGCAGATTTTATGAAGTACAAGGGGCAAAAATTTCCAACGAGCAAATGATACGGTAAGTTTGACCTAATTCAATATCACTTTCAGCAAAAATATACAACACATACTTGATCAGAAATTAGCAAATAAAATAATTTTGACATTGCATGACTAGAACTGGATGAGCCCAAGAAGTAGACCGTATAGTCATGTTTTCGATCTGTTGTCTTTGGAAATAGAAAACATAGCCAACAGACGGTTGGAAAAGAGTCCTGAACGCAAGTAAACAAAAAATATTGAATCCTTTTTTTTAACTTTCGAATTTCATGGTTTTCATGCTCTTGGATTTTCAAGAGCAAACTATTATTGTCTTTTTTTGATAAACTTAACCCAACTTGAGAAAAGTGGATTATTTGGAAAAGTTTTAACTTTCGAACTAGAAGTCGCTAACTTTTTCCTCGCTACTTCAGCTTTAACAATGTAGTGCATACGTTCTATAATATGAAATTGAATTGAACTCAAAAATTGCAAATAAACCTTAGTGCATTCATATGTGCTTTTTTACGTATGAATGCACTTCTTTTGTTAGTATTTTAGGACTTATCTTGAAAGAAAAACAAAAAATGACACGACCTATTTAAGAATCTGAATTACGGTCATCGACTTTAAAACGGTTTGAATACATGTTCCAGAAAAAATGGCCAAATAAAGTTTTGAAATGAAAATAAACTCACGGGAAAAAAACAACTCTTATGTTTGCCTTCAGCTTAAAGTTGTTTTAATTTCAAGAATCCTTTATCCCTGGCAATATTTTAAATTAAATCAAATAATTTTAGAAAAAATGTGGCACTGAGTAATTGGCCTGGCAATATTTTAAATTAAATCAAATAATTTTAGAAAAAATGTGGCACTGAGTAATTTTTTTTTATTCTGCAGGGAAATTTCAAAAATAAATTCCAGTTTTGAAACTAAGCCATTCACATTTTGTTGCGCCATTTCCACATTCTGTATCAGAAAATGTACTTTATCTCCCTTTAAGCGAATGAATTTGTATTGAAGTTGAAAAAATCACTAGTCTAAAAGCGATAAATGAAATTTGAGTTTGATGAACTTTTAAGACTTTTTGTTGAAACAAAACAACCTTAGTGTCTAATATCAACTCAAAAAAGTTATCATCACACATGATCTTTTCAAACACAAGCAACCCAAAAAGCGGTTTAAACAGCTGTTATTAAAATGCTATTTTATTAAGCAAAAATTCTATCTAAATTAAGCACTAAAGCATGCAATTTGAGCCCGGGAAAAAAGATTCATAGAACATCAGAAGCGTTTACTTATGTAAAGAAAGAACTCATTATTTCATGACCAACTCAAACTAAAGCAAAACTATCAAGAAAAGCTGAAGCAAGACAATCCAGGATAACAGTCAAACACACAAAATTTTCAATAATATTCAGGAAAAGCGTTGTTCAAAAAATTATCCCATTTACAAAAAACAGGATCATGGGTACTTTTTTCCGCGGTAACTTTTAAAAAAGGAAGTTCATTTTTGAAACCAAAATTAGTCACAATTTTGATGATTTTTAGATTTTTGCTGTTCGATAGAAGAGTTTGCCTTCTTTTCAACAACGAAAATGAGTTGAAGCTGAAAACAATCAAATGTCAAACCAACAAAAATAAAATCGTTTTTTTTTCACGCTTTAGAATTACTGCAGTAGGATTGAGATTACTGTCTCTGATTTCTTCCTCCATGTAAATTTGTTTGAGAACAGAAAAATTCAAACCTGTTCTTCTCGACACAAAAAAAAAGCTTTTTTTTATGTCTGCTGGAAAGATCTTAAAGGGTTTAGGTCGATCATTGAAAATAGAAATAAGGTGCAAATTAAACCATCCTGCGCGCATTAGACTGGCCGAGACTTGACGGAAAATGAGTTTGCATCAGAAATTTTTGCAGCATCAGAAGGTTATTCATAGCAACAGACAGTTGGAAAAGAGTCATTGAACGCAAAAATAAAACAAAAAACTACTGACTCTTTTTTTTTAAATCTCAAACTTCGAATTTCAAAATAAGCCTTAAATTTCTTTAAACTTCGAGAAAAATTTATGATTGACACTTGCTTGATAAAACTAGCGAGGCCTTTACAATTTCAAACGATGCCTAAAATTTCTTTGAATTTCGAAAACAATTTATGATTGACACTTGCTTGATAAAACTCTCACTTGCACAAAATGTTCGCGGCCTTTACACGTTTGCTTTTCCATATTGGATTGTACCTTCCTTTTAACATACGAAGGAAATGAATTGAACTTAAAAAAACCTAAATTCAATCGCAATAAAGTAGGTTTGAGCCTGAACAAACCTGAAGACTTTTCCTGGAAAATATCATCACGACATATATAAGAGTCTGAACTACGTTCATCGACTCTAAAAATCATCACCGACGGACTGTAGGTTGAACGGTCTTCACCGACGGTCTTCATCTTTAGGTTGAACGGTCGATACTTCGAGGCCGACTTCATCTTAGGTCACAGCTTGCGGGCGAGATGACAATTCTCATCCCAAAAAATAACCAAAATATGCACTTGAGAAGATATTCATCAATATGCACTGGGAGTTCTTAAGAGGGGATTCAACAAGCGGTTCTCAGTTAAGCGCTCGTATATTGTATAATGGTTAATTCTCTTGTCAATAACTTGTATAACAAAAAGACTCTAAGAAACCCAATTATTGAAACCCTTTATCCATTTTGGTTCAACTTAACTGAAATAGTTCCAGATTAAGGCATAGTGCGAAACAGCTGAGCAATTTCGGAATCTCGCAACTATATCATGGATAACCAATAATAGCCTCATGGATAGCCAAATCTGTTTGAGCCACATCATGTATTCGTTTTCAGTGCACGTGCGGACAAAGATTTTCAGTCTGGGCAATTAAAAAAAACTGAAAAATCGGTATGTATTGAAAAACGATCAACCGTAAAGAGCTGCTCTTTTCTAAATGTTCTTTTCTCGCGGATGAAGCGTCTTCCTAGCCAAATATGTTGTTCATTAAATCTGTCTGGTAGGTGCTCAAAGTGCTCAATACTCATATCAGACGAGTTCTTCTTCAAGGACAACCAGCAGCACTGTCTGCGGTGCTACAAGAAGTACTGTGACGTCACCTGTCTCTACTGTGGCCAACTCATCTTAGATGACAACAGCTGCGTATCCCCATCTGAGGGAAATAAGCGATACCACACCCACTGTGCATTTTGTTCAGTATGTGGGGGTCACTTCAAACAAGGCCAGGAGATGATGACCGAAGGTGTTAACATAGTGATTCTTTCTCATAATTGCCCCCTCATAATTCTTGTTTCTATACCCAAGCATGAGGAGAATTAAAATTTTTTCCATCAGCGTTATGATCTCAACATTAAATCATCTACATTAGCTAGCTTGGTGTTTTAGGGGACGAAATTTGGCATCCCAAATGTTCGACGCTTCGCAAATCTATTCGTCAAATGGAAAACTTCATAACTGGAACTTCAGAACCAAGAGCCAGTTCATCGTCGGCTTTATCTCCCAAAGGACCAAGACCAGTTTCTATTCATTTGGGATTCTCACCGTCAGAAAAGAAATCTCCATTAGATCTATTTGACAGTATTAGTTCCAACTCGGATTCCAAACTAAACGACCATTCAGATCTGGCAGAGCTCAAATCGAAACTAAAATTACCACTTTATGAAGGAGAACATCAGAAATCATTACAGAGTGAGAAATATTATACACAAGCTTCTTTCATTCCAAAGGAATCAAACAAGCGTCAAATAACATCACCTATTCACAACTCCCGTTCTTCACTATCACCTCTTGCCGTCTCCAACCAGTACGCATTTCGACAAGATAACAGATCACCATTAAGTTCAGGCACTGCGTGCACGAATGGGGGTTCCACTGACGCTAGCTTCGGAGCTTCCAATGTGTTCTTGAATAGGTTGAACCAAGCCAAATATGATCAAACTTCAGCAGGAGCTACTAGGGGACGCAATTTACGACCGATGTACTCGAACCGACGGAAAATTTCCAGCAGTCGGCATGTAGCACTTGAACCGACAATCGAGGAGTCCGAATTGGAACACGAATTAAATCCGGGCGAGGAGGCAGTGGCTGAAAAAGTCTATCAAAATGGCGACCACGAGGACACCTCGAGTTCTAAGTCATCTCAAGATGACAATCGCAGTAATGAAAGTTCAATGAGCAGCACTGACTTCAATATCCTCGAACACAGACAGAAACGGAGTCCCCTGACTCCCGAAAAACAGCAATCTAATGCATCCTCACCGTACTATCTACCCTATGCTCAGTTGCGCACACGGAATGCAAAATTGCCGCCAGGAGTAGACCGCAAAAACCTGGAGAGACATTTGGCCGACAAAGAATTCCTTTTAGTTTTTAGATGTACAAAATTCGATTTTTATAAGCAGCCCAAATGGAGACGGGATGCTATGAAAAGGCAGTTTGAACTATTTTAATTTGTAGTCACAGTTAAGAATTGAGTAATACAGTATATATTTTTGTTCTTTTCTTCAACGAAACCAGACAAGAAACAAAAGGATAGCCCGTTGCTGTGCTGCAATTAGCACAGAAAGTTCCCACCACATTCATGAGAACATTGCTAACAGAAAGAGTCAATGAGCGCCTTTTTAAACTTTCAAAATTCAAAGAAAAAAAATAGATGATAGACAATGAGACGGAGGCAATTAATTTGGAGAAATTCTTTGTTTCAAAATTTTCAAATTCGAAAAAAAAAAAATTCCATGAAATTACGGAGATTGATTTTCTTTTTGAGGAAATTATGACATTAAACACCATGACCGCAACTAAATACCATTCATGGCCATTTGTCGAGTGGCAATTAAGCCGACAAAACATGGGTAGACACCAGTTGAGCCGAAAGAAAAATGCCATAAAAACATTGAGCTATATTTTAACGACCCATTCTTTTGAAGCATAACAATCTAATTTGTCATTAAGAATGAAAAAAATGAGGCATATAAGTCGATATAACATAAAAAAACCGTTCAATTAAGAAAAAAAAGAATCAAACAAAATTAAAGTTGGTTAATTTAAAAACTACAGACCGACTTTCAATTATAGTTAAAATTGTTCAAATAAAAGTGAAAAAACTGCTTTGAAAAATTCTATGCCATAGAATGTAAGCCGACAAAAAAAAGGAGATAAACGATAGTCTGACAATAAACGCTTTCCAAAAAAAAACAAATACTTCAAGACATAGAAGCAAGGTCCGGCCGGACTCGAGCCCAAGACATTATGCTCCAAAGGCGCGTGCTTCACCTCGCGACCAAATGTGAAGGGACCTGAACAGTGTCGAGGTTCCATTTTAGAGCAAGGTATATACAAGCAACTAGAAATCAGCAAATGTAACTAGAACTGGATAACTGCAACTGAAACACTACTTTATAGTTCTGACCGATTTAAATTGCACTAACTATATACGATATAACATTTTTAGCTGTATACACCATTATTACCTACCAGTAATTCTTTTTAGCTGTAGAATACAATTCAAAATTCCCTCTCTAAGAATCAGTAAGTTTTGAAATATAGCAGGTTAAGAGCGCAAATAGAACCCAAAAAGAAGATAATCCAGAGTTATCATACATACATACATACATACAGGGGCGGATTTAGGGGGGGGGGGCGGACGCCCCCCCTCAGGGATTCGACCCCCTGCCGACCCAAAGGGTCCCCCCTTTGACACTTTTTCAGAAATACATTTTTGGCTGACCGACCCTAAATTTTTTCTAAAGGCGCCTTCGGCGCCAATATATACTAACTTTGAGGGGGAGCGCGCGCCAAAAAAAACGCGATTTTTTGTCAAAATTTTTCAAAAAGTGCCCAAAAACGGCTTTTTTGACTGTTTTTTTTTTCAAAAATTTGCCTGCGGCGCACAAAATTTAGCCGAAATAGGGGCAAAACAGTGCTTTGGAAGAGCTCGGAAAAATCAATTTGGTCGACCTAAAAAAAAAAAAGGGCGTCAAAATTTTCGAATTTTTTTTGAAAATCCGCCCCCTGCTGGGATTCAACTTTAAGAACTCACTAGTCAGTCACTAGTTTCCGCAAGTGAAAACCCCATGACCCAAATTTAAAATCAAGAACCAAGCTTCATGTTCGATTCCGGTTCTGCGAGAGTGCATTAAGCCTTTCATTTAGCAAAACGAATTTGCAGTCACGTTTGACAATTCATGATTTAAACCGCGAAGAATCATGACCGTGAAAAAATTCCGTTTCTGAAAACAGTGAACAAAATAATTGTTCTTGTTTTCTTTCATTGAAACTCTTTTAAGCTCATAATTAGCTTTAGTATAGCAAGTTCTCTACATAACTACGTGAAACTTTGCTTAAGAGCGAAGCTTAACATTGCAACGATAAGAAAGAGCCTGAGAACACTGTCAACATTAGGCCGGAAAAGTGCCAATGAACAGGGAAACAAAAAAAAATTAAAAACACGAAAAAAAACTAAGTATTTTGCTTACTGAAAAGAAGGAAAAAATCCTTGAAGAAAACTACATACAATGAGATTCGAGTCACGCACTACCTGATAAGAGTCGATTGCCTTTACTGCCCCCAGCAGCCTGTTACGTATATACAAGCAGAAACTAATCCGCCTTAATTGAACGAATATATTAGCTCATTTTATTTTAATAGCTAAACAAAAACTAAACGCTACACAGAAACTGACCATAAAAATGCGAATCACACTGAAAAAAAGGACTTGCGTTGCTTGTGTAAATACTCGTAATGCCATGAATTTTGGAGCTCGAGCTCCATTCTTATCGTTTACACATCGCAAAAAAGTAAGCGTTTCCACAGTATAACACAAAGACACACTTTCGCTGAGCCAAATCAAATTATCTTCTTACAGACACTAAATTTACGAAGTTACCTTCTTAACTTTCGAATTTCAAAGAAAAAAAAAGATGCCCTTTAAGCTCTTCGAATTTTTAGAACAATTTATGATTGGCGTTTTTTGATAACATGAACCCAACATGAGAAAACGTTCGTCATTTCCACGTTCGTATTTGGAGAGTGCTATTTACGTAATTTTCAGCAGATGAATTCCAATTGAACTCAAAAAGTGCATTATACTTAAGAGCATCAATATTTTAAGACTTTTTCCTGAAAAAAAAACAAACAGAAAATCAGCAAGACCTATATAAGAGTCTTCACCACGTTCATTACTCTTAACCAGACAGTTCAATCATGCCTCAAATGCTGAACAAAGTAATAGCAACTCACCCATTTTTTTCTTGCGCTTTCTCTGATGGTCCACTTCGATCATCTTGGCTTTGATGTCCTGCAGCATCTTAGTGACATTTCCCTTGTTCCATCCATGTGCAGGCACCACCACACTCCCGTCCAGAAAGGCGTTCATTGGGGTCACCAGATCCTTCGGGTCATTGGCCACGTAACAAGCCTCTCTGAAGTCCTGACAAAAATAAAAAAAAAACTAAACGTATTCAGATGTTCGAGGACCACCATGATCCATGCTCTTCGCTTGAGGGTGAGTTAACATTACCCAGCCCAGAAAAATGGTCTAAGAACTGCATGTAAATCTAAACCAGGGGCACAACAGCCTTCTCTTGTGGTGCTTTCTCTTGTGGATAAATCGTTTAATTCTTCCAACTGAAATCAAAATTAACGAAACATTTCCAGCTGTTGTCCTGATTATTTCCCTTTGATATTGAAGTGTCTGAAAACAATTATTTTTCAAGAATTGAAAAAATATGGCCTGGATTTTTAGCGATTCATTTCCAAATAGCGACGGGCGAAAACCGTTGTTATTGTCCAAACTGCAAGCTTTCTATTTTATGAAACATATTGTTCGTTTTTATGAACCATATTTTTCGTTTTTATGAACCATTTACACAATTTTTTCATCATTTTTAAATTTTTTCATCATTTATTTTTTCATTTTTTCAATTCAAATTTTTTGTGATAATTATATTAGTCGCAATAATCTGCTCAGCTTGCACATTACTGGCTATCCTTGTTGTTATGTGCGACATAGTTTTTTAAACTGGAACAGAATGATATTTGATTTGCTGGTTACCTTGTAGCTCATGAGTGTGGACATGGCCCTGCCTATCTCGTGGTAGTCCTCCATGAACAAATGTTTGGTCACGGGTCCCATCAGGATGAAGATGAAGCGCATCGGCATCCTCACTTCACTCACCTCACTCATGATCACACCCTCTGAACACAAACAGTATTCAAAACTTTAAGACAATGGACATGGGTTCGAATCCCAGTTTGGTCATTGTCGAAGGGTTCCCTTGCTGCAGAATCCAAACGTTTGGATAAGTTTAAATGAGAATGACAAATTATCTTAAGAATCTCTATGTATTGCTCATTATTCACATTTCCATTGTTTTCGAGAAAACCTCTTCTGGATAACCAATCTATTGATAAAAAATTAAGTTGAAAGCTTGCTCGGAAAATTCTTGTTTTTCTGACAGATATACAAGCAAAAACGACCAAAATGTCTCAATAATGCGTTGATTCCCACTTAAAAACGGTTAAAACATCCCGTATTGATGCAAGCAATTTGTAATTTGCTGGTCTGAAAAGGATTGGCAGTTTCTTCTGAATTCACCCACCAGCTAATCTGACAAACAGCATAATGGGCGACTTTAGAAACGAGACACTTCCCACCCACACATTGGCAACTTCTGCGCCCTCTGGAAGTCGCTTTTCAATATCTGTCATTTGCGGGTTCGATCCCCGCTCATTGCCGCCTCCTCCACCCAATGCCATGAGGTTTGAAAACACACTTTGTTTCCTACTGGCTGCGGCTGCCAAAAAACTCATACTCGGTCCCTCTCCTGTCGCACTTTTGTCCGCCTGAAAAAAAAATTTGTACCAGAAGTTGATCACAAAAAAACAACACGCACACACATGAAAGTGAAATGACATGAACAAAAAGATACAATCAATAGCCACGATGCTTTCATAGATTTAAACTCTTTCAAAAAATATTGCTACAAGTTATTAGTTCTACCTTGCAATTAAAAAAAATTTTAAATTAAATTGTGATAATTACCTTTTTTAATAAATTTTCTCTTATAAAATCATACTATCAGTTTCTTTTTAGAAAAGCTGTTTGCATGATTGATAATGATATCGAGAAGCCTTGCTGCTTAAAACATTCGAATGCATCACATCTGGTTTGCTTGATACCTGTTCTGTTCACTAAATTAAAATTTCGAAAAAAGTAGGACAGAAGAAAAACAGTTGGACAAGAGTAAAAAACGCAAGGAAACTGAAAAAAAACTAACTTTTTTTTAAAAAAAACTTCAACTTTCGAAATTTAGAGAAAAAATATATGCCCTCAAAGCTCTTTGAATTTCAAGAACAATTCAACCAATTTGAGAAAACTGGATCAAAAGGTAAAATTTTTATTTCCCTGGAAAATCTGATAATTAAATTCCATTTTCGAAATTAGAAGTCGATCACGTTTATCGTCACTTTTACACTTTTGCTAATCGATAGTAGAGTAAACAAAGGAAAAGAACTGAACGTATATACAAAAAAAATCAAATCGAACCGCGAAAAATCAAAGGTTAGCGTGAAAAAAAATCAAAAAGACCTATATAAGAGTACTCACTACGTTCATTACTCTTAATGAATTTCGGTTATAATTTGTTTTCAAGTTCCAACATTTATGATCAACTAAATAATCATTAAATTTTGGCATCCAATTCTTGCAGTTTTCACATTCCTTTTATGGTTTATTCGTCTTGCTTTCCTTAATTTCATTATGAAAGGAGCAATTTGAGAATCTGAAAACGTCAAATATGAATTTATATTAGTTATGGGCTTCATTATAATTATGTTCAGGTTAGCATGTTTAATTGACAAACTCTATTGGACCAGGCAGGCTATAAAAACTTGAGGGTGCGGTGAATAAGTAAGCTTCATCTAAAATGAAGACATTTGAACGACATTAATGAAACTGTGGGTGACCAGAAGATAGATATTTGGACGATATTAATGACTTTGTGCCGGTGACCAAAAACCTTTTCATCTTCAGTGCAATCTCTCGAAATACCCACGAGAACATCCTTAGAATGCTGTGAATCCTCTTCGTTTCGCAATTCGCCACTGTCAACAACGCTTTCGATGCTAAGCGAAGAGCACGAGCGATTTTCGGTTTCATCGCACAGTGACTCGACGCTCGGGAAGTAAAATTTCTGCAAAACAAAACGAATTATTTACAGAAAGGCGAAGCGAGAAAACGACATAAAGCAGCTCTATAAAGTGAAATAGAAAAAAGTAGAAATAAGCCTCGAATTAGTAAATTTTTGCTGAGCAGATTCGAACCAGCAATCTCGAGATTTGAGTCACACTTTCTCGCATCTGCGCCACGGGTTATTGAAAACTTGCTCACACTAGCCACCAATGATGCAGCTATAAATGCTAATAAAATCGGATTCTATGCAGCAAAAATGCCATCAAATATAAATAGCTTTAGTGAAAAGCGCGGCACTGAACCTCCGACAAGTAGCTTAGGAATCTCGCGTTCACCCTCGGAGCCACGGACACTTGATTAACGGCAAACACTATCCACCAATGAAACAGAGAACATACGAAATTTAAGATGCTACAGATCGTGATTATGGCAAAAAGTGCCACCAAAAGAGGACTTTTATTTGCGAGTTTGGCTGGAAAAAAGGGTCATATTAATACACTATGCGCGTTAGTGACAAAAAAATTATTGATAACTGGAAAAACTATGAATCCTCCTATTATAGCTGATATTACTATATTACAGATCTCAAAAAAAAATCTTTAAAAAATTGTCAATAGACTGTTGGAAAAAATGTTAATGAAATGAAGGAATCTAAAAAAAGACTGTTTTTATTTAAATGATTCATAATTCAACAAGCATTATAAAACTAGCTACCAAAAATGAGAGAGACGCAAATAACGAGTGAAAAAAAAATAATTCAAATTGAGTAGAAAGCACTCGAGAAACACAATCACCAGCATTGACTAAGCTTTTAAACCTTACCGACCGGCCGACTATACGTGTGTAAACACCAATTCAGCCGAAAACAAAAAAATAAATATTGTCATAACAATTGTCGAGCGCTTTAGTTTCAAATTCAAAACTTCACAACACTAATGACTCCATTCATATAAAAAAACCGGAGAAAATCAACAACACTTGCAACAACTATGAAATTTTTTTACAGAACTGAAAAAAGGAAATCCTTCATAAGATAAATCAGCTGACAAAACATAAGAAAACAAACAAAAATTCAAATTTTCCTCGAAACAATTCGATTTAACCTATTCAAAAACATAGCCAACAGACAGTAGGAAAAAAGTCAATGAACTTAAGGAAACAAACTTCAACTTTCGAATTTCAAAGAAAAAATTGAATGCATTTGAAGCTCTGAATTACACGAGCAATTTCTCATTGATAGTTTTTGAAAAAACGCCAGGTTTCGAATGCCAAAGAAATAAATAAATGCCCTTAAAGCTCTGAATTTCAATATCAATTTTCTGATTGATTTTTTTGAGATAAAATTAACTCAATTTGAGACAACTGGATCAATAGGCGGGTGTTTTGAATCCGCTGGAAGACCTGAAAAAAATAAACTCCACTTCAAAAATTGAAGCCACTCACATTTTTCGCGGAGAGCACACTTTGACAAAATTTAGCAAATGAACTAGAAAAGAACTCAAAAATGCATATATACCGAACTTCTTTGGTAAATGCAATAATATGTATGAATGAGCTTAATAGGAGAAATTTAAGGCTTCTGAAAAAATCATAGCGACCAATATAGGAGTCCTCACTACGTTTGCTGGCACTTGAAACATAAAGTCCGACAGTGACCTGAATTCCAGATCTAAGGGTGCTAAGGTATTCGCGCTACCTCTAGACCAGGTGGGAAAGATCCTGGAAATTGAAAAATTTTAGTAAAAAAGCAAATTTATATTCGTAGACAGTCGTATAAAAAAATCTTTAAGGAAAAAAAGTGAGGTTTCCAATTGCAAGACACTAGCTTTCTAGAGTGTAACAATCACATTACATCGAAGGCTCTTTGAAAATCAACTAGTTTTTTGTGAATGTGGATATAAATAACCCAACTTGAACGAAACTAGACAATAAAATAACCAACTAGCTAATTTGGAAAAAACTTGAAGTCATTCTATAGAAGGCCCGAAAAATCTTAGCCTGAAGTAAGCTTTTCCTTGCCAATTGCAAAAAAAACAAGAGTAGCGATTAAAAACAAAAATAAAACTGAAACATCCAAGCCTCAAAAAAATTTGAGCGATCGAGAAAAGTAGCTCGTTTCTTTCCGCGAACTATAATAAATACTATATTAAAAATCTTAAGTGCAATTAAATATGTCAGATTTTTTTTCAAGTTCTTATCGCACAAAAACTGATCCAAATCTCAGTTTAGGTCATTACAGAAACTGATTGAAAAATGCAAGTTGAAATGCAAAAAAGAAAGTCACAAGCTCGACAAAAACATCAAAAAGGCACGCTGAGAAAGTAAAAACAGCCAACTGACAAATGGAAAAGAGTAATGAACGCAAGGAAGCAGATAGAAAAGACTGACTTGTTTTTTTTGCAAAACTCTCAACTTTCGAACTTGCAAAAATACAGATGCCCTTAAAGCTCTTTGAATTTCACGAACAATTTATTACACGTACTTTCTTGAGAAAACTCAACCAATTTGATACTCTGATAATTAAATTCCATTTTGGAAACTAGAAATCGATCACACTTTAACATTTTTGCTGTTTGATAGTGGAGTTTGCCTTCCTTCAAACAAAAGAAATGAAGTAAAAAGAACCTAAATCAAAAGTCAAACCAGGAAATATCAAAACATAAGAGTACTCTCTACCTACAAAAGAGTACTCACTTCATTCATTACTCTCAAAAACAAGCGTAAAAATATCATGACAACTAAGCGCAGAAACCAACGGGCGTAAATGAGCCGACGATATTAGGAGAAACGCTCAATTAGTTGAAAAAATTATATAAAGGTGAGCTACAAAAAAATTAATTGAAAATCTAATTCATAATGAACATTAAGACAGAAACGAGGCAAAATGAGGCAGGTAAAGGAATAAAACACAGTGCTAATCCTATTCAGCCGAATTTAGTAATTATTTGAAATGAACAGAAAAACAGCAAAAATATTGCACATCGAATTGGTAAATCTAGGAACGAAACAAAAAACGAATTTTGAATAAAAAAAGGTATTTGAAATGCAGACATGATCTAATCATACCTGTTAGCGAGCAAGCCTTTTCAGCCTAGAAGATGAATCTTATCACCAAAATTATTTACGCATCTAGTATCCGGTAGCAATGCATTTGTTATCGCAAATGTAATTAAAAACAAAGTGTTACTGCAAACAACACAAATGGAGAACAATCAAGAAACCGTAGTGCATTCCCATAAATCTTTCAGAATCAGACGGCAAATTATTATTATTATTTTTTTGCTCTAAATTCTGATATCTTTCGAACACTCCAAAACCGGAGAGAACTCAGACTTTTGCATCATCATCTCGGAAAAACTGAGAGAAGAACAATCAAGGAAAAATAGGACCAAGCAAGAATGAAAAAATTTATGCATTAAAAAATCTTAAAAGCAAATTCGGAAAAATTATTATTTTTGCGTTTGAATGCTGGCTGACTATCAAATTTGAAAAACGATTTTAAAAAATAAATTTAATTTTCTTCAAATGAGCATGACATATATGACAAATCTTAATTTTTTAAAGAAAAACAGTACGCAAAGCCCATCGTACATTCCCAATAGACAGCTAAAAACTTAACGAAATCAAAGAAGTCCAAATTAAAAATGTTTCTGAAAAACTATCAAAAGTTCTAACAAAAAGTTCAAAAGACTTTCCAAAATTCATAACTTATTCTGCAGAAAGCAGGTCTGGTCTCTTGGGTAGAGAAGATTCCCAAAACCGGGTTTCTCGATTGAACACTTACCCTGAGAATTGGCACTGTCGTTTTCGCGTCAAGCCAAAAAGTTTCCAAAAAACGCTTCATGTTTCAAAAGTTGAAGGCCAAAACTTTTTCTTTAAAAAAATGGGCGTAGTCAATTATGAACGTAGGCTTTCAGCAAACTGTTTTTTCGATTGAACCTATGATATCAGATTTGGCACACGATAGTTAGCGAGAAAAGTCCTAAGAACGGTCAACGATTTCGGAGGATCATAGCTTGTGTGAAAAATAAGGGTGTAACACCTTGAGCGGAAATACTTCACGCAACCTGCAACTTCGATTTAAACCAAAATCTCAGATTTGGGAACGTAGTTCTCGAGAAAAGTCAATAACTTTCAAAACAAACGATCAAAAAAGCCAAAAACATGATTTTCCGAGGGCCATCACTTTAAATGTCAAAACAATTGGGCATAGTCGCGTAAGCAAATGAGCTTCCCACAACCCGTTCTTTGAATTGAACCCAAAACCTCAGATATGGCACAGTAGTTTTCGAGAACATTCAAAATTTAAAAAGTTCAAAAATCAACAATTTGACTTTTCCTAGGGCAATCACTTTTTGGCGTATAAAACTTTGTTAGTGGCCACTAATGCAGGGAAGCTTTCCACCAACCTGTATCTCAACTGAATCCACAATATTACATTTGAGAAGTTGGTTTTCGAGAAAAGTCAATAAAAAATCACAAAACGGTCAAAAATCAAAATTTTGACTATTCCGACGGCCATAACAAAAAACATTGGCGTAGCCGCTTATGCAAGGGAATTATTCAAAACCGTTCTATTTATTGAAATCAAAAACTCAGATTAGAGGGGATTAGTTTTCGAGAAAACTTAAAAAATCAACATATGGGTCAAATATTCCTCAAGACATTTTCGAAGGCAGTAGACAGTAAAAGGAGACTAGCGGAGTATGCAGGCACACAGATAAGTGGGCGGTCTTTCCGTTGATATCCCTTTTTTGAAAATCAATAGAAATTTCTTCGAAAAACTAAAAACTTTGCGAAATGTTTATGAAATTCTCCAAAATGAAAAAAATGAAATTTCAACAAACCGAGTGGTAAACATACAGCCAAGCTGAAAAGTGCTGAATGGAAGGTTAAAATTATATTTACCTTGAAAAAATCCAACATTAGGCCATTAAACCAATAAAATTGAGGACAAATTAATGTGGGCCGAAGAAAGTTATCAAGCGAAACAAAAAAAATAAAGAGGAAAATCAAGGTGTCAAAAGATACGAATTGAAGGAGTAAAGCAAACCTTAAAAGCAACAAGAAAAAAGCTATTCCAAGATCTGACAACTAAGCCGACAGATTCGAACCCTGTATTCATGGTCAGATTCAAACCCAGAACCTTTGCCGCCACAGTCGTACTCGTGACCTCCGCGCTAGAATTGACCGGGAACGCTGAGAAATTTGAATACATTATGAAACAAAGCACCACTAGAGATAAGTCCAGAAGAATCCTGTGCACAAAGTTATTTACGGGAAAAAAGTATAGTACCCGATTGAAATACCCTTGCTTATTGCAGGGGTAAATAATAATTAACACTGCTAAGAACGGTAATAAACAATAAAAAAAAAACGTTGTTTTCAATTTAAATGAAAAATCGTAGCATTGTTTTTAACAGGCAGCTGAAACAGTTTTGCGAAAAATCAAGCACAGGATTTTAAAACAATTTAAAATTCGTATTAATTTTAACAACTACAAGCATTTTACAGTACTTTTAATACAACAATTAAGCCAACAATATTTATACGGTGGCCCTTTATCTGAAAATCTAAAACGGAACCAACAAAAACCATGGAAAATTATTATTCAGCGGGGGAAATCTACAAAAATAAGATCCATTTTCGAGACTAGAACCATTTTCGTTAAACATAAGAAATAACTCGCAGATAGAAGGAAAATGTCAAGGCACTTCCTTTAGGAGACCTGAAAAAATTGCCTCTGTAAAACACAATTCGAGCTTCAGAGAAAAAAAATCCTAGAAAGCTCTTTGAATTTCAAGATGGGCGCTTTTCATACAACCAAACCAATCGATAAAACTGGATCAAAGGATTTTTCTTTATTTCACTGGGATTTGAAATTGGAATCTATTTTTGAAAATGGAAGTCAGTTAAGTTTTCTCTCGCCGTTTGCATTTAAATTATCGGAGAGCTTAATTTGCCTTCCTTAGCAAATGAATTTGAATTGAACCTAGAGAAAGCAAACAACAAAAAATTAAATTTAAGAGTCATTTTTTAAGGAATTTTCCAAAAAACCAAAAAATCATCAAATAAAATATATTTTATAAGCATATCAAGTCTTAGAATATGCGCTAGGCTAGCTTGGAATTAGACTTATACTATCCACCAATAAAGCAGCGACAGATGCTATTAAATTGCCAATGCTTGGACATATACCAAAAGTTCTACCAAATGAGCACTTGTATTTCCAACTTGGGTTTAAAAAAAATGAGTAGCCATATGAATCTACCCTCGCATAAATCAAAGAGGCGAAAGCTACACTAAAAAATGAAATGTTAATAAGTTTTGAACATAAATGAAATATACAGGAAATAAACGTCAGTCCTGTGAGTTAGGCTGAAAAAAAACGAATGCGTCATATAACTCTACGCTCGCTAGCACTCTTTTATAAATCAAAGGCTCGAAGCTGCACTAAATAATATGAAAATGGTCAAAAGTTTTGAAGATAACTGAAATGAAATCTACAGGAATTGAACGTCAGTCCTCGGAAACCCAAGTTTTTCAGTTGATGAGCCTACACGATTGTGGCAGTGATGCTTAGAGAAACCTAGGACTAGCAAGAACACGGAAAAAAGGAGCTTCAAAATGCACAGAACATAATTTTTGCATGTAATAAAATGGAGTAAAACATAGCCAACAGACGGTTGGAAAAGAGTCAATGAACGCAATTAAACAGAAAAAAAAACTTACTTGAATTTCAAAAGAACAAAAAATAGATGCCCTTAAAGCTCTTTGAAATTCTACAATAAAATACGATTGGCATTTTTTTTTCGAAAATTGCAAATCGAAGATTGGAAAAAAGTAATGAACGCAAGGAAACTGAAAAAAAAACTGACTTGTTTTTTTTCAAAACCTTCAACTTTTAAATTTCGAAGAAAAAAATAGTTGGCCGTAAATTTCTATGAATTTGTAGAGCAATTTATGATGGACAATTTTTTGGTAAAACTAACCCAATTTGAGAAAACTGGATCAATAGGCAAAACTTTTACTTCGCAGGGAAAACTGATAAATAATTTCCATTTTCGAAATTAGAAGTCGATCACGTTTTTCGTGCCCTTTATACTTTTGCTGTTCAATAGTGGAGTTTGCATTCCTTTTAACAGTAGAAATGCACTGAACTTGAAAGGAAATCACAAGTCAAACCGCGAAAAATCAAAACTGAGCGTGGAAAAATTTAAAGACTTTGTCCTGAAAAGCAAAAAAAAATCAGCAAGACCTATATAAGAGTACTAACTACGTTCATTACTCTTAATAAAATTAACCCATTTTAAGAAAATTGGATCAACAGGTAAACTTTTTATTTCGCTGGGAAATCTGAAAAATAAATTCCTTTTTCGAAAATAGAAATCGATCGCTTCTGTCGTGACCTTTTTAACTCTCGCTGTTCGATAGTGGAGTTTGCCTTCCTTTTATACAGAGACGGGGCTGCGCTTCGCAAACACTAGAGAACACGATAAAAAAGCAACTTTATGAAGCGAAATAAGAAAAGATAGAAATAAGCCTCGAATAAGTAAAACTTTGCTACGCATAGTCTTTGAAACAGCGAACTCGAGAATTGGAGTCTCACAAAAGGCAAGCCGAAATTGTTTAGGCCAAAAAATCTTTTCAGCAAAAAAAAAGAAGGAAAATATACAAAGTCAGAGTTAGAAATTTTACAGATTACAGGACAGTACCAACAACACTTGCAAATACAAGGAAAACTGTTTACAGTACAGAATCAAAATCCGTGATCAAATCATATTGAATATCATTTAAGCCCACCAAACTTAGGATAAAAATGGTCCGACCATTCAAATTTTCCCGGAGTGATTTTCGATTTTACACATACTGAAAGAGGTCCGACGGAGACTCGAACCCCAGACTTTGGGCAGCCGCGTCACCTTTGTACTAAAAGGGAAGAGGCTGAGAGTTATTAAAGTTCAACACAGAGGCGAAGTTGCACTTCGCATCACAAGCAAAAATACGACCGATAACGCTACTGGGAAAAACTGAATGGGTAAAACTTTGAGTATACATAAAAGACGCAAGCCAAATATGAGTACATAATTGCTAAGTGACGCAAGCCAATTATGACGCATTAACAGTACCAGTCAATTTGAAATAATAAAAAAGAAACTTACCAACTAATATGCCTCAATTTATAGAGCGGACGCATTTAAACTAGTATAGGAAAAAGTTCATTAAAAACATCCGACCTTGCCCATGTTCGAACCCTCATATTTTGCTGCTGGTCTCCTTCCCTACCTTTACGCTACAGATCCATGATGCCTTGAAGCTAAAGTGCTACTTGTAAGATAATAGTCTTTGTTAATATCCTTAGCATTGGCTGTACTTAATAGCTGGATCAAAATGAACACTTTCAAAATGAACACAGTTTGTCGCAACAATTGCATCGCAACAACATTTTGCACTTAGATTGGAAAAGAAGAAAATTCATTCTATAACACAAGCTATGCTTGTGTAAAAATGTATGAAATGTGTCAACTTATTACTGTTAGAATGTCAAAACACATACTATCAAAAAGCCGTAAAGGTGCCCCAAAAGTGGCACCAACCTTTGCGACACGGAAAAGAAAAAAAGATACGTCTAGTATAACACTAATGCTCACTAAAGTTTGATAGTGTATACAAAGGAAATTAACTGTACATTAAAATAAATCAAAAATCAAATCGCGAAAAAAATTAAATTTGAGCCTGAAATTTTAAGTGTCCTGAAAAAAAAAACGAAAAAAATCATCGCAAAACACACCCTATTAACTGTCATTGTAGCCGGCTGCAACAGTGCCATCAAACGAAAGAAGCACCAATATTTGGGACTAAAATTAAGAAACATATGTCGTCTCCTTGTAGTTTAACACTACGCTTCGCTTTTCTAGTTGACTGAAACATCATTCATGCTATTTTTCAAGAACCACAAAATTAACTATCACACTTTCCCCAATATACAATGCTGAGTCATTGGTCAACTATTCTAACAAAAATCCTACATATATATTAAAAACATGAAAAAGGGGACACATCTATAATTATCTACCCTGAACATCAAATCTTGCCGTTTCACTCCTCACATTTTTTCGACTCTCTTAATTAGGTGGATCATTTCTCCACGATGTTTTACACAGAACGTGTTGTCAGGAAAATGCAGCGAAAGACGTGAGGGTCGAAACGTACATGAATGAAGATATCCATAGCCATGACAAGTTCTTAATAGACACAGACTATTAACATGCAGAACAAAATCACCAGAAGAAGCAACAAACCTCATCAGGGTTTCGACTACCCTGCGGACCCCCGCCAAGGTCTGAGGAGGCGAAGTGTAAGAAGGGCTCCATTTCGGAACCCCTCGCCCTCTCGTTCTCTTCGAAGTCGAGCGAGCTCAGTGCTGCTGCGTCACTATCGCTTTTGTGACGCAATTTGATCATATCGACCGAAGGTGAAAATTCCACTTTCGAATCTTTGTGGTCTTTAAGCTGCATTAAAAGTTATTTATTTACTTGTTTATATATTGAACGCTGCATATTTTACTTCGATACATGAAAAATTGCGTAAAGCAACGTTTAGAGAATGAATTGATTGGTTCTGTTACTCTATAACTCGATTGAAGAGATCCATTAAAACTTTAATTGATGTAAGTATGTCTTTAATGTGAAATCCTTGCCCCTATTTAGAAAGCTAATCAAATCCAGAAAAATTCTATTTTCGGCTTCAGATTCCATCCTCCGCCCCCAGCAAAAAGGTAAATAAGTACTCTGATAATTGATTTTGCGGCGATTTGTAGCTTTAAACAACTCCTCTAACGTGTTCACGTGATGCTATCTTACCATTACTGTTTTTCTTGAATAAAACGGAGTTCAAATGCAAAAAAGCAGATAAATGTTGAAAGCGGACTGTATAAGAGACCGATGACGTTCGAAATATGAAACTAAAAGAGGTTTCCACAGAACAAAAAACTTTGTGGAACCAAAAAGGTTTAAAGGAACTCGGTCCTAACGGAATACCTTGCCATTATCCACCTCAACTGATTGTAGCGTTTCGTTAGCAGCGTGCACCGGTGTGGACTGGGTCCTTCTGTAGTCAGAGGATCCATTGTTCACACCGTTAGTCTTGTCCCCTTGATCAATCTGGATAAATGAGGAGTGTTTCTTACTCGTCGTCGGCGTGTTGAAGCCTGCGTGCGAAAAGGTCCGTTTCACACCCCCTCCTTGATGTCTGAAATACACATATATACCTATACTCCTATCTGGACGTTTGTGTCCCATCTGGACATTTATATCAGAAACAAAATTGTCAAAACTGCAAAAATTGTCCAACATAATTGTTTCTCAGACAGCTTTTAGTTGTCAAACATCAGCTATTTTTCTATAAGTAGTACATTAGAGACAAAATCCAAGACGATTCATAAACAAATACCAGCACAAAAATTGCATGCTTTTGCCAATTGTAGGAAAGAATAATCCAAGTGTCATTCTTATTGCCCTCGGCCTCACTTTTTTTGATATTTGTAAGGTAACTATTATACAGTCATAGGACACAAAAACTGCAACTTTGATTTCAACGATCAAATGATCGGATTTTTTCTTCATGTTTTTGTCGTTTTCTCTGCAATTTTTATTGAATAAAGTTTTTATTGTATAAAAAAATATATGGGGTCAACTGATAGGTATAAGGTTCAAATCAAACTACTTGAAGGACTTATAGGGCTAAAAACTGAGAAATCTTGTCCTGAAGGCATAAAATAGCCAGTAGATCAAAACAAGTTTTAGAGGTGCTCTTGCTATGGAAACAACCTTGCATACAATATAAGGAATATGAAACTATGGGCTAAAATTAGTCACTACGACGTGTGTCTAAAGCTTGAGTTTTTTTGCAAAAAAAGCTTGAGGATCCGGCGCGATTCAGGGTCGGGGCAGTACAACAAGGGCCGAAGTGAAAACAGTGCCGAAAATTAAAATGCTGTTCAACAGTGCCGAAATTTTTTTTGAACTGTTTTTACCGATCCAAATCACTGACAAATAAAATCAATTTTAACAGACAGAAGTTGAAAAATTAAAATGGCCATTTTAATTGATGCTACTTGTTAAAGAAATAAAAGTTCCCCAATAGCGGCGTCCTAAATTTTTCTGAAGAAACAATTGCCTCAACAAATTGTCAAATTTTCTTCTCAGTTTCGCTCCAAAACAAAACAGTTCAACAGTGCCGAAACTGCCGAAGTACAACAGTGCCGAAACTGAAAGTGTGTTCAACAGTGCCGAAAAGTGATAATATTTGAAATTATTGAGTTCTGTTTGTAAATTTTTGACATTTTTGACTAACAACTGTTTTTGTTTTCCAGCAAAACCGAGAGCAAAACTTTACTGAGTCAAATGTTTATTCAGAAAAACTGAGTCAAATGTTTATTCAGAAAAACTTATGACGCTATGCTTGAGGAGCTTTTGAATGTTTAGCAAATGGCTTCAATAAAACGGCCATTTTTGTCTTTTTAACTTCCGTCCATTTGAGTATAATTATTTGTCAGTGATTTGGGATGTGTAAAAACAGTATTTGAAATAATTTTAGGCAATATTGAACAAGATTTGGTTTTCGGCACTGTTGTACTGACCCAAGAACAGTATTCAAACAAACTGCCAACAATTCGCAAACAGAAATCAAACTGTTCAAATATCTTTAATTTTCGGCACTGTTGAACAAAATTTTAGTTCACAAATTTTCAGCGCATAAATAGTAATCCAAGCTAATCAGAGTCCCAAAGAATTCATTTGAGGCTTGCTTCAATTCAACATCAGAACACTCATCCATGAGCCAAAATCAAGCAAAACGAATGCCTTTTTGCATTGCTAAAACAAAACAGACCGACATAAAAGTCTTCCCGTCTTGACCAATACAAAACTTTGGCTAGAGTTTTGAAGAAAAAAAAACGGACTTTTTTTCACGAGAAAGTTGACAGGACAAAAAATTTTCGAATAAATAAAGTTTTTCTTGATTTCTGAGCAACAAAAACTGTCCCGGACTACAGTAACGGGACATAGAAGTTTAAATTTTTTGATTGCAACGAGCAGATGAACGAATTTGTTCACGTTTTTTTACTCTTTCACTATTTAAGATAAATGGATGAAGTTATGACAATTGCTGTACAAATTGTTTTGAAAGGACTTAAGCGGGCCCAATTTTGAGAAACTTTGTTTAGAGGGCATAAATGAGCCAGTATATCATGGCTAGTTTTAGATGTGATCTTGCTGGAAACATGGTCGAAACCATTGACATTTTTAAGGAGTTTTTGAGTTAAAATTAGTTCTCTGGGAAGCTAATGAGTTAGACTTATTCTTACTGCCGCCGAAAAACAACAGATAACAGAATTGAAAAAGTTACTAGGTCCGGCGTCGAGAACCGATATCTGTTTTGACGAAACATACATTAAAACGTTTGGGGAGCTTCTACCGGAAATTTGACGAAATTCACACCTAACTTAACTGCTAAAGAAAAACCTGTTTATGGACTGGAGCACTAATTTTTCCGAATCTTTTGCTGAAACAGTTGTATCGTTGACTTACTTCGATCATCAGTGCAACTTAATTCGTGAAAATTTAGCCGTTTTGTTACGGCAGTCCAAGATAGTCATTCATTTGTTACCTGTTATTTTTCAGCCACATAACCAGTAATTCAAGCTAATCAGCGTCTCAAGAAATCATTTGCGGCCATAAATTCATATTCCTTATAGCGTTTGCTACCTTGTTTCTGCAACAAGAACAATTGAAAAACTAGTTATGATCTACGCCTTTAAAACAAGATTTCTTAGATTTTGACCCGGCTAAGTTCTTCCAAAACTTATATTTGAACCCTATACGTATCATCTAAACCTTATACTACTTTTTGTAAAAACTTGAACCGTCTACCTCACATAGTTTCAGATGAAACTACAAAAATTCTTCAAAAAAGTTCATTTGCTGGTTGAAATCAAAAAGTAGCAACTTCTATGTCCGGTGACTGTAAATGATCATAAACATTGAGCCGATACAAACCAAATAAATCTAGAACAAAAATTGAGAACAGCACTTATGTCTACAGCATTTACTGCAGATAAGCGACCACGTCAACCAATGCTTTCCATTCAAAAAAAGATGGAAAAAACTGCAGCAGTAATCACATACTATAAAGTCAGCCAGAGAAAACTCAAATAGCAGCAAATGTTTCCATCATTTTGACTCTGAACCTGATGACACGAAGTAAAGAATGGTTTTCACTGCAGCTCCAGGACAAAATCTTTTAAGTGACGCTGATGATTAGTTCTGCGGTTTTCAACAGCTCCAAAAGTCTTCCACATAAACACTTTTTACGGATCAATCACGAGTTTTCTCATCCAATTTGTGAATTCCTTGTTTCCAGACAAGATAGAAGAAACTTGACTTTTTAACTATTTCTGGATAGAAATTTCAAGACAAGCAACCATTGATTTTGATGAGCAGTCAGAAAACTTTTACTTCGAAAACCGAAAGTGTAGAAATCCAATGCTGCTACTTTCATATGTTGTAAGCCTCTGGCGACTAGCGGACTCACAGAAGTTTAAGCTGTTCCTCAAATGAAAACACAAACCTGAAACAAACTCAGATGCTTGTAACATCAACAAACTTGACGTCGAATGGAAGGCTGTCTGGTTTGATGGATGGCTGGTTGAATGGAGGGATCCATGGATGGAGGACTGAAGGAATAGCTAGATGGATGCCTTGATGAAACGACGGATGGATGTCTAGCTGGATGGTTGAAACGATAGTTGGACGATTGCCTGGATGCATGCATAAAAGACTGCCATACGGATGGATGGCTCGACGAATGGAGGGATGTGTTGATGGATGGATGGACCGGTCGCTAGATGGATGACTGGATAAATGGATGAATCGATGAGTAGGTGGATATGTGGAATGATAGATTGTTGAAAAGACGAATGGTTGGATGAATGGATAGTTGGCTGAAAGAATATTGGATAGACGGATGGTTAGACGAATCGATCGATGGATTGCAGGATGGACGGCTGAATGGCTGATTGGATGGATTGATTCTTTATTAGATTAATGGATGGATGGCTGGCTGAATAGAAAGATGGATGTTTGGTTAGAGGGGCGATGGGTGGGTAGATGGATACATGGCTAGATGCCTTGGTAGTTGCGCCATGGATAGTTTAATATATGGATGGTTGTCTGGAAATATAGATGGTCAAAGAGATGGTATAGTCGGAGAGAAAGTTGTTTGGATGGGTGCACGAATAATGGGAAGCCAGATAGATGGATGGCTAGATTGGAGGATGGACAGATAGATGGCTGCCTGGATGGATGGCTATATGGATCGTTGAAAGATCATCTGCCCGGCCTAGCGATGCCCTGCGCCACCATATCTTGTGCAGCCCTGACTTGCCCTCATTGCCTTGCCCTGCCCCTCTTTGCCCTACATTGCGCTTTTGTGCCTCCCTTGCCTTGCGCAGTCCTTTCATTCAAAAAAAATCTTTCTGAAATATTTGCCCTCATTGCCTTGCCCTGCCCCTCTTTGCCCTACATTGCGCTTTTGTGCCTCCCTTGCCTTGCGCAGTCCTTTCATTCAAAAAAAATCTTTCTGAAATATTTGCGGCCTAAGTCCTAAATAAAAACTTAAGTTTCCTAAAGTGGAGAAGTAGCAATACCAAATTCTGATTAAAACTCAATTTATTCTCCAAAGTTTATCGTGCAGAGCAATCAATTTCAATAACTTCTTTAAACTTTTCCTGGATAATTTCAAATTGAGCGAGACACAGTTCGACTTCGCTCTATTTTACCTAACTATGACCCAAATACCCAATTCTGCAATACCCAATTTCACTTAATAAGACCCAAATAAAAACCTCAGTTTCCTAAAGGAGACAAGTAGCAATATGAAATACTGATTAAAACTACATTTATTCTACAGAGCAGAGCAATCAATTTCAATAACTTTTATTAGGCTTAACTTTTCCTAGACAATTTCAAAATTGAGCTAGACGCATTTCGACTTCGGTCTAATTTACCTAATTTTGGAATTTTCAATTTCAAATATTAACCAAATTACGAAAACGTATGCCCAACCCGAGATATGAGCTTTCAATGTTTTGATTTTGAAATCAAGGTCTACACTGCAAGGCCCAACCGGCTTTAAAGTTCAGTTCCTTTTAGAAATATTCGAAAATTTCGCCTTGCTTTGACTTATCGATGGTTATTAGGTACCAACAAAATATGCAACGATCAAATAAACGTACTAGATCAAATAACAACGTAAGAGATCAAAAGGAACGATCAAACAAACGTATAACATCACAAGGTCTGATCAATGAGAACGATTTCGGACATTTCGGTCTAGGATACTCAAATATAGGATTCGGTTCGTTTGCCTCCATCAACTACCTCACACAAGCACATTTTAATGATGTAACGAGTGGTTTTCCAAGGTTAGATATGAGTACTCAATATTTTTGGAACAGCCTGAAGGCCGTATCCTGATGTAACAGACGCAATGCTAATTTAGTAATAGAGACCGACAAAAAATTTGAATTCGATTAACTATTTTAAAATTCAAACAAGACTGCTCGTATCGGGGCGAAGCGCTGAATGTTCCGACTGCCTTTTAAGGCTTTATGGAGAAGTAATAACATTAAAAAATTAAAAGTAATAAAATAAAATGAAACTTTTTCTTAAATTTGAATATTTTTATGAAAATCATCCCCCCACACGCCATATTAAGTACAAACAAATAGATTTAGCTCCTTGTAACAAATCAAATATGGCAAATAAGCTTCTTTCAAACAATTTGGAACGATTTTAAGACGGATTAACTCTCCGTTTACGCGTTAATAGCGCGAAATATATCGCGCGTTAATTGTCCCAAATTGGTCAAAATGGCAATCTTTAAACCCTCATAACTTTACGAAAAATGATTACAGGTGAAATATCTTTTCAAATTTAAGCTCAGGACAACAATACCTTTTGAATGATATAAAAAAATTCCGTCAAAAATGGCTAGTTAAAAAGTCGAAATTTGTCTGAAGAAAAAAAAAACCCACCCCGAGCACAAATATTCCGTTACTTTCGTATCGAAAGTCGGAGCAATAACACTTGCTTGTCACACGATTAAGCTGCTCAAAATAAGTCCATTGGTTCACAAAAACCAGACTTGATCCGAGATGACGAAATGATTCCAGTTGTTTGTTGTTTACATAAAAAAAATTAAGTCCCGATAAGATAACGCTTGCTTCATTTTCAACCGATATTTTACAGAAAAAATTCGCTATTCGGGGGAAAATGATGAAGAGTAGTCATCTATACTCACGAATGGCGTCCCATCAGCACTTTTTCCATCTTCTTACACTCGCTCTCTCCTAGTAATCCCCTGTCTTTCAGCAACATACAAATACTAGTCACTATTCCATCCATACTATTCTCCTCAAGGTCAAACAAGGCCACTCCATGCTCCAACAGACGTCTCAGTTCCAGCAGAGAGTGAAATGATAAGGTGGACACGTGTGGCTTGCCCCACTCTCCGCCCAGCTCCACGTCCTCCTCGTATTTGATCCATCGGGCCTTTTCTTTCCACTGGAATCCGTCATCGCCCATCATCAGTTCGTCTAACTCCACGAACACCTAGATTAGACCTTCACATTGCATTGAACTCAATTGCATAAAAACCGATAGGTAGATAAATCCTTTTAACTTTTAACATCATCGGACAAAAATAATCTAAAAGTGTTTATGCGCTGAACAGAAAAAACCATCTCACATGAATAGACACGAAATAGATCTGATAAATGATTGACAAGCACGTGAAGCTAATTGGTTTCAAAATTCACGAATACTGCTAAAAACGAAGCATCTTTTTCAATTGTTCAAACAAAAAAATCGCAGACAAAATTCACAAAAAGTCTGTACCAACTTTGCACTCAGCTAACGAGCACTTACATCGTGTGCGGTGTGATCAAACGGCACTCTTTGCACTTGGTCGACCCCCTCTGCAAAAGAAACTCCATGGAAAGAGGGCGAGGAAGACGGACGAGCGAACTTATGCATAGGTCTCTGATAGTCCAATCGATGACCTAATAAAAACATCCTCCATTAAATCACTATGTTCGATAAATATTAACAAGAGAGTTTTAAAAGAAGATTAAATCATGCCCTCTATGAACAATACTGCCTCAGACAATTGATCTAGTCAAATTTTTGGATCGAAAACAAAATAATTTGTATTCACTATCCAACTTCAATACAAGCCAATTTTTCGATTTTCTAAAACCAGAAAGAAGCGAAATCATTTCTTTTCATCACTATGCAAACTGTACACAAGACAGCTGTCTACTTTTTCCTCGATCCAGATCCACTTCAGGCAGTTCGAAGTCATCCTTCATCTGCAGATGAACGTCTGAGGGGACGGAACTGGGCGTATTGGTCTGTTGCAGCACCTTGTCACCCGGAATCTGACGCTTCGAAAGATTGTCGCTCAGAGGCCTATCCGGTAGTCCCAATTGTAACATGGCGGCATGATGGCGACTTCTAGAACAGTTACCCGAAATATATTACATTACCTTTCAAAAGCAGTTTTTTTCGCCCCAGTTGAACCTTCGTTATATGTGTGTTTTTCTTTGAACTAAAAAAAGCCAAACCATTGAAAAACCAATTTTGAGCGTGAACAACAAATCGACACGATCTAAATAAATGCCTTCATTTTGTTATTTGGCAATTAAAAATACGGTAAAATAGGATAACAATCCCGGAATAAAACGGCTTGATAGAATTACTAACTAATTACATGCATTCAAATTTCATGTATTTTTCTTGACGACCATCAAAATTGTTTAATTCAAAACATGACTGAACAGAAATCATTTTGAACTGAATCTACTCTTTGATTTAAAAAAACACAGGTTAAAAATACACTAACGTTTTGCGTGACCTTAAAGGTGTCGCCGCCTGGTCATCATCGCCTGACTCATACACACCAACGTCACTTCCGAGAGAGAACTAAACGAAACATGATTGGATTACAACCATTGTCAAAACAAAAACACACGTATATGCTGTCCAAACATCTTTTCCCATCACATTTAGCGGGAAAAAAATCAATTCCAGTAAACAATTATTCAAATAAGCTTAGGAGCATCATCAAATCATTACTATAAAACAGTGCCATATATAGGATATCTTGTCGAGATACCTGCATATGGAGCTCACCGATTCTGGATTTTTTGAACTTCGAAACATTTACAGCTGATAAAATTGTCCAGCAGTCTATTTGATTACATCGCTTTTCAGAAGTCTCCCCAATCCATTGATATTATGCTTTTACTTTCAGCACTGACTAAAAACCTTTTAGCATAATTCAAACTTCTACAAGCAAATCTATGTACGTCTCAACTTTTGACCAACAAACGTACTTAAAATGTCGTATATAAAGCTGATTTAAATTAACCTGACAAAACTTGAGATTTAAAACGCGTTTTTCTCAAATTGGGTGAGTTTAGGTGAAAACTCATGAAAACAAAACTGCTTAAAATTTTAGCAGAATTAATATGGTGTAATTTGTTTTGCGAAATTCGGGCCCAAAATTTTACCCCAAAAATGGGTCATTTTGGCTTTTCTTAGTTAATCAAAAATTACGCCAAAAATACCCAGTCGATCACAGACATAATTATATCAAAGTGAGCCTCTCACTTAGTGCAACAAACATTTAAGGATATATTCTCCAAAATATTGTATAAGTTAATTTATTTTTGTTTGATAGACAAAAAAGGTAGTTTTAACTATATAAATATGAAACACCGACTTTTTGTTTAATTACAATTTTTAAACGGTTTGCGAGTTTATTTTTGGAGAATCTAAATTTTTTTAAAAATTTGTTGGTCTACGTGAGGGCTATGTCTTTTTGATATAATTATGTCTGTGATCGACTGGGTATTTTTGGCGTAATTTTTTATTAACTAAGAAAAGCCAAAATGACCCATTTTTGGGGTAAAATTTTGGGCCCGAATTTCGCAAAACAAATTACACCATATTAATTCTGCTAAAATTTGTCTTCATGAGTTTTCACCTAAACTCAACCCAATTTGAGAAAAACGCGTTTTAAATTTCAAGTTTAGCGCGTTTTGTCCGGTTAATTTAAATCAGCACTGTAGCATCCAATTAGTTGAACAATGGTGTGTCCATTGGTAGTTGATAAACTGTTACCTTCACATTCTCTTCTGATATCGGTTTCAGTACACTTTCAGTTGCGAACTGAACTACTCGCGGAGTGTCGCCCAAAGAAGATGTGGCTGGCACACTACTTGATCTCCCATATGACACCTTAACACAGGCTGCTCAAATCGGAAAAAAGTGAGCTAGCATTTTTGGCTCAGAAAAAAAATATAAAATTCCTTTCAGACAATCAGCACTTTCGAGGAAAAGTGACCTTGTAAATAATAAGCGACCAAAAATAACGAGTCTGAGCAGCCTGCCTTTACAGAGTCATCATCATCTTGACTTCTGCGTGCCGAATCCGGAAGGTCACTATTTGGAGATGCTTGCTGTAATGAACGTTTCTTCATTCTATTGACTCCTTTACTAGTCCCTGAGGTAGCTTTGGCAGACGAGGAGCTTCTTCGCTTCTTGTGAGCTGATTGTAGTGGAAGATGACTGTGAAACAGACTGTTCTTATGACCTGAAAAATTATAATTAAAATTACCAACAGAAAGTGTACAACTTCTTAATAGCAATCTCCCATTATGACAGCAATATTCCATCCTGACAGCAATCTCCCAACTTGATAGCAATCTCCCAATAACAGAAATCTTCAAATGACAGCAATCTCTAATGACCTTAAAATGGCAGCAACCTCCCAACTTCTTAAAAGCCATCTCCCAACGAAAGATTTCGATTAAATTCTAATTCAGATTTGCAACGCGTTGCCCACGAAATCGTGAATTAATTATATGAACAATGAAGAATAAATTAAATTCGTTTTTTTTTGTTGATTTTTCAAACCTAAAAACATGGATAGAGTGAGGATTTGACAAGCTTGGAGCACCTGTAAATTTTGAAACATTTTAATAGTTGTATATAGTTTTTGAAGCGTCGTCGGCGTTTCGAAAACCACACTTGTGCTTGTTCACTGGCTGATGCTTCATGAGCTCAGCTGGATGTCTGCTGACCATTTAGCCAATTTAGCCAATTATCAGTTCTAGTGATGCGTGAGCGTCTTTATGGGATGCGGCGCAGTTAGTAGAGGCAGCAACAGTTGAGTTATTAAGTTTTCTTTTTGAAAACGAACGGGCGAGTTTCAGGAATTTTGAGCTTTTTAAAATTAGTTCAGATTTATACCAACAATGATCAATTTTTTAAAAAGAAGAGGCGAAGCGAAGCTTCGCATCACTTGTGGTACAGCACATACAAAATAAAACCGTAAAAAATCTGTCAAAAATTTGAATCCCTTTGTCTTAAATATAGATTCCTTTCAAGAAAATATGCCAAGAAGCAAGACAATTGAAAATTAAACACAGAGGCGAAGCTTCGCTTCGCAACAAACAGCGATAACACGACAAAAAAGCAGCTCTGTAAAGTGCAAAAAGAAAAAGTAGAAAGGAGCCTCGAATTTGTAAAAACTCGGCTACTGTTTCGGATTCGATCTGCTAGAAAAAATGAGTCTCACGCACTAACCACTCAGCCACGGACGCTTAATAAACCACGTACACTGGCCATATACAAAGCGGAAAACAGATGATATAAAAATTCCAATGTTACAGATCGTAATTATAGCAAATATGCCACCAAACACGTGACCACTTTTAATTAGCCAAAATTTTCTATTTGCAAGAAAAGCAAGTCTCAACTGAAATCGAACTCTCGTGCTTTGTCGTCTGAAGCATAGGGGTTACAGCAGCTTGGAATAAAGCTGAACCATCGAGCTACGGGAACTAAGCGGACAAAAATAAACAGAGGAATGATAATCCGATAGAGCACAAGTTAGCAAAAAAGGGCCCGACCGAATTCGAACAGCAAATTTTTGCCATTTCAAGCAGTTGCTTTACCTCTACGCCAGATGCACCGGATGGTTGATTGAATTTGAAACGATAATTACCCAGCGGTAACCAAGCCGAAAAAACCTGAGCATAAACTCTTCATGCCGAAAAGAAAATCAAAAAATTTTAAACTCATAAAAGCCCCTTTTCCCGTCAGAGCACACACGCGCACAAAAACTGTTTCCGGACGTAAGGACGCTAAAAGAGGCCACTAAGTCGATATTAATTAGGCCTAAATTTATTTAGCCGAAAAAAAAAGATGAAAAAAATGGAAAAAAGTGAAATTTTAACAAATCGAGCTGGTTAAATTACAACCTGTGAAAAGCAAAAATTTTGATTCGGCCGGATTTTTAAAATGCTCAAAACAACTGCAGTTAAAATTCTTTATATCTAAAATAAACAATTCTGAGATGTGGTAACTAAGCCGACATTTTTTGAACCGGAACAATTACCGTTTGAAACAAAAACGGGTCCTGGTCAGATTCGAACCCAGGACCTTTTCCCAGGCATTCGTTACCACCAAGCTAAGCGTGCAATAGATAGTACAAACTTTGAAATGATTAGAGCCAAAGTATCACCAGTTCTATGAGTCCAATCAGTCCTGTGGACAAAACTGTTTACGGGAAAAAGTCTAATACCCAATTGCATACCCTTGTTATCGCAAGGTTAAAAAGATTAATCTACCGAATCAATGCTTTCTGGATGCAAAATTAAGCATAATATTGCTAAGTTCATGTAAGAAATGGGAAAACAATTCCATGTACCTTCGATATCTTCTCTGTTGATTGCGAAACTCTCGGTTGGTGTCGGAATGGCCACATTCGCCGACATCTCCTCCGATAGAGACAAAGATGCTGCAGGTTCTCGGGATCCCATTAGCAAATCTGTCATCGCGTCAACGTCTTTGCTACGAGGACTTCCATCCCCTTTATTCAACACTGAATGATCTATTGGAGTTTCAGCGAAAGACTTCGTTATGTCCGAAGAAAATTTGGGCAGTTTTGTTACATCAGCAGTTGGCGTGGAACTCTTCAACGGGTCTGGAGTGTCTGTTGCTAAGGTGCTAATGGACGCCGGTTTTCTGTCGCGGATTTCACTGAGTGGATTCTAAAATGATCATGCAGTCAACTCAAGAGACTTATGTTTGTGATAATATCAAACAATGAGGAGGAAGTCTAGTAAATATTTGAAAATAGATGTCTTTAATTACAATTGAATAGATTCATTTTTCACTAGGAATTTTGCAAAGACATTTGCAACTAGAATCCAAAACACATCTTCGGTGCATGGCAAATCACATCTTGATATATAACAACAGTCATATTGGCGTTTTTTTCAAAAATTTGCAGAATCGCAGAAACTTCCAAAATAGGGTCTTAAGGTTGTTTTAGAGCTTCATTTCTTTCTATAACTAGCTTCAATTTTTAAAATCATAATCAGTCCCTTTCCAGTCATTTATCAAACACTGTAAGCAAGTACTCTAATTGTAAAATCTTCATATAATAAAAATTTCAAAGCTCTGCTTTAGGACTTACATAGATAGAGATTTTTGAACACAGCTGAGCTTCTTCAAAAAAGAGAGCTCAAGTCTCATCTAAAAACTATGGACAACGGCTTCTTCGCAAGAGCTCGTTAAGAACAAATGACGATGGAGCAAGTTTTTGTTAGCGGCTAAGATCAAAGTCTGACAGACAGCCGACTGTTTAAACAAACATCAAGCAATCAAATTTTCATCAGAAAAAAAACTTTCAACTAAAAAAAAATTCTCATAGTAATCTTGTGAGATTTTCGACAAAAAACTATTCACTTTTTGCTCATCATCGCATACTTTTTTTGAGTCTAGCTCAGAGTAAATCGAAAGAAACAACAAGCAAATAAGCTGATGAAACCTTAGCAGGGTGCTATTTTGATAAAACCTATGACTTTTTATCTCATATAATCTTTGGTGATGAAGAGGCGATACAAATCTAGCAATGAGACGCATAGTACAATAAATGTTTTCGATGAAAAACTATAGCCAAAAAATTTACTTACGAATTAGAACTAAAAAAAGTAAATTAACATTAAATTTAGCTTGAAAAACTGCAGCAGATGAAGCAGTTGGGCCTCGCGTAGATTTCGTAGAGAAGATGGTCAGTCGAAGGAATGCTCCAGAAGAAACACTTTACTGTTAAAGATGTCGATTGTCACGATGAATTAATTAACTTTGATAATTTCTCCTCCAATTGAAGGTAAATGTAAACAAAAACAAAATTTTACAAGAAAAAACGTTTTAGGCATAGCAAATCGTAATTCCGGAAAAAAAGGTTTTTTCTTTATCCACACACAAGCAGTACGTTGAAAATAAATCTCCTCTAAGCAAGAAAAAAAATCTTCAAACTAAGTTTCTAATTCGTGGTGTGATGAGAGGACCCGATCCAAAGCCTTCAACTTCGGCATAATCATTAGCAATAGCCAACTAGGTACGTTCGACAATTCCTTGAAAAACGAAAAGAAAAAATCAGCATTTTTCATTCGCAAGAAGGCGCAATAAGAAACTACGAAAATAATTTTGGAGAGTTTAATTGAGTGAAAGTAAGTTTTAACGGCATATATAAAAAACTATTGTCATAATATACGCCTGCCCGTTCGGTTTAATTGCTCGGAATTGAAGAAAATTTCAAATAGGGTTTTCTTTACACTTAATTGTGGTCGTATATTTCTTGGCCTATTAAGATAATTACTTGCCGGACCTGATTTTTCATGAAAAAAAAACGGAAAAAAAAACGTAATAGATCCGGATTTACCCCGCTGTTTTCATTTAAAAGAACGTAAAATTTTTAATAAGCTTTTGTTAACCCCTCAAAAAATTATACGCTAAGGAAACTTGTGCTGCTTGTGGGAACGTCTCGTTTCGATCATCTATTAAATCTAGGATTGGACAGACATTACAGGGATCTTTTTTCACTATTGTACTAGAATGCGAAGGCCTCATCAACTCAAAACTATTGACCCATGACTTTAATGACCACTTACACCTAACCATTTCCTTCTTGGGAGGCCATTCATTTACGCTCCGTAGTTTCATTCTACGACTAAACAAATACCAACAAACTAAGCAACAAATCCTGGAAGCTAACCAAGGACCGACTACACAGCTTCTGGAAGCGACTACTGAAAGAATACGCTCCAACCCTCGCCAAACGAACCAAGTGGAACCAAAAAGAGGAAACCATAGAAAAACATGACCTCGCATGGATCCTTGAAGACTTTACTCCACGAGGCATATGGCCTCTGGGTTAGGTTGTTGAAATGTTAACCAGTCGTGATGGCATTGCGCGCTCATGCGTAATCAAAACCGCGTTAGGAACACTTAGTAGGCCCGCGGTGAAACTAGCTTTGATAGAAGCAAAACCGGATTTTTAGACCTAACCAGTAATTGTAATACCAAGCCCTAACCCCTCTGGTCTCCGTAACAAACGCCCTCCCCGAAGGTATTCATGATCATGATGTGAATAATCTTTCACGTGAATTACTTGAATAAGCGGTAGATTGAGTTCGTAATTATTAAATTATCGGAGTGCGATCACAATTTTTGGATGATGCAATAACCACATAAAAGATGACAATTTAAGATTTGAGAACCAAGAGTCTTAAATACTGCTAATCCAGCAATGCAAAATGACACCCCTAACTTGTTCACCGCTAAGTTATTCACAAGAAAAAATCTAGGCTCAGAATTGATAAAGCTTGCTAACTGCGAGCATCATAAATTGCATGCGTAAAGCATTAGTGCATATTAGCCAATAGAGCAAAAAAATAACATTTTAAGCGAAAAAAAAAAACTTCAAAAATAAATCAAAAATTCCACTAAATTATTGTTATTGTTACCTCAAAAAATTAAGCTTTATAAATTTTTTTTAAAAAAAGAAATTTCTGAAATTTCTCTCAGAAACTAAGCCGACAAAAAAGGCCGATAATCCGGAAAAGCAGAAAAATTCTGGATTGCAAAAAAGGTTCCGCCGGTTTTAAACGACACATCTTTCTCTTCTCACGCACATGTCTCACCTCTACGCTAGATGCGATGGATAGCTGATTGATTTTGACTTTATCTTGTAAGAGTTGGAATTCTTGTACTGCTGAGTGGTTTACGGGAAAAAGTCTAGTACCCGGTTACATCAACCTTTATCGCAAGGGTAATGAATTCAAGAAAAATGCATTACTTGAGCAAGTTTGAGTCCTATACTTAAGAGGTAAGCTGGATTGTAACAACTCTAGGTGAGGTAGAACTATACAGTCGTATTTTCATGCCCAGGATGATATTTTGTTTCTGTTTGGTTAATTTGCTATCTCTGGTTCATTTAGTTTCTAACCGATCTGTATCGGTCCAGAGGATACGCTCGGATATCGCTCCAGTCTTCGTGTGCACAAAATGTACATTTGCGGGGGCAAAGCGACGAGATGACGTTTTTCGTCCGGTATGAATGAATTTAATGATTGAACTTGGTATTGGTTATTATCTTTAATTTCGACATAAGTGTCCCATATAGATCTTGCAAGAAAACTTTATTTACTTTTAATGCCTTTGTGCAGCTTGAGTAACAATTTGGGTTGATATTTGATCTATTGGGTTGAAGGTGTTGCTGGTAAAGTGTTGCTATTTCACTTTCTAGTAATACGGCACCGACCTCCTGATATTCAGAAGCCATCAACCATTTTCGACGTCAATTGGTTCCGATGATAAGCTGACAATTGGATAGTTTAACATGATTACAAAACGTTTTTAAATGAGATTTGGAAGCATCAAAAATAGAACCGATAACTTCAGATAGTCCTGGGGCCTTTTAACATATATGTCATTTGAACTACAATTTAGCTATTCAAGAAGTTTCATTTACGGTATATCATTAAGGACCTAGAGTTTCAGCTGGACCTGAAGCACTTCCAACACATGCATTCCATTTAACTAAAATTTGGTTTTTTAGAAGTTTCATTAACGGTAATGTGACTATTTTTGTAGTTTTCTCAATGGTGTGGTAGCATTTTAATGAACTGGTAAAACTTGACAACCAGTTTTTGATGCCTTCCGATAACTATTTTTCATCATTTCACAAATTTCGTCTGTCATACACATAATCTTGCCAACTAAAATCAAATCTTATCTTAAAGCTAATCACCGACTGATCTGAGAGCATTGCGTCTGTTATGCTTTTCCAATTCTAGCACGAAGAGATTTCTGACTTCTGGGGTTAACTTTTTTCGAACCAGTTTTTGTTGTTAAACCTAGTTTCAGGCATTTATTTGAATAAACCTCCAGTAGCCACACGGTCAAATAATCTTGTTAAAGTTTCAAAATTGCGATCATTCCACCTTTCTTCGATAGCTTCAGCTAGAGAGTTTCGGTGCTTTTAATCTATTCTCTTATTTAGCACCGAGTTTGTGAACTAGTCGTTTAGTCCTTCTTGTAAGTTTTCGACCATAATCCGCTAGTTTTCAAGATATAGGTACCATTATTTTTGACGTACTCTAGATAGGGTCTCATTATCGACTTACATGTCTTCAGCATCATTTCGCTTACGGGTTTTAGAAAACTGCTTTAGTTCGCGCAAGTATTGAAGCTGTCTTCAATCAAAACTTCAGCGTCAATGTTCTTCTCAAAACACAGTTTCTGACTATATTCAGATGTGGAATCTTCGCGACAAGCACTTCATTCAATTCCTCTTTTCCAATAGGATATGATTGCAATTCAGGTTACTTTTTCGTCGTTAACGTCAGTTTCAAACATTAGTTCAGGTTGAAGTTTAGAAAGCTTTCGTCAAAAATTGTTCCGGTACATTGAGATCTTCCAGTACACTGAGTCTCTAGTTTATTGAGTCACAAGGATTTCTGATTTCATTTTTAAAAAATTTATCGACCGCAAGCAAAAAAAGTATCAGATATTATACTATTATGCCACCTTCGAGCAGTGAATTTTTGCATAACAGGAACAGAACCAGTCTCATTACTGACCTCTGATGAATTCCACTTTTTAACGGTCAAGAATTGGATTTTGCTAGGTCCGGTCTACTACAATTCTTTGTTTACCGAATGAGAGGTTACAGCCGATTAACGGTTACAATTTGGAAAAACGAAAGTATCCGAATACTTGAGCCACATTTTTCGGATATTTTTCAAAAATCCCCCACAGCCTTTTTCGAAGGCTGTAGACAGTGGGGTGAAGTAAAAAGAGACTAGATTATTAAGCAGGCACGCAGGGCAATAGGCGGTCTTTTAATTGTATTCTTCTTTAGAAAATCGATAACGTATTTTTAAAATAAACTCAATTTTCCAAAGCGTCTCAAAATAAAATTAGAAAAGCCAATCCCATACATTCTCATAATACCTGTTTTATCAAACAAGAATTCTAGACAAATATTTCAAATTAGAACGTCGTTGAATTTTAATACGGAACAAAACTTACGAAGCGGAAACGAAGCCGACAGTGTTAGGTCATACCGGGACTCAACCCTATTACCTTATGGTGCAAAAACAACCGCGTTACCTCCAGGCCAAACTTCGGGAAGGTTCAATAGAAAAAACCAAATCAATTTCTGGTCAGAAAAGTTGATTAAGGGAAAAAATTCTGGTTTCCAATTGCAAGACAGTTGCTCTCGCAAGTGTACAAAAAATATCTTTTTTCGCCCAAAAAGAATATTCGACTTGGTCAAAAAAAGACAAGCCGAAATTGTTTGGGCCAAAAAAGCTTTTCAGCAAAAAAAAGTAAAAAGTACTACGTCAAAGTTAGAAATTTTACAGATTACAGGATAGTATCAACAACACTTGCAAATAGAAGAAAATTCTTTACAGTACAGAATCGAAATCCGTGATCAAATCATATTGAATATCATCGAAGCCCACCAAACTTAAGACAAAAATAGTCCGACCATTCAATTTTTCCCGGAATGATTTTCGATTTTACACATACTGAAAAAGTTCCGACGGAGACTTTAGGCAGCCGCGTCACCTTTGTACTAAGTGGGAAGAGGCTGAGAGTTCTTAATGTTCAACACAAGGCGAAGTTGCACTTCGCATACACAAGCAAAAATATGACCGATAACGCTACTGGGAAACACTGAAGGAGTAAAACTTTGAGTCTACAAAATTTCGTAACAGACGCACGCCAATTATGAGTCTACATAATTGCTAAGTGACGCAAGCCAATTACGACGCATTAACAGTACCAGTCAATTTGAAAAAAAAAGAAACTTACCAACCAACATGCCTCAATTTATAGAGCGGACGCATTTTAACTAGTAAACGAAAAATTTCATTTAAAATATCCGAAAACATCTGACCCTGCCAAGGTTCGAACCCTCTTATTTCGCTGCTGGTCTCCTTCCCTACCTCTACGCTTCAGATCCATGATGCCTTGAAGCTAAAGTGCTATTTGTAATATAATAGTCTGTGTTAATATCATTAGCATTGGTTGTACTTAATAGCTGGATCAAAATGAACTGCATCGCAACAATATTTGCGACTTAGGTTGAAAAAAAAAGAAAGTTCATACTATAACACAAGCATACTATAACACAAGCGGTTTCCCGCAGATTTGCAAAAAAAGTTGTTTACGGTTGATTTGCAAAAAAGTATAGTTCGCGATTACAAGACACTTGCTCTCGCAAGTGTGATTAATGTTTTCACTGAGCTTATTATTTCATCCACATCCATTTGCATTGCTGGGACATTAATGTTTTTATTACTTTGACGACTAACAGTCTCTTTTACTGCGGGGACGCATGGCGAACAACACCAAAGAACATTTGCTCTCCTCATATACTTGTATACCATCGCGGGCATACCGAGGCGTTTGATACAATATCGCTTATTACAGCAATCGCATTCCAGGACCATTTAAATTATTTCCGTTAAATATTTCTTTTAATGTTCGCAGGTTCAACCTTAGGTCATGCCTTCTGAAGTTTCGCCTTTTGAAGTTATTCGGAGCCATCTGATCTTTTAACATCTTACTAGTTCGACAAGCTACCAAGAAAGATTAACTTTTATCACACTTTCCTCACGAAGCCATCCTGGATTTTCAACCAAAATATCAGAACTTTCATTTTCGTTAGTTGTCAGTTTTGATGTTGAGCATCTGTTTCGAACTTTTTTCTAGCTTTCTCAGATAAATTTTGCTTTTGTAAACAGCCTTGACGAGCCTCAGTTGGAGTCTTTCTTAAAGGATGGATCTTCCTTATCTCCTAAATGCAATAATTATCTGTCTTCATTCTTGATAATAAAACCTTTTTCACTGGGATAACAAGAAAATTCAACTCGCAACCTACCGAATATATTGGGCGTGTTTGTTTTTCTAACATGGAATATGGCTGAAATGTGGTGTTTTTCTCCATTCAAATTTGAAAGCAGCTTGTTTATTGAACACATTTTGTCGCAACAATTGCATCGCAACAATATTTGCGACTTAGGTTGGAAAAAAAAGGAAGTTCATACTATGACACAAGCTATGTACTGGAAGCAGAGCAATAAGCAGAATGTTCCAAGTGTAGAATGGGTCTAAGAGCATAAAAACAGAATATTATTGATTTATATTGGTTTATACGGGCTAATTCATTAAAAAAATTATTAAAATTGTCAAAATATACCAAGACAACGAACAAATTATGCATGAATTGACTAATTTCATAAAGTTTTTTTTATTAATTTTTTCAAAAAAATTCTTGATTAAATTACTCAAACTAAACATAAAATGTTCGTTGCTTTGGTATTATTGACATTTCTGGTAATTACTTACCGATTAGCTTATAAGAGTTGTTATTTTACTGTTTTTCTGCTCTTGCAACCATTCTGCTCTTAGACCATTCTGCTTATTGAATGGCCGCCCTGTACTATAACACAAGCTATTTCATCGGCATACTGCATAAATATCCAAAAAGTAACATCAAAAGGTCAAGAAAGAGAAAAAAAGCAAGGAAATAAAAGCATTGATGAGTTTTGAAAAACAAATGCCCTCTTTGGGAATCGAACCTCCATTGATTCGATGTGGGCTGATTGTAATGTTACAATCGTGTGACAAAATTGAATAGTTTTGGCTCTTAGTTTGTCGAATTTTTTTTAAATTTAATTTTGCACTCAGATGTGGGAAGATGAACTGTACAGGAAATATTGGTCTTTAGAATTTATTATGCGCAGATTTGAGATGATGAAATTGCACCAATCAAGAACACAATAGCATTTCACATACTACGCCTAGAGCAGCAAATTTTGAATCTCTTTCAACTAGTGCGACATAAAAGATTTAGCTTTAAGGCATATCTCTGAAAAGGCTTTTTGTATATGGAGAAAAAAATCTATTCAATAAATTTACCGCAACAATGAGGGGTATTATTGTTAAAATTATCGCTAGAGACTGTAATTCTTGAAAAAAAAAATATCTAAATTGGCTGAAAAACTGGCATTTTCGACAATCAATCTGCACTAAGTTTGATGTTATCCTACAGTAATGAAAAATTTAACACATTCTTCATAAGTACAGCCAAAAAAACGCCGAAAAATAACTTTTAAGGTCAAGAAAGAGAAAAAAGCAAGGAAATAAAAACATTGATGAGTTTTGAAAAACAAATGCCCTCTTTGGGAACAGAACCTCAGTCCTGGGCATTCCAGTACTCAAGTGGACGGACGTTTACAGAAACATTGGCAACTGATCAATTGAAGAATACATGCTTTTAATTGCCATTACTTTGCACTAAAATGAGCACTTTCATTGCGAAATGGGTTGGAAAAAAGTGAACTTCGTAATATACAACAAACCTTGAAAGCTCGTATGTGTAAATAAATGAGTAACTTACCTCAATGAAATTTCCGGGTGGCGTGTCATGAGAAGATCCATTGCCATTAAAAACTTCTCCCATTTTCGTCGATATTGGCTTTGTTGCGATGTCTCTAATCTTAGAAGATAAAAAGCTCCGCACTCAACAGAATCATGCAGCTATCTGAAATAATCAATTGCTAGACGAAAAGTAAAATCACAAAGCTTTACAGCTCTTGCAGCAAATTAGCTAGGAAGGGGTTTTATACAAGAATTTCAATCAGTTGACAGAGCCTGTTATGGCTCTTTCTTTTTTCTCTCGTCACATGAATATCTTCCCCTATACAAATCAATGGTTGTTTTTCAGCGTTTTGAAAGAAGCCAAGCCAAAATTTGATTGGTTTGGGAATAAACGCACATACCACAAAATTCAGAAAACACCAATTCATATGTAGATATGGTGAACCAAATTTTAAGCTCAATTTCATGTGAGACAGAAGAAATTTCCCTTTTATCTTGTTTGATTAAGTTAGAATGAATCTAACTTTTTCTCACCAAGAATAAAATCATTTGAATTTTAAAAAATACATTTCCCAAAACTTGATTAGCTTTGAGTAATATTAAGGGTATTTTGTAATTTTAAAAAAATGATTGCTGTGTAATAATTTTGAACTGACATTTCCATTTTGAATCGAGTTAAGACGATCCTGATAGCATTTTCTAATTACTCTTTTAATAAGCAAACTGCTTAAATTTCCGCACAAACAAAAGTTTAATCAAGCGTCCTTCATCGCATTGTCCAGTCAAACAACGGTGAAATATTTCAGATTGCGAACATATAATACTAACAAACACAAAATCTACACAACAAGATGATGGTCAATATATCTATGTTTTTTTTACACAGAAGCCAAGCAATTCAACACTTGCAATTCAACGTCCACATAGCATTGCCAGCTAGTCGGTAGAAAATGAGAAGCCACGAAGTAGAAAACATTATTTGAAGAAAAAGTCAAAAAATAGATCATGTTCAACTTCATGAAAACAAGTCCAGAAATGCAATGACCAGCATTAAATTGGAATTGCGACAAAATGGACTTAGCGATAACAATTTTCGGGCAGACGTCCGTTGAGCAAAAATAGCGTCATAAAAAACTCTCAAATCAACATTGCCAACGACAGTGGGAAAAGAGTCCATGAACGCAAAATCGAAAAACTAAATGTAAACTTGAATGACTTGCAAACTGATTTGCAAACTTGGATGTAATTAACTAACCTCCTTTATTTTTGTATAGTTTATGGTGACTGGATTAAGTCGAGAAAAAAAAAGAAAACGGACAAGTAAAATATTGTTAAAATTGAAACTAAATTGAAATGGGAGGTAAGCCAGTCATCAGAACTGTTCTTAATTAGCCTTAAAATATACAAAACTCAGATAAATTTTTACTACATAATTTTTCTTAATGGGTGTACCGTTTCGACTAAGCGTTTGGAAAGGATGCTCATAATATAATTTGCAAAAAGTTTTCAGGTGTTCACAAGCAAAAGTTTTAAAAAAAGTTTCCAAGAAGCGATTTAAGTGTCAATCCGGCTAAGAAAAGCTATAAAAATCGAGAGTAACTTTTCAAATGATTACTTCGCTTTTGGTACTTCAATTCATTTTACAATTTTTTGCAAGTTCCTAGGGTTGCTTGTAGACAACATTCTTTCTATCAAACCACATATTGAACCTGTAATCAAAAAATTTGACTAAGTTTTCAGGCATTGCTTGTAAGGTCCAATTTATAACAGCCGATGCGTCAATTTTACAAAACTTATGTCATCTCGACAAATTATGGCATTAAATTTTACGGTAAAACATTCCATTCTCATCTAATCCAGATAAAGAAATGACGAGCCATAATTCTTGGAGCAACGTTTTGTAAACGTATACACCAATCAATCAAAATTATTGGTTGATTTGATGAAACAAGACAAAAAGTGCTATGTTCACTATTGAATTACACTCTTGAAAAAAAAACTAAGCAAAAAAAAGTAATCAATTTTCGGGCAGATGTCCGTTGAGCAAAAATAGCGTCATAAAAAACTCTTAAAATCAACATTGCCAACGGCAGTGGGAAAAGAGTCTATGAACGCTAAACCGAAAAAAAACTAAATGTAAACATGGATGACTTTCAACCTGATTTGCAAATTTGGATGTAATTAACTAACCTCCTCCCCTACTGCGGGAAGCACAAAAACATGGCCATATGACAGAGGGAAAGAAGCAATAAGCGCAAGAAGACAAATGCAAACTTCATTTCAAATTTGTTTTTGAAAAAATTTAAAATTTTACAGAAACATATGCCCTTAAAGCTCTTTGAGTTTGAAGTACAGTGTATTATTTAAAGTTTTATTGATAAACTAACGCAAATTATAATAATAATAAAACAGAATTTAGGGTAGCACCCAGGGGAGATATTCCAGAGTTCCAGTTTTCCAAAGCTCATTTGAGTTTGTGTTGATTTCTGCAGTTCTGACAATTACATGTCAGTCTCCAAGAGCATATATCTTCGAGATTATATTTATTGACAAAATAGATTGGTAAACTTCCGCGATTTTTTTTGGATTTTCCAATTCGTCAAGATTAATCCCTATCTTTTGTGCAATTGTGTTTGCTAAGAATGTACCTCTTGTCCAAAAGTTACTTTCTTGTTTCTTCTTCAACAGAATTCGTGTTTTCTAGAATTTCAATTCTTGTGCTCTCGTGTTTTGTTCTGATTTGTATTGTACTTGAACAAAAGATTCCCACTCAATATTATACCTGCCTTTCACTATGTCGACAAATGTCAAAAGAACGTGCATTTCGTGATACAAGGGTACGGGTAGAATCCAAAGTCGTTTTAATCTATCTTTATAGTCTAATCTATTGGTATCAAAGATCCACTTCGAAGCTTTTTCCTGAAGGTTTTCTATCATTCTCAATTCTGATGTATTTGGTTTCCAAAGAATTGCACCGTATAAAATGATATGGACAATGTAGCTCCGGTAAATATTCTTTTTTTTGCAATCCAACTTGCACCATTAGCAATGTTTCGTTTTATAGTAAGAAATATTTTGATTGCTTTCTCACATCTTTCGACGTTTGCAGTCCATTGTGACATTCGACCAGAATGGCCAAAATGCAATCTCTGCAGAATTCGGAATTTTAGCAGTAAGCCTTCCGGATTGGTGGTTTTTAAGAACTAAGGGCGTTATTGGAACGTTTAGCCAAACGGTGAAGGCTGGAATATTCTAGTATTTTAAAATTTCAAAAATTCGAATGATGACGTCACATTTCTGAGAAATGCTGAAACGGCCATTTTAACAAAAAACGAGTGAAAGAACACAACAACATTAGTTGCGAAGACGAGAACAACTTTATCGAAATTGAAGAAGTCGAAATTGAAGAAAAACAGCAGCAGATTGCAGAGAACGTTCCGAGTTGCAACTGTTGTGCTGCTACAATAGTTGCAAGGCCGTTGCGAACAACGGTGAAGGGTAAGAAACCAGCCTTCCGTGTTGTCGTGAAATCGAACTTATGGAGCTTGATTCACCGGATTCAAGAATCCGGAAGGGTCTCGGGACGGAAAATTTTTATTGACTCATATGAACTTTTAGCATCCTGTCATGTCCTGACTTGAATTTAATTGATATTTGGATTAGTTTTTACAAGGATGAGGTGCTAAGAGTTGGGGGGGGGAAAGGGTTGATCCATCTTCGATGGAGATGATGATTTTTATCTACTGAACAAAAACAATAGTAATATAATAAGTTGTAGCCCTGTTTTTAGGAGTGACCTCGTGGTCTGGGGATACTGAGACCCAGCCATGAGCTCACTATTTTTGCATGTAATTCAGTTAATTTGAGCGTTCTGGTCGAAGCCGGAGAACAGTAACGTTTTTGTCGACCCGATGTTAGAAAAGACCACCGAAAAGTACTGGCTTGGTAGAGACGGTGAAAAACATGCAAAGCTCTGTTTAGACGCTAGCCAGTCGTCTTAAGACTTAGTTTTGTTATCCGTCGATATGTATCTTCCGGGCGAATGTTACATGTATGTTTTTATGGCGCTCCTGGGTGTTATTCTTTCATAACATCATGACCGGCGGAACCGTTAACGAGCACTCCGCGCCGAGCGGATGCTCACATTAACGCCCTTAATAGGCCTAAACTGCCGGGGCGGAAGGGTAGTTCGGAACGCGGAAGCCATCCGGATTACCGTGAATAGTTTTTTAACCTAGTTAAGACCGAAAATTCACGAACCAGGAAGGGTGGGGGGAATCATGAACCCCTCATCCCCTGAGTGGTTTGTGACCAAAAACACTTAAAGATATAGGCAAAACCAAACAAAAAGTAGTATAGTACCCAAGAAAAACAAAAAACATAAAAAACAACCGAAAAAACCAAAAACAGTAAAAAAAAAAAAGTAAAAAATCAGTAGAAATCATCCCCCCAGACAAGATGTGATTCAACCCCCCCGTTTGTTGTTGATAGATATATTGTTATTACAGGCATTTATATCAGTCAGGATCGTTACGATCAGTTTTGTAGCCCGTTTGTGAGGCTTTTACTGTAGGGTTATTTGAGCATTTAAGCACGTTAATGATAAATTGCGCTCAATCCGGAAGGGTCAGCTGATTTGCGCTCAATTCGGAAGGGTCCTGGGTGAAGACCGATCCGGCAAGCAGTACAAAGAGCAACAAGAAGGGGCTCAACGACAACAACAATCGACTGTTGGGTATCGTTAACAAGTTTTGTATCCCTTTTGGTACAAAAAGTAAGGTAGTAATCTGTGGGGGGCTCGACAGTGCTGCACTGTAGTGACCCTTCACCGAACTGCGAATATCCGAGTTAAGCACCTTAATTCGGATAATAAACAAACCCGGAGGGGTAAAGTATCACTAATATTATTATTTATATAGCCTATATTAATAGTCTTATATCGTTTTTCAGTGAAAAACAACGAAAACAGACCGGTTTTTAGGGTCAAAATAGCGATGTTTTGATCCACCCACAAGTCGCGATTTTTGAGATATCGATGTTTTTTGAAACGCAAAAAAGCGCTAAGTTAGTGTGTTACATCGTAACTGCACTACTGTAATAGGTAGAACCGGTTAACTTTAGTTCGGAAGTGGTTGGAACTAGTTTGGTACCAAAAACCAAATTTT